ATGCTGGTGGAGGAGGTACGTGTAGCAGCGTCTGTGCTGTGATATCTGTCCACAGTAAATTACGTAGTACTACTAATAGTATGCATGTTTCGTGATTGTTTCGTAAATCACCATATATCTAAGATACAAGCAATCGGATACAAATTTCAAGATAGCAGGAATTAGATACAAGTGATTTACGAAACAAAAACGTTTCGTGATTGCTAGTAGTCTGGTGTATTTTGTTTCGTGTTTGTTTCGTAAATCGTGTATACTTACAGTTAGCGCATACTACCGTGTAATGTATATAGATTTAGACAGAGGCGGGCCAATTATCCGGATACGGATAGTGTCCATTACCCATGCATACAATAATCAAGTGTAACAATCCATCTTTATAATTGTACAGAGGTTTTTATCATTTTACAGAGGAGTCCAAATCTATATAATCTATATAGCTATCTAAACCTATATACACTACACGGTACTGTAACTTGATGAGGTTGATGCATGTCATTGTCCGAATTACGTCTACTTCTTGACGAATCTATCAGTGGTAATTACGCTCGTTAACCCGAGCACTTCGGCATAACGTTAGGAAGCATATCAAACCATCGTGATGTCGTTGGCATGCATTTGAGCCACAAACTCTCAGTAGTAACCTACAGCATCATCAACCTGGTCACATATGCAAAGGGGATCACATCAAAGATGCAAGAAGGCACACATCTTGTGGATAACCCCGAAACCAAATGCCGCCGTGAAGTAAAATGGTCGGACTTCAAATTGTACGAAGCCTACCAGTCCCCCCCCCTCGTCTCTTGCTCTCATTTCCAGGTGTACAAGTCTGGGGAATTCAAAATATGATGTCCAGCACATCATCTTCATTCGTCGGGGGTTCCTTCCAGAGACATAGTTGTATTCCGCAGGTACATACTGTAGCATTTCCTCCTTAAAGTTATTACTAACTATCCAGACGTTTGATAGAGTAACAACAGTACAGTAGAATAACATGGCTCTGTTATTCGTGATGGTCGCTCCGTCGTCGTAACTCAAACACGGCACTGAGCTCGGTGCCATCGAGCGGCCACTTGCGGCCCAAAGCGCCGACGCAGGCGTTGACGGACGCCATGGACGTGAGACACACGGACGGATGCTTCGTCACGTCAAAGCCAAACTCGCGCGAGACGCTGACAAAGTGAGAGGCAGTGCACTTCAACGGATCGCACTCGCCTTCGCACGACGACCGACATGCGTCCATGGACAGCAGCGCCACGCTCTTGGCATGAAACACCCACGAAATCGTTTGAAGGAGCGGAGGATGCGCCTTGCGACCGACTTGGGTGATTTCGCTCCCCAAAATGATGTCGAACGTCATATCCACCGGAACGTGGTGGCGCTGGCCCCATTCCAACTCCCGCACCTCCACGGGGCGTTGCAGCCAGTCCTTGTTCAGGTCAATGTTCAGCTGGAGCAAATCAGGGTATTCGTCGCTCAGAACCACGTGCTGGGCACCCAACGCGGATGTCACCAGGCCGCACAACCCACACCCGGCTCCAAGTTCGAGGACGGACGCGCGGAGGATGTCCAACGCCACGACATGCGTCTCCAAGTGCGCGCAGAGAACATGCGCTCCAGGCCACACTTCTCCTCCCATCCCATCTACACGTCTTGTGTCCTGCTTGACGCAAATCTCCACCGCCGCCGCTGTCCGATACCGCGCAATGTGTCCTTGCATGGTGGTTGGTTTGTTGAAATCCCACCATCACACATCCGGATAATCCGAATATTAAGAACCATATGGATGTCAAGGTCCAAATACGATGCAAGGCGACTTGTTTTCCATTATATTTAACAGGATTTTTGGTTTCACGTTGTATTAGAATATACAGGCGCATTCTTCATTGCGTGCAAAGTTCAGGTATGTCAGTACTAGTACACCGGTATGTATAGAAATAGCTGGTGACCATATCCTTTCCGTTCGGGTGCTTATGCAGCTTGTGACTGCGCGTCTCCAAGCGACTTGTACCTTGTTGCGCACGCTCTTGGACTTCTGGATGCTGCATAGTGCGGCGACAACGTTAAATACATTTCTATTCGTGTCGAGTTTTAGCCCTGCACAAGCTTGCGCTTGAGAAGATGGCGCAAGTTGCTTGCTGACAAATGTGGGAGTAATTTGAGCACGTCCGCATCATGCAAGTGCTTGGCGCCGTGGACGTGGCCACGGCAGGCTGCGTCCCCACACTGGCAGTCAAACTTCTCGTCCATGTCCCATTCCGTCGTGTTGTAGTCAAACGTAATGTCGGTCCCTGCAGCATACCAACCCCATAAGAGACGTGCATCAGTAGTCTAGAACATGGTGAATATGGACATACCCTTGGCAATGGGCTGGATGGCCACCACTTGAACCACGGGGTCGGTCTCGGACATGACAAACGACGCGTTCGGGTTGCACGAGTGGTTGGCGTACTCCAACCCGCCAAAGATCTCGACGTGCTTGTCGTGGGTCATTTGAATGGTGAACCTCGTGGGTGCATCGTACTATACAGTTGTGGCATCGTCAACCAACGACTGTGCGCAGGAAAGACTAACGTTAGTACCATGGTTCCGCGGGCTGTGCCAATCACTTCGTTCGGCTCAATGTCTCGCGCAGCAATTGCCGTGTTCCACTCGGGCGTTCTAAGCACCCACAAAGCCGATCATGGACTGATGGAAATAGGTAGTAGGTGTACGCACGTACACTTGCTTGACGGTGAACGGGCCAGGCGTCTTGGGCTCGGTGCCGCGAATGACGTCAACATGGGCGGCGTTGACGACGTGACGGCAGTGGGGGACTAGAGTCGACGCGCGGGCGAAGCTTCGCTGGAGGAGGAGCATTGGAGGTGCAGAGTGAGAGGGGTAGAGGTCGAATTGCACAATGACTCGACGATCACAATGCTGATTCGGGTGCACCAACTTGCCGACTTTGCATCAACCCACGGAATATCCGTACAGTATAGTATTTCGAAGCCACTCTCCCAGACACCGCAAATATTTTCCAAAATGTAGCCGTACAAAATGCGTTGATATTTACTATGTTGTGAATAAGCTATATTTTAAACGTCATGAACGGTGCTTATAACATTTACATTTAGGTACTTGAAGTTGTTTGAAAGTAATTGGTATCCGGATAATCCACCAATCATCAATCGACCGCATGAAGTCCACCAATGAACACGGTTGAGTTGGATGTCGACTAAACCTACTAGTCACCCACGAATGAACATGTGCACTAACATGACGCTCGACAGTGGTGCGACTGTTCACGACGTGCAATGAAGTACTTCAAGTAACTATCAGCGCTGTTCATTCACGGTAACAGTTCCAATCTCAACGAATAAGCTAGCTCAATTACGGTGACTTGACCGCATTTGGTCGGTTGATTCTTGCCCCAAACCAAAACAATATTGTTGTCGTAATCACGAAAGTACAACACCATTGTTGACACAGTGGTGCTGCTGACGTAGAAACTGTACGGTACAGTTAATCACAGTTTACACGAACGCCAGTTGGAGAATCTCTCGCACGTTGGACCGTGCATCGTTGCTCTCCCATACCGTGTGGGCCACCATGGTTGCATCTTGCGATACGAGCGACTTGAAGTGGTGGACGCTGCCCCCCGTGCCAAAATAGTACGATTTGGCAGCCACCAGCGCCACGCCGCCACGTCGTTTTAAGTGGCGTCGAATGGTCTAGTTAGTTTGGTTCATCGTCATCATCTACGCTTGTTCAACATCGAGTCGATCGTTCGTGTACCTTGAACAACTCGACACTGACGCTTTCCGTGTAAATGGTTTCAGCCGACAGGATCAAATCGAACTCGACGTCGGTGCCGTGGTTGGCTTGGGCCATGTGCTCCGACATCAAGTGCCAATCGCCCGAGTAAAACGTGGCCTTGTCCGTGGTCGCATTTCGCTGAGTGTTTGGAATCGTGGCCAGCTCAATCACTTCGTGGTTGTAGTCTGAAAACACAACCTGTGCCGCTCCTACGGTCGTCGTCCTGTTAACGACCACACTACAACTGGTTGTTTGTCGAATCAAAAGCCAGCATAACCACTCCAAGTGCATCTGGTTGAACGATGGATTTAGACGGCTGCAATGTACCCTGCTGCAGTGCATGCAGGCCAGGCAAGCCATGGCCACACCCGAGCTCGAGGACTCGCCATCCTCCGTGAGCGTGCACGGGAAATCTGGCTGCATTTGCGGTCATGTACTGAATCAAATCCACGGCTCCTTCCCATAGCTTGAACCCGCCTAACAATATAGGCGTACGGTGTCACAATATCCTTTGTCATTCCTGGTTGTAGAACGAACGGGTAGTACCTTCATACACTCCGGTTTGGATGTCTGACGTTATGAGCAAGTTGGCGAGTTCGCCCGTGCCTAAGCAAATGTAAGCATTCGAATCAATACATATCAGATGGTGCTTTCTTTGTGCATGTACGGGCTTTCTAATGACAGACTTACGCGAGAGAAATCGAGGGTGGTGCTGGTTCACCACTGCCATCGATACTGATGGCCCCACTGGCACGACAATGAACTGATCGGCATCGAAAGCGTGTGTCAATGGAGCTGCGCGATGGAGCACTGCAGGACGCTTCTGGACCAAGTCGCTCTGCGATAATGCAGCATCTGCCGTTGGTGAAGCGTTGGCGGCGGCAGCAGTGCCGTCGTTGTCGAAATTGAACCGAAACATCAGTACTAGTACATCTAGTAGTAGTACAGTAGCGCGACAATCAACGAAAGGACAGCGGCAACAATGATCCGGTAAATATAACCGGATGACACCATTCGTCATCACGAATACTATTAATAGGTATTAATTAATACTACGTAGTAGTACTATAATACTATGTAGTAGTAGTAGTAGTATGGGGTTACGTACGTATCGACAGCCCCAACATCCATTGAGATTGCATGGAGTAAAATGTCAACGAGCCGTCTTCAGATGCGGAAAGAGACTTGAATTGGATTGTGGTAACTTTGGGCCGAGTGCTTCTACGGGCCTGCTCCAACTTTCGCGATCGCAGTGCACTATAATGGTGATCGTTAGCTCCATGGTCTTACACGGTTATATCCACAGCCATTGTTTTCCTGCAAGTTGCCTTGTTGCAAGTTACTACTGTAGTATGTACATGATGATAGCATAACGCTAATCAGTTACAGTAGTTGCGGTGTGTGGTGATCAGACCTTTTTGCACAACCGTTTCACAAGGAAAGGGCACTCTCCGGAAATTATCCGGATCGTTCAGGTTTCAGGAGTGCGGCTAAATTTAGGTCGAGTTGGGTGAGGTTATATCCAGAGACCGTTCGGCGAGTTGATCGTGCAGAGCCGCGACGATGTCTGGGCTCGTGGGTGTGGTTGGCTCCAACTGCATCTCCTCCAAGAAGTCCCGCGTGGCGATGTTAAGACACAGGAAACTCACAGCCAAGGAGAAACTTCTGCTCGCCCAAGGGGGCACGCACACCACCGTGCTCGACGTGCTCACAAAAAAGCTGGTTGCTAAGCTGGAAGAGCTCATTCCCGTGGAAAACGAGCGACACGACCGCGCGTTTCGGCTCTTCACCAGTACAGACGCCATCACGCCGCAGAGCTTCCACGCGCTGCTGCTCAAGTTTCGCATCTCGGCCAACCGCCAGCAAAGTTACGCGTTGTTTCACAAGTACGACGTCGACTGCCGGGGAACGCTGGACCGGACCAAATTTCTCAACGGTGTCTTTCAGTTTCGTCGAAAAGGATCGGCTCCGATACCCACCATAGTACAGCAACGATCCTACGACGAGGATCGGCAGGACGAGCCCCCGACGCCTCCCAAACGAGGAATCGCCGCAAGACCAAAGCAGCCGCACAACGTCAGGAATTCGACGTCTGTGATCATGTCTGACGTGATCACTCATCCACCCAACAGTCACAGCGAGCAGCCTCCGCCGCGACACAAACACTCTACAGTGACGGACCGACTCGCCCACAAACCCATGCTCACGCACCACCATCCGGCCCGAGAACAGCACGAGACCCCCCTCGGGGACAACATTCCGTTCGAAGAAGTGGTCAAGCGGATACGGGACAAGATCGACCAGCGCACGTCGAAAGCGTCCGACCGATTTCGGCAAGCGTTCAAGATCTTTGCCAAGGCGTCTGGCATCACCATGGACGAGTTCCACGAAGGCTTGCTGCAGCTCGGGTTTCGACTGTCCCCAGACCAAAACAAGCAGCTATTCAACACGTTCGACGTCAACCAGTCGGGCGACTTGGACCTGAACGAGTTTGTCCAAGGCATTTCGTTGGACGATTCGTCCATTAAGTACATCAACGCCCACGTCCAGCGCCAAAAACGCGAAGAAGCGAGGCGGAAGCGGTATCAGATGGCTGTGCAGTCGGTCGAGCGCGCGTGGACGATCGAAGACATGGAGCGAAAGCTACGCGAAAAGATTGAACAGCACACGTCCAAGTCGTCCGATTGTTTTCGGCAGGCGTTCAAAATATTTAAAAAGTCCTGCGGCATCCGTCGGCAAGAGTTCCACGACGCCCTCGCCGAGCTCGGGCTGGACCTGAATCGAGAGCACACGGACAAGTTGTTTGCCAAGTACGATATTGACGGCAGCGGAGACATCGACCTGCCCGAGTTTGTGCGCGGCGTGCTCCCAGCAGACTACTCGGGGGGCACGTGGGTAGCCGAAGCGGACGAGATGCACCGCATCGAAGCCGAGGTACGTCGTCGTCGTGCGGAGGGAATTTCATCAGTTTGGGTTTCATGGGGATGATGTGTCGTGTATCTAGAGCAAAAAGCTCAACCCAGACTCGCACTTAAACCGCGTGGAAATCACAAACTGGTCGCTCGACAACATCCAGTTCAAGCTGCGGGAAAAGATCACGCAAAAGACCACGCGGTCCTCGGATACGTTTCGCCAAGTGTACAAAATCTTTCAAAAGTCGACGGGGATTACGTTGCTCGAGTTCCGACAAGGGCTGCTCCTGCTCGGCTTTCGCCTAAACGACGCCCAAGCAAACGGATTGTTCAATCGCTACGATTCCGACCACAGCGGCACGATCGACCTCACCGAGTTCTGTCGCCACGTACTGCCTCCGGATTACAACGGCGACGGCGACCACTGGGTACAACTTCCTTGCGTGAGTTGTTTGAACTTGACGTTGTGGTGTATGTATATTAGGGACACACACAAGACGAGCACAAACAACGGGCCCAAGACGCCATGACGTACGTAACCATGACGAAGAATGGCACAGTGCCGATGGCCACCCCCCCAAACCCGATGCGGGAAGGCACGCCGATGCCATCGCGCCCAAACTCGGCCCCCCAAGCCCGACCACCCCATTCGGCCACCAATGGTGGTCCATCTCCCCATCACCGACGGCACTCGATGTACGAACGAAATGACCTTTTGATACGGTCGTTCTTACGTATTGGCTGGGCATAGGAAACTAACCCCTGAGGCCAACGTATGGTCTGCCGACGCTACTAGCCCTGACAAAGCCACGTATGTTCATCATCGCATCTTCATGTTGCTGGATCGACCGACGGCGTGGCTGATCTTGAGGTTTCTTTAGGGCCCATGCCGCACCTTCGTCTTCTCGACCTGCCACAGCTCGTCCTGCCTCGGCTCGGCCTGCCTCAGCCCGCAGCCGCCAATCGGCCGAGAATGACCCCCAGCATTACCTTCGCCCGAGCTCTGCTCGGTCTTGTAGTAGCAGCAGCAGCGTCTCGTACCGTGCAAACCCGTTTAAGTCGAAACGTCGCCACTTTTTCCACCATCACAGTCTATGGCAGCGGAAAGTTAAGTTCCATCGAGCCCAGCAACAACTCGAGTTACAGAAGCTCCAAAACAACCCCCCCGGTTCTACTACCGCTCCAGCCCCCCCCGCCACACAACCCAACGAGCTCGACGAATACGAAGATATTGCTGTAATCGAGGACGACGACGAGGACGACGCCGATGAGGAGGGGGGCAACGCCTTTGATGACGACGATTCACCGTACAAGGAACTTCGCACCCCCGCCAAGCCAAAGCCCCGACCTGCATCAGCCCGCCCATCGTCCGCCAAAGCCACCAAGCCACCTACAGCTCGGCCTCCGTCCGCCAGCAAAGCACCTGCCAACTCGCGACCCCAAACGTCCGCGTCCACCGCCACCTCGTCGTCGACTGCCTCGAGAACGTCGCAATCTCCGCGGGCAAGGAGGCAGCAGCAGCATGGCAGTGACACGACCAGTCAGAGTAGCCACGAAACCACGTCGACCACGGCCGAAGGCGTCCACCCTGCAAAGTTCAAGCCTCGGATATACGGTCCAGGTTTCAAAAAGATGTTTTTACAACTGGCCAAGGAACGGTTGGTGGTGCACGAGCGATAGCGATGTTACCAACCCCACTAACGTTACACCATCTCCACGACGATGACCAGTACAACGAGAGAACTCATACTATAATTATTGGACAAACTGGGTCTTTACGAATTGAGTTGCGTCCACAGCCAGTACACGATGTGATTGACAAAATCTCGCAGCGTCTTGCGCTGTTCTGGGGACAGCATGCCGTTGGGGGGCGCGTCCCGTCGACATATTTCCATCTGGACGTGCGAAGTCGAGTCGTGCTGGATGTGAATCATGATGTCTCGAGCCCCCACGCACATGAGCAGGACATGCCGAGTGTCCTTGAAATGGTACTCGCGCATCGTTTCCTACAAGTACACACATATTGGAATCCGCGTGAGTCGTCTAATAGAAACGTACTTTGTGGACGGCTTCCAGAAGCGAGGCAAACTCGTGCCACGGGACCGGCAGCTTGAGCAACTCGCCAAGGACAGGGTCGATGCTGCCACCATCACAATCGTGTGAGTTTCAACAACACTATAGACCAATATCACGAAACGTACGAGACAAATGGCGTTCGAACTGACAACGCCAGGCATTCCTCCAATTGCTCTGGCCCAACTTCGACCACCCAATTCGGAGGCAGGTGCATTTGCGCTTGTACCGCGAGGGACTTGCCCGAGCAGAGCAGTTGCGACCACAGCACGTCGCGGCGGTAGTCGACTTGGGCGGTGTCGAGCAACTCCAAAATAAATATCTACACAAACACATTTGATTCATTCAGACAATAATACAGTATTGTCAAGATATTCGATTCGAAATTGGAGTGAGTAGTGGGGTGCTCAATCGAACGAGCAGAAGAACCAAATCGGCAGACAATTGATAAACGACCAGTCAAAAACCAGATCACTGATCAAATTCTCGCTTCGGCCAATTCCACATCGAATTAGTATGTGACTTCAATTAGTGTGACGAGTCTTACATACAAAAGTCAGTACAATCAATCGATCGATAGATTTGGCGAATCAGCACAAAAGGTCAAATTTTGGGTAAAAGAAAGACAATACTAGTAATCGCGAGCTATGAAGACACGGCATGCATTAATTACCTCGACTTCCCCCATGAGCTCGGTCGTCTGAAACGGATTGTGGTGCATATGCAACCCAAACGCTTTAACTGTGTTGGGGCCGACGCTCGTGAGTACCAGTGAGTACGGACACTCGACGTTGCCGTTGACGTTGCGGAGAAAGTGCCCTGTCACAGACCGCGCGGCGATGGCATTGGGGGTGCCAAACACGAGCAAATCACTCACATAGTACCGCTTGGCGTGGCACGCAATGTATCGCACCAACAAGGACACGTCCTCGGCTAAGTTGACGTCCACTTCAAACGCGGTGATGCAGTGGTTGGCGCCCGTGGGGGGGCTCGGGTGTTTGGCCATGAGCATTTCCATGCCACTCGTGACGTGGCGCAAGTCACGGGGGGCGACCAAGTGCGCCTTGAGCTGGTCTTTGGTCATGGCCAATGTCTTGAGCAAGTACGCGTGCAAGTCGGCGACTGCGAAGTCGTACACCATTGGCTTGAGCTGCAGCAGCGTCTGCACGTATGCCATCGTGTACACGACTTGGTCCCCGGTCAGCTGAACGTAGCTGGACTGGGGCAAGTGTCGGCCGGCATCGAGACTCACCACGTCGCGCTCCGATACAAAGTACGCACGTACAGTCATCCCGTTTCCCTTGTCCAGGACCTCCACCAGCACCAACCCTTCCGTGACTTTCTTGACGTACACTAGACACGGTGGCGGCTGGGAAGGCAGCGCCCTGAACCCTGCTTTTTCTAAATGTTTCACAAGCACCTGTCGGAACGCTGCGGTGTGGGCGATTTGGAGGTGTGGGCGATCCGTGGCCACTTGGTGGATCAAAGTTTGCACCGGACTACTACTGGCACTCGTCGTCGCGGGGGTACTTTTGGGGGCGGTACCACCGTGGCAGAGAAAGTCGACGTGGAGACGGCCCACGGCCGCGTACACGTCGTTGAAAATGAACTGGATCTCATACGACAGCAGCGTGAGCATGCCACTCACGTGGTGTGCCACGTTAGACGCAGTCGAAGGCCACACGCCTGAGAAGCTCACGAGAAAGTGCCGATGGAGCATTAGCCGGCCACATCCGACGAGTTGGTCCACGGCGTAGGACGGAATCGGTCGACCGGCCAGGCACTCTTGCGCCATGAGCGACTTGAACAGGTCGTACACTTGATTGTACTGCATGCGATGCTGGTCGTGAAAGTCCAGCGCCGACCGTAGCTTGGCTCCGTGGTACGACAGCGGGTCCGTCGCTTTGAGCAGTTCATTGCGTTCGTTTTGATTGTAATGGCTGAATGACGACGGCAGAAGCGTGCGCAACGTGTGCCGCCACAAGTGCTCTAAAAAAGTAATCATATCATCACGAGGCCCTTACGTACAATCAATATCACGAGACACACGATGGACAGACCATTGCAAGTGGAGGTGGCTTTTTCGGATGTGGAGAGCCTTCGAATGGGAGGGAGACTGGCCTTGGGGGGTGCAGTTAACGCCGTGGTTGACGGTTGCTTTGCTGTCGTCGTAGGAACATGATTCGCAGCTTTCGACAATGACGACCGAGGGGCCAACATGTCCTTGTTCAATGTCAACGTCCAAGCGGGGGGTAATTTCGTTTCGGCGTCGTCCGTCGTAGTCGCGGCGGCAGTACTGGCGACGGGGGCGGCCTTCACGACGCCTCGAGCTCTGGCACGTGCCGCCATGAGGGCATTGGTGGCGTTGGGTGGGACGTTGGCCTTGCGTACCGACGTCGCGGTGGCGGTAGGGGGCGGGTTGGCGACCCCCGTGCGGGGCAGCGGGACGGGGGCCGGAATTGGGGTCACGGGGTTGTTGGTGTCGAGCTTTTCCGAGACGGTACTGCTCGTGCCTCGCGGTCGCATGGCAGGGATGTCTTCGATGGGGGTGCCCGTTTCGCGGAGATACTCGACGAGCCCCATGCCGTCGACAGCCCGCACCATGGTCGCCGTCACGAGGGCGGGGGGGTTGTTGTGGTCAAGCAACACGTGAAACACTTGGGGCGTGAATGCGATCAACGTGCTTGTAAAATCCCGCCCTGTCCACGCCGGCGCCTTGCCCACCACGGACGGCGGGCGTACGACCATGGCGCTGGGTTGGAGCATCGAGCAGGTGGTGGGCGACGCCAGCGCGTACCCCCGCTTTTGGAACAGGATGCTTCGAAGCAGCGTCTGCCGGAGACTGCACCACCCAAGCGCCTTGGCAAACCCGGTGCTGAGGATGTCGAGGACATGGGGGTGGCAGTTGTAGCTGGCAAACACCAGTCCCTTGTGGGTCAGCTCGACCTGGTAAAACAGATGGCGGGAGCGCGACAACACGGTCGAGTGCAGCATCGTGTCGTCCTTGGGATGCGATTGCCGTGGTGAGATCATCATGGGCGAGTTCAGCGTGTCCACGGATTGCAGCGACGACGCCGAGAACGATTTGCTCAGCCTGTCTGGTTCGTCAAACGTGAACGCGCTGCCGGCCCCCATCGGACACACAAACGTAAATGCGTGGGTAAACGAGTATGACGCCGCCGCCTCCTCCCCAACGCCGCTGCTGCTGTCTCCTCCATCGTACGGCTCGTATGGCACATCGCTGTCTGCGCGAAAGAATACGTGCGGTCTATAACAACATGCACACATACCCTCAACATCATTTTTCCATGTAGATACATGGACACGTACTGGACGTTTCCAGGCAACCGCTCGAAAGGCACTGCAAGTTGCTTGACAACGTGTTCAATGTCGTATGACGGAACAATATCGCGCTGTTGCATGAGCGTGATGGTCGTGGCCGACAAGTGGCCGGCTTTGTCCATCAGCTTGCGCAGTTCGCGCACGGTTTCGACAGAGTAATGGTATGACGTCTGGGGCGTCGTCTGTCGACTCAACATGGATTCGATCGCGTATTCGTACAGCGCCTACACTCAACACAGATAGATTATTATATCGTGCTGCTGTGGTAAAGAACTAGTTTGACGATATGGACGTTCGTTACCTGGTGCACGGCTGTCGTGAGCACTTCCTGCATCAAGTCGGTCGACAATTGACCTCGGACGTATACGCGCCATCGAACCGACTGATGGGACTGCGGACACTGGGGCCACGTTGCCAATACTTTGGACCATACAGGTGGGCTAGCCACGGACGGACTTTGAACTACAATTCCCATGTATATGAAAGAATATTTGTAACATATACACACAAAAGGACAGGTGGAGCCATAATAATACTGGAGTCTGTCGTACTCGGGGTATCATCCACGACTTCCAACGTCACCCACGCCAAGCCCTTGCCAAGGCTCGCCACAAATCCCGATCGACCACTGAGTTCGGGGTTGACATTGAACACAAACGATAGCGTCGTCGGCTCTTCGTCTCCAAGGGCGGCGGTCCCACTCGAAGCACTTGACGGCGCTGACGACGGCGCTATTCCGGACAACAACGGATCCGCTCCCTTGGCCTCGTCCGCTGGGTCCACTGGAGGCGCGAGTCGGATGTACGGTGTTTCGACGAGTTTTTCCTTGACAAAGTGCAAAAACAAGAGTCCGTCGACCGGAGGAATCACCTGGGTGGTTGTGAAAGTCGGAACGGCAATGTCTGGCACGAGAAAGTCAAAGTCGGATGTGGTGAGTTTGTTCTGTCGCGATGACGATGACAACGACGACGACGAGCCAGGTGCGCCTGCGACAGTCCGCGGCGCCGCTTTCATCGTCGGCATGGCCTTCATGAGGATGCGCAGAAGCGTATCGTCCAGCTTTTGCTCGAGCACACGACACAGCTCGACCGTGATTTCGTCGCTAGGTTCTCGGATGCCAAATACTTGGAGTTCAATCGCGGCGGACGACGATCCTTGTGATTTGTCGACCAACGTCATGTAAAACACATGGCCTCGCTTGTCGCGATAGACAAACAGGTGGTGTCGGTTGTGCACTTGAAACTGCTCGAGGGCGGACGAACAGAGCATGTTGAGTGCCAAGTGCGGCACGAGCCGAGACTTGAGCACGAATGTGGTCTGGAACTTGAGGGGGCATTCAAACTGACCCGGCCAAAAGAAGGGCGACGACGATACCGACGTGGACGAAGGCGCACCAGTCGCCATGTCAAATAGGTTGTTGTGGCTGCTGCTTCGGGCCGACGCTAGCATGATGGATGACGACGACGATGTGTTGTGTGGCGACGGCAGCAGCAGCGGACTACACGACCGCGTTTCGTGCATTTGCTGCAAGAGCAGGAATTGATTCACTTGGGTGACGGTCGCGGCGATGCCAAGGTGCAGTCTTGTGAGCAGGCCGAGCTCGTCCAGACCAGTCGACATTCCACGAGAGGTCGGGATGTGTAATTGAAGTGACACGGAATCCCCCCCCGCGACGACGGTAAAGTACGCCCAGTACAAGATGGGCTCGACATCCCCTTCGAACACAAAGTACACTTGGTCGCATCGCACGAGGCGTAGCCACGGGTTGTTGGACAGCAAGTGGTCGTGGAACAAGTGCAACGTCGGCCAGTCGGGGAGTTCCAGCGGCAGAAACGCCAGCGGGTACTCGACTTGGCGGACACTGGCGGCAGGCAGCTCGTCAAAGAGGAGCCGGACCAACGCCCCCAGCGGCGGACTCTCGAGCGACCGCGGGGGCAGACACTGCAGGATCGCAAGCACATGTTGCGCGCACAGCTCTTGGATGGCATTTCGAAGGCGTCGGAGGACGATAGGCACCTTTGTCTGTGGCTGGTTGGCGGCATCATGTTCCGGCGCAAGGGTCATGACCACGAGGCGGAGATACACGCGCGGATGACGCGGGTCCTTCAACAGGTTGGACAAAAACAGAACACGATCAATCAACGACGTGGTCGGGTGGTCATCCGAGACGAGGCGGTAGGGCTGGGCCATGTTGTTCAGGACGTCTGTGAGGTGGTTGGACGCACTGAGCACACGCACACTTTTGGATCGCGGGCGGCCGCCAGAGGTCGCCTCGGACATCCACGACGCGTCTTCGTCCTGCCAGCATTCAAAGCGCACAAAGAACGTCGCGTGGTTTCGATGAGACGACTCGTTTCCGTCCGTCGCAGCAGCGGCGACATCCTCCTCCGGGGCGTCTTGATGGCCTTCGTCGTCGTCGTCGTCGTTGTTATCGGCGGCGGCGGTCCCCGTGTAGTAATACCACTGGGTATGCGGGATCGACGTCAACGACGCCGAAATCAGCGCCGACAACGCCTCATTTAGCGACGCCGACGGGACAACCAAGTTGCCCCCTCGTCGCCCTCGTCCTATTTCTTCTTCGTCGCTGCTGCTCGTGTCGTCTTCACTGGCTGAGGACGAGCAGGGTGATTCCAACGGCAACATGGCATGCAGACGCGTGACGTCCACGTCCAGCGGCACATGCACGCAGCTCCAAAGCGCTTGGAGCAAGTCACAGGGCTCGATGGTCGCCCCACTTCGCAGCGCGTGGTACACCCCGTGTGAAAAGTTGTGTTTGTGCGCAGCTCGAACTTGACCTACAAACGCGTCCAAGTCGGGGGTGCTTTGAGCAGTCACGACGGGCTGCGACTTGAACGGCAACGAACACTCGTAAAACTGGATCGGCAGCACGTCAAAGGGGGGACTTGAATCTTCGTTTTCGCTCGTCGGTTTTGGGTCGTTGGCCATCCAGTGGCGGCGTTGGTCAAACCAAACCAAGTCTTGCCTCGTCATGTGCTCCATCGGGGGAGCCACGACCGTCGACGACGACAGCCCTGCCAGCCATTTCAGGCGCTCCGTCTCTTCGTCCGAGTCGAGCCGGACCGATGGGGATGCACCCCCTTCCAACGACGATAACGTACAAGAACTGGCGTGTGCGACCATGGTGTCCAACGTCGGAACAAACGCCAACAGCAACGTATTGTCCCCGACGACTTTGGCAAAACAGCGGCCGGGGGGAGGGGGCGCCGCGGGGGTATCTGACTTTGACGTGGCACTTGACCGCGAGATCCACAGCGGGCCACATGCCGTGTGCGGCGGTGGATTGAACTCTGTCCATGCCACTTCGCAATCGGCCAAACGCACAAACGAGTCGACAAGCATTGCGTGCAAATGCTGGTTGGCGGTGTTGTCGTTCGCCATGTACAGCAAGAAGCGCTCGGTGCTGGGGGGGGTGGTAGTCATGAGGCGGGCGGCGCTAAATGGTGAGTTCCGGACCGGAAACCCATTGAGTGGACAGGGGAGCACGACGTCGTCGGGGGGCTGGACGACCCGGATGCCATCTTTGGCGGCCTGGACGATACGGTAGAACGTCAGCAGACACGACAAGACATGCAAGTCGGCTTGGTACAGTTGTTGCTGCATTTGCTCAAACCATTGCGTATCCGAAAGCCTCGTGGCGGCGGTGTCGTGCTTCGTCGAGGGCGACGCGGTCAAGGCCGGGGGGGGAGTTCCAAACATTGCCGGCGGCTGATGTCTGGAGTTTTCTGTCAGACACGACGAAGTCGCATCGATGTAGCCGGTCACAGGCTCCATCCAGAACGACGTCATAACGGTGGTATCGGACACGACCGAGATTGCGCACTGATACAGCGCCGCCGTCGGCCGGCCGCTGTTCCACACGACCACCTCTTGGGCCAGCAACACAAACGTCGGCGTCGCTTGCAGAGTCACGAGTCCTCCCTGGCGCTGTCTGTTCAGTTGCAACCGCCGCATGGCTTCGACTTGATGCGGCGGGGGAATGTGCCACAGCCACACGACGTGCCACATGGACGCGGCAAACACGGGCATCGACACGCCTGACCCCCCGCAGCAACTCGGCGGGTGGGTGAAGGCCGCCACGGGCTGCTCTGGTGCGATGAGCCACGTCAACGCGGGGGGCTCCAGCAGCAGGCGTTGGATCAGGCGGTGGCTCACGACCAGGCCCGGACTTCGCGGTTCCCCAGGGGAGTTAGTTGCACTTGAGTGCAGCAATCGCTTCAAGTCGGCTAGCACCGCCTTGCGAATCGCCGTCTTTGCCGCGTAAAATGCCACGTGTACGACCACGATCGCCGACGTGGACGATCGTTCTAACCGGACAAAGCACACGGCTTTCTTTTGGGCGGGGGCGGTGGTTGCCGCGGCCGCCGCGAGTGAAATCAGCGACCCGCGCTGTTTTCGATTCACGGTCGACTTGGCCGATGATGTGTGTCCGGCGAGGGCCGGGGACGACACGGACGGTTTCGACAACGACCTCCGCATGTCGTCGGCGAGAAACTTGAGGTAATTGTTGGGGCTGAGCTGCATGGTGGCCCACTTGTGCAGCGCGTCGGCAGCTACGAACGCCGTGTCGGCGCTGTGTTGTGCGGTCCACTCGACGTGGATCAGCTCGAAGCGCTCGACGTGGAACCACCGATGCCACAACAACGGCGACAAGTCCCCAAGCAGGGTAAACACTGGGTGCGCCGACGTGACGGCGGTCGCGGTCCGGGAAAACAGGTTCAAAATCGGCTTTGTTTCCGTGTCGAGCGTCGCTTGCATTTGAATGGCAGACATCAAGTGGAGCAAAATGCGGTCGCGCTCGTGCAGGTCCTTGAGAAACGTGTGGAGCGCCTTGGTTGTGGGGCTGCTTATGACCGAGTTGGTGGATGCATTCGATCGGTCAAGCATGGAGGACACGGCAGTGGACGGCGGGGGGGCAGCTGCAAACCCAAGGGTCGATGCGTTCGCTCCAGCAGTGGACGACGATCCTGGAGGCCCGCCGTCAAACACAAGTCCCCCACCATTTCGCTGTTTCGTAGCAAACTCGTCGAGGAACTTGGCCGGCGCGAGCACGTCCACCCGCAGCGTCATGTCGTTCGACATAAAGTTGGCGGTGACCGTGTATTCGAGCCAAATGTCCGACTTCCACTGCAACAAGCACGACACGACCACGGCCGAGTCGACTGTCACTTTGGACACGAAAAAGCCTTCTTGTAGCCGCGCCTGCACAATCTTGAGCACACTCCCGCGCATCTTGTACTCGTGGATCTTTTCCCGGAAGAGGCGAAGCGGGCGGAACGCGTTCAACGCGGCCAGGGGCTCGGCGTCGACCACCTGCGGCATGTCCCAAGAGTGGGCGCGGGGTACCACGAGCGACGGGTTGAAGAACAGCACCGGCTGCAGGCCATTGGCGCACAGCGGGTGTGACCTGGATTGGACGAGGAGATGTAGCGTGGGGACGTCAAAGAGGGAGCCCCCCGTGGCGTCGGCCAGGAATCGGAGGAGGTCGGTGTCGGGAACGTACCCAAACGCACATTGGGGCTGGTACCCCCCGCTGATCTACGATACACAACGTACCGTTGTATAACGTTAAACAACGTTGACAAGAATGTAATGCCAACGACTGGAGCCATATCGAGATAAAGGAATGGGAATCACAGCGCCATCGAATATATTGGCATACAACGGATACAAAAATGATTTGGGATAGAACGTCAGAAGGATATATATATTGTGAATTCGCTATAAACTTCCAAAATTCGCGTGGTTGGTCTAATCAATATTGAATCACGCTGGAGTTCGGATTGGCTGACTATACTTGCCATTTCTGTAAGAGCCAATCAAACACACTCAAAATTGGATTAGCCAATAGCGTTGATTCGTGATTCGATTCGCCGGCGTGATTCGATTCGACGGGGTCTGGAAATTTGTACCAAATCCACCAATATATATAATATATATATATATATGTAGGGGATAAAAGGGCAGATATATATATATATATGTAGGGGATAAAAGGGCAGGACAAGAAGGTATGGTTATACCTGGATGGCGTGGCATTGGATGTTGTGCCGTGCGAGTTGCATCATGAGATCGTCGTACGCGTACATGTTGGGAAGGTCCACGACGCCGTCGGTGACGAGGAAGAGCATGGGCGACGCGTCGTGGGGAAGGGAATTGAGGGCGAAGATGGAGTTCTGGAGGGATGTGGCGAGGGAGGTGGGGTCAGAGAAGGAAGGAGATGGCAACTTCTTGGCCCAGTCGTCTTCGAGAAGTTGGAGGCGGTGTTTCACCAACGCGAGGACTTCGCGGACGTTGGCGGCATGCAGCGTCACGCCTTGCACCAGCACGCACAGCGAATCCACCATCGCGCCTTGTACGATGACCGACAAGTATATCTCGGGGAAGACAAATGCTGATGTAGAAGAAGGCGGAGGCTCGACGAGACCCTGGAGCAAGAGGTCTATCGCCTGGAACGCCATGTCCAGGATTAGGGTGCCGGAGATGGGGTCGATGGAGAGCGTAGAAGGGCTCGCGTCGAGACACACCGCGACGCGGTACTTGCGATACGACAGGTACAGATTCGACTGCGGCGCAATGTGCAGTCGAAAGTCGGCAAGGTCGGACGGGGACGGTCCAACTGAAGTCGTCGTTGGCAACGCGGTGGACGTCGAGTCGGGTTCCGGCACGAACGACACGTGGACCATATCCACCTCTTCTTCGACGCTCATAGAATGCATGAACTGCGTGGCCAACGTGTGAAGCGTCGAAGGCGACATGGTCGACGTCGTCGCCGCCGTGCGGGACGATCCTCGCGGCGCCAGCAAGAGTTGTCGCAGATGCCACAGCGACAACGCAGGTCCATCGAAGTGCGAGAAGTCGTGTGCCTGGAGATGCAACTCATCTACTTGCGGCGAGAATATCGCAGACTCCTTCAGCTCCTTCTCCAAGCTGTCGTCATCCACATCGTCGATCATGATGATGGGCGCGTTGAATTATGCTGCCGCCGCAATTGCAGCAAAATATTATACGGATACAAGACTGGTGTATCCGGAAATCCCTTTTTGACAGTTACGGTTCGAAAACCTGATAAGAATGGACGATGGATGGTATCCCGACATGCTTCAATGAGAGATGCCTAGCTTGATGAACACGCCAGACCACGCCTCCTCCACGTTGCGGTTCGTGGACGTCTGGGGATCGTACCCGCCTGCGCGCTGTTGCAAGGCGCGCAATTGTTTCCTACGAACATGATCATGCATGCGATGTTACGTTGAGAAACATGAAGTCATACGAGTCAGCCGCGCCATGCCCTTTCTTCCCGCCATGGACCGGCACGGGTTGCGGTCCTCCGCCAAAGAACCCCGGCTGGAAGCCCATCATGGCGGCTTCCATTTCTGCACTCAGCGGTTGGTCGATGGGGATCGCTGTCGTGGGGTTCACAATCTTCTCGACGTCTTTCTCATCTCGTTCTCCCAAGGCCACCTCCATGAGCTGCGCCTTTTGTCGCTGGACGTCGAGCTGGAACTTGTTATCTTCCTGCTGCTGGACGCGGCGGCGGTCGTCCGTCACCCGGCGCTGTTCTTCGATGACGTGGAGAATCCGGCGCTCTTCTTCTGCCTTCTTCGCTTCGTTGGCGTTGATCAATAGGGTGTTTTCTTGTTTGTACTGCTTCCATTTGGCATTTGCGGCGTCCTTCACCGCGTCGTCTTCGCTCAGCAGGTCAAAGACTACATGGATGTTCATGAACGTCGCCATGCAGAAACACGGATCTACAAAGCAGCAAGACATGTTGATGGACGTACTCAAATCCTCGACGGCCTCCAGATAAGCATTGTATTCGTCCAGCGAATTGAAATCTTCTCCGGTCTTGTTGTACGTCTTGAGCACTTTCTTGCGGATCGTCACGTCTTTGTTAAAGTCCTGCTCTTCCTTTGTCTTGTCCTGGAGCTGCGATTTCTTGACGAGTTTCCCGCATCCAGGCTTGGCGCATGTGATTTCCCGGTGATTCTGGAACTCGAGCTTCACGCACCGATCGCAACTTCGTAGAGAAATACCGTCAAGGCCCATCATACATGTGAGTTCTCATGGGATGTGTACGTACTAGCGATGGCCACACTTGGAGATGCGCATCTTCATCGTCGTGTTCAGGACGTTCGAGTCGTCCTCCAGGGACGTACCACAGACACAGCATCGCGCCGCGAACTCATCGTCGGCGAACATGGTCCGATGGAAATGATCTTGATGCGTGCTGTTGTGGAATCGATATTTTAACCAATCAAACATACATTTATGTATTTAAACGCTTGGATTGGCTGCATATTATATATACAAGCGATTGGATTGGTTAAAATGCTAGATTGGAATCATATGAGTTCGTTCAGCCACCTGGACTTGCAACCCATTGCCAAGTGCGCGGCGGCGACGACGTCTGCGGCAACCTTCTTGGCATATGTCCATCAGATCCATCGGGACAAGCTTAAAGACAAAAAACACTCGTCCATATGGATAGGAGATCCAAGTCTTCCTTACTTCAAGCTCCATGTGTGGTCGGACGACTGCACCGTGGTGGGGCGGCGGTTGCAAGCCGGTGACATTGTGTGCTTCCAAGACATTGCGATCCGCTGTTTCCGCGGGAATAACGAGGCGCACTTGACATCTCATTCGATGTACACGGTGCTCGTGCGGCAGAACCAGTTCCAAGATGTGTCTTCCCAGCATCTGTACGTCCCGTTCACGTCCATCATGCCCGTCGTTGAGTGGATCAAGGAACTGCATGCAAAGGGTGTAGGCTTTGGCCAACATGGCAGCGTGTCTACCGTGACCCTCAAGGACTTGCGCGAAAATATGCTCGCGCACGTCGTCTGTCGCCTTCGCCCGCTGCTTCGCCACGATCCATTCCAATCCACCACAACCACTTCCACATCCGATGACGACCCTAAGTTCTCGGCGCAGCTTCGTCAACTCGTCATGGTCGACGGTCCGGATGACGGCATGATCCTCAACGTGTGGCATGACCATTTCGACGTCCGGACCATCGCCTTCCACACCCTCGTGGAAGTGCGGCATGTCGTGATCACGTTTAACACATTGCGGCACTCGCTCATGGCCAACACCACGGGCGAGTCCTCTTTGGCTCCGTTCGCCCATTCTCCGTGCGCCAATCCTCACGACGCCGCTCCAGCCTTGCTGCCGCCACTGGTCACATGCGATTCCTTCGCCGAGGCCGCCGACAGCCACGTCCACGGCCGGCTCGTGGTGCGCGACGTCATCGTCGAATCGCTCGAGCTTTCGTTTCCTAGTCCGTCATTATCATCGTGTTGGCAAGTTGGCCTTCTCGTGGAAGGCTACTGCGCATGGTGCGAGTGTTCGTTACCAGAGCAACCCACAGAAGTCGTGCCTCGACTGTACGGACCGTGTGTGAACCGATGCCAAGGGACTAAGACAATGCGGTGGCGCTACCGCCCTGCGTTTCTGCATATCCGAGATCGGCTCGGTCATCGCATGCGCCTGCGAGTGCCAGACGCCGCCATGCAGGGGTTGGTGGGCCACATCCCCGCCGCCGCCGTCGCCGACAAGCATGCAATGCACACACCACTTCTCATGACAGTGAACGATGTACGAGACACCGTGCGCATGTTGCTGCAAGCTTTGGTGGACGATCCTGAACATGAGTTGGACATTCAAGTGTACTCGCATTTTGTCGGCGGAGACGTAGGATTCACTCGCGACTCGGCGTATTCATTCGTGGCCCTCCATGCTTGAAGGGGATGCTTGCCGTCAACGATAGTGAGTAGGTCTGAAATGAATCGTACAAGTCATTAACTAGTAGTGTTTGACAATTGTTGTGTGCATGCCTAAGGATCAACTGGGTTGACGGTGGGGGGTTGACGTTGAAATAATATGTTGTTGCTGTACATACCAGTGATGTGAATTGAGTGGACGAAAGACGAATCGCATTTACTACTGTTTACATCGAAGTAGTCATTAGATTAGTTGGTTATCCAAACAACTTTAACGCATCACCACGCAGTGATCTCACACTGGTATGTTGTACTACTTTCATGTCCCTACTACCTAAGGCCCTGTGTGGGCAACTTCACGTACATACCGGTGGTTTTGTCACTGCAAAAATCCACGAGTATGCAAGTCGCCAATGCAGGTGGATATGCCTGTATTATGACTCGGTGGTATGGCAGGCCGCCACACCTGATGTAGTAGTGCATACATAAGTATATGACTCACCTCGTGTTGTTTCGAATGATAAACTTGGTAGTGGACACCGTGGCGTATACGCAATTTCTTGTGACGATCTCGGCGGGGGGGGGCTTGATGGGGGCAACCAGGCCAAATTGGCCTTCGCATGGCTGCTGCTGACGCGTTTGTTGTTGCCCAGGACGTAAGGACTTCGAAGAGCACTTGGAACTGTGGGACGGCATCAAGCCCAAGCGCGGGATTAGCTGGACAATCACCTTCTTCTTGACCACCTTGCCGATGTTGTCGGCCATGACGCGCAGCGTGATGACATACTTGGTGATTTGGACGGTGGCGGCGAGAAAAGTACGCGGCCTCGAGCACTCCTGCACACGACTGGTCAAAGATCGGAACAACCGACGACGGGGTCGTCTCCGACGACGGGGTCGTCTCCGACGCATCCCACAGATCCGGCTCGCTCTTGGTAAAGTCAAATGGAAAGAACTTGATCAGCAACGACCAATCGATGGGGTCGATGGCGTCCTCCAGGAACATCGTCGGGGTCTTCGAGCACGGAACAGATGGAGCTGCCTGTGGGTGGCCTTTGTCTTCCATCACCTGCATTTGGGGAGTCGCGTTGTTGCGCGCGGAAAACATACGACCAGCCACAAGGTTGTTGATCATGTGTGGGGTAGGATACCAGCACACAGCCGCGCACATGCATCGCCGTACCAAGCGCTCAAGTATATCCGCAGGTCTTGAGACCCCCAGCCTAGGGGTCTTAAGCCTGCGGATGCGTTTGAGGATACCACCAAGCACGCAATGATCGCGGTGGTCGCGATGGCGATGATCAACCAATGGAGCACCATGGCGAGCTGGGAATGACCAGATAATGCATGCGTGCAAATCGGTCAGTGCCTCGTAGGTTTATGTGATGATTTGGCTACAAAAGTGTTACAGTCCGAGACAAAACTATAGACGCACCCCAAAATTTTGGAGTTTCTCATCCAAAAATATCCTTTTATCCGAAATGATCAATGCCAACATCCTTGAAAATGTAATTCTAGGAACTCCACAAAAGGATTTCTTTCATTTGTGTGTCGATCACAAGAAATATCTAAATTTCAAATTTTTGGGTGAGTCATAACTATAGACGCACTATATGATTCGACATTTACGGATTCTTTTTAAGCCAATCAGAGATCTTTAAAGTAATCAAAATGCTTACGAACACTTGTGGGACACACCGATGACTTCACCACACACATAACCAAGAATCGGACGATGCCTCGAGGAAAAACGATCACCGACCACGAAAAAGGCCAAATACAGGCATATTTGGAGGTTAACAAGTCGCTCCGTTGGATCGCCAATGCGTTGGGACGCAGCGATAAACTAGTCCGGACGTATGTTGCGAAGCTCAAGCAATCCCCAAATCCTAAGAGACCTGGACGGCGCACGAAACTGACGCGACGAGACGTTCGACGAATTTTCCGACTCGCCACACGCAAAGGAATGTCATCTAGGCAGATCTCAGCAGCCATAAGCGGTAAAGTAACTCAACGCACTGTAATTCGTGTGCTTAAAATGTCCAAATTCGCAAAGTACATAAAACGCCGCTCGGGCCCGCGCCTCACCTCCAAGCACAAGAAGGACCGGGTCGAATTTGCCTCCAATTATCTTAACAAGCTTGCTGAGTTGAAGACCACGATGTTCTCTGACGAGAAGAAATTCAACCTTGATGGCCCCGACGGCTGTCAGTATTATTGGCATGACCTGCGTGAAGATGTTGAAACCTACTCCAAGCGTGTCGCGGGTGGGGGCTCAGTTATGGTGTGGGGCGGAATGAGCTTCTACAACAAGACTGAACTCGCATTCCTCGAAGGACGACCAGACTCGGCGCGGTACCAAGAAACCCTGGAGGCATACCTCTTGCCAGCGATGCGGGAGTTGAGCGAGTTGACCTCAAGTGCTGAACCCATTTTCCAGCAGGATAACGCAAGTATCCATCGTTCTCGTTCAACGATGGCGTGGTTAGAGGCAATGCCAGGGGATACCATGCCTTGGCCTGCAAATAGCCCTGATTTGAATCCTATCGAGAACGTTTGGGGGGTACTAGCTCGGAAAGTCTATGCGAATGGTCGTCAATTCGACACCAAGGCTCAATTGAAGGCTCAAATCCTGCAATCGTGGCGGGAAATTGAGCAAAGCTACCTATCTCATTTGGTTGAGGGAATGCCAACGAGAATGGCCCAAGTTATTCTTCGCCGTGGACAATGCATCGATAAATAAGTCAATTTACAAAGTGCGTCTATAGTTATGACTCACCCAGAAATTTGAAATTTGGAATTTTTCTCGTAATCCACACACAAATGAATGAAATCTTTTTGTGGGGTTCCTAGAATTACATTTTCGAGGATGTTGCCATAGATCGTTTCGGATAAAAGGAAATTTTTGGTTGAGAAACTCCAAAATTTTGGGGTGCGTCTATAATTTTGTCTCGGACTGTACTTCTTCACACCCGTGTTGTTTTCAGTTTTACTCAGTTGGGTTCGACAAAAAGGTGAGCCTGTCACAAGAGGCGAGTGTTCATCCTGGTATCTCTTAGAACACCCGAGTAACACGAGCTTGGTTGGTACTGTATTGAATTGCCCCGAGATTGGGAACACATCAGCTAACGTTGTTATCCGAGCTTGTTCCTCATCCCGAAAGTGCAGTTTGTAACTGTATTTGGCGCAGCCAATCATAGTGCTCCATTCGAGATCTTGAAGAGGCACAATCAAGACGATAAAGCATGGCCGATAACCTGTCATCTCCCGTAACATGTTCCTTGTGTATTCAACGTCATAACGCAGTCGATGGAGTAGGATCTCCAAAAACTCAAAGAGTTGTTGCACCCAGAGACATCGCCGTATGCATTTCAACCACTTCGTCCGGTCAAAGCAAGGAAACGACCCAAACCTCCAGCATCGCTTCTGCCACTGCCTGCCAATCGGTCGTACGACCCCGCCCTTGTCCACGAGTTAGCTACTTGCGAGCACTTGGTTGTAAAAACCATCCTCCACCGCGAAGATACCCTCGAGCGTGCAAAGATGCTGTTGCACACTACACGTCTATTGCCACGTCAAGACAAGCACACGCTACGTTTGCAATGCTGTGTGGCCACCGTGGATGTTCTTTTGGCGATTCGAGATTGGCGGCAACGGCTCGCAGCCATTCAATCGTTTGGGCGCGTCTTTCTCTGGAACGGAGTCTCGTACATTCGTAAATTGGCCACCGATGTGCCAGCTCTCAAGCAAACGCTTGTGATTACCACTTCACCGACTTCCATGCCCAATCCATTCTTCTTGCCCTGCACCCTAGAAAGTCTACTAGCCCCCTCCTACGACATGATCAACTGGATGGATGATATGGATGCCACCCAGCGCCTTCGAGACGCCGCCTCCGTCTTGTTTCACGACCAAGAGTTTATTCAGCTTTGGAAGGACTCGGCATTGGTTTGTTCCAATCGTTTTCTTCGATACAATGCAAGGCACCATGCCACCACCAACCCCTTCCTGGATCGAATCCGTGCCAGTCAGCTGGAATTCGTGCAGAAGAGTTCGCTATTCGACACATCGCCTGGTCTCCGCCTGCTATGTCACGCCCTCCTTCACCACCTGCATGTGGACTGTCGGTGGGACCCAAAGCACTTGCTGAGTTCGTTGCTAGAGTTTCAACCAGCGGACATGGCATCGTCCGCGGAGGTTGCCTTGACCGATCTGTTTGCCAACCATCCATCTGCCCACCCGTCCAAACTGTTCGGTGATCACGCCGTGTGCGCCTCTTTGAGTCTTTTTGTCTTGCACATTCTTGTTCAACTCGTCGGCCAAAAACGTAAGTGCTCCTGGTCATCATAGTCTCGAAGTTCTGGTGTACTTACTTAATCATGGTATTTCGTCTATTGTAGATCGATGTCCCATGGTTCGTCTTGACAATAGCACCCCCACTTTGCCATTGTCCCCTGCTTCGACATTTCACATCCCAATCCGATTTGCGCTGCATCGAGCATTGGTCCACTGTCGAGCATCGTCCACCCAACGTGTCGATATCACCGTCGCCACACCAGTGCAAGTGTTGACACAGCGAATGACCATCGACGACTTATTGCAAATGTGTTCAAGCTCGTCCACCACAACCAACAACGAGCCCAACGCCAATCCTTTGCTTCAAGATAGCCAAACGTTGTCGGCGTGGATCAAGGCAACTTTCTTACACCAATGTCATCTGACAGCACTTCCACTACAAACGGCCACGTTTACTCCGACGTTGTTGGTGGCTGTGGTGCGAGCCAATCCAGAAGGAATGCGTCCCGTTCGTCTGGGGTCCCTTGATGTGTTACCCTCTACAACGCTGGCCCAAGCTAGGGCAATTGTCGACGTCAATTATTTCCAGGTAAAATACTACTCAATGCTGTTTTTCCATATCATATTCATGATAACATCGGCGTGTGCAGGAGTGCCCGCAACCGTTTCGGTTTCTCTATCGGGGAAGTCCATGTCCGGTGGCTCAAGAAGCATTTCGTTGTGTCGCCGGCGCAATACGAATGGACAACCCGACACTTGTCGTGTGTTCGATGGAGTCGCCGTCATCAATTCGATCGATGCCACACCCACAGCGAAAGGTCAAAGCCCAGCGGATGGTTGCGCATCTGATGTACATTCCAATTGCGTTGGCCGCGGAAGAAAAGCGATTTCGCGAAGAGCGGGAGCGCTTGGAGGCCCTCGCCCGGTTACCACGACCACCAACGTCCATTTCCATGTTTGTCCAGGTTACTTGCCTGGTTCTACAGAGTCATTTTACGACCTTTGTGCTGGTTTGGTATGGTAGGTGGACGTTCCGGCGTTGGAACTGTCGTCATTTCACATCCCCAACGATCGCTTGTGGACGGTCGCGCAATTGTTCGACGAGGTGGCGAAGCAGGTACAGAGCCGTTCAAGTGAATTCTCCATACTAACCAACCAGAACGGTAGTTTGAATGTCGCGTGTCCAGCGCTACCCACGACGTCGTTGTGGATGGCAACATCCTGTTGCATACGGTCGTGGCTGAATCAAGCTGGGACAAGTGCACTTTGAACTTTGTGCACCACCGAGTGAACATCGACGTGCCTTGTGGTGCAGTCTTTTACGTCCAGCAGCACAGTCACATTGTCGTCTTACGGCAACGCGTACGCAATCACTACGGAAAATGCATGCCAAATATTCATATAATTTCGTTTGACGGATAACTTTATGTAGGCTTGCGCGAACCTTCCACCACCCTTTGATCACTGGGGCTTGACCCCAGGACGAAAGGTGTACATTCCTAGCTCTCGTGACGACATGTATACAGTCACAAGCACGAGTATTACCAGTAAAGGCGTCGTGTCATTCCTCCTGGATCGACCTTACGCTGGCCCCACCGATTGGTTTGCAAACATAACCATGCACATGCCGCGGTTGCTAGCAGATCCACGGCTGGAGTGGGAAGTTCAGGGAAAACTGACGTCGTATGTCGTTCGGCATCGAACTAAAGTCCGCGGGCGATGGTTCGGCAAGGCCATGCCCGTGTCCGACGCCCTCTGTCGCCTCCAGACGTCTGACATCCTCGTAAGTGTGATACCCCAATGCTAAACAGACCTAACACGATGTATCGTAGCCACACGTTCGCGCATTGACTGTCGACTGGTTTGTGGATTTTCTGTACGATACTATTTGCACCGCGTTTCCCCTCTCGTACGGCATCACAACAGTGAAATTCGCGACTTTCTTGAAGGCGTATCGCCTTGCCGCGTCCTTGCACATGGTCACACCAAACGAGTGCCACGTGTACTTTAGTCGATTTCTAAATGGCCACGACGTGCTGCTGAAACCTCAGTTTCGTGTCGCACTCAACGATATCGCACATCAAGTGCTCCAATCAACATCACCCCCCCGGGCGCTCGACAAAGCAGCGGTCAACTGCGACCAGAACCATTTCTGCGAAGTTGTTCCACCCTCGCCTCTCACCCTTTGTCGGTTTTTGTTTTCCCATGTCCTTTCTTATGCCCCCCTGCCAGTGCAAGACGCAGTGTTTGGCCACTGCACGGAGCTTGCATTGACGACATTCCTCCAAGCACAGTGTGCGTCGCTCGCACTTCAATCGATGGCTCGTATGCGCTGCCGTCGTCAACAGTACGCATCGTCCTCATATTATTGTAGTTCGCGTTGTGCTCATCTGGGACTTTGGACATGAATAGGTACCTACGGCGGCGACGCCAGACGGTGTTAGTGCAAGCCACGTGGCGCCGATTCGTTTGTCGACGGAAGTACCTATACGACCAAGCGACCCGCGCCCGCCACGCCCGTCTTTGCTTGGAAATGCAAAGTGCCGTTCGATTGCTCATGTACTTGCGTCGCGTGGTGCTCCAACGTCGCATCGACGCCCGGGATGCCGCGAATCGGCTAGCGGACCGCACGATGCTGGCATTTGCAAACGACCACCGATGGTGTCGTCGGTCCCTTCACGACTATCACCACCTTGCACAGCCCCAGCAGCATGACGAACCATCGGCCGATATGACAACTTCTGCATGCGGAGCTCGAAAGGGGAATCGACGACACCAAGGGCGAGTAGTGGCGCTGTACAACCGCCACAGCCATACGTTTACGCGGCTCATCCTCCAGATACACTCACATCCCCGCCTTTCGTCGCTCCGATGGCTCACGGCGTACGACCCCCGCCACTCGTCCGTGCAGGTGCTCCCGCTGGACACAAGTGCCCTCCAACGGATGATCCCATCGACGGATTGGACAACCATCAACGATAACCTCGTGCGTCGCCTGGAAGTCCATCGTTCGTCGGCCATTAGGTTGAGTCGGAAGGAGCATGCGACGCAACCAGGGCGGCGCCTGATCCAGTTGGCGATGGCGTTGCCAGTGGCCAACATTCCACGGCGCCAGCATCGACGTCCGACGCGGTTTGTTCTAAAAGCTGTCGAATACAGTAATGAAGTCATCGTGCAAGTATACAACCCCAGGTATGAATACACATGACAAGTGCAATCTCCTGAATGACTTAGTATTGAGTCGACGATGACGGGTATGATAGGGATTCGAAGACATGGCGATTTCCATCAACGTCCAACGACGAAAGGCACTTGCTAACTGTAAGGACTTGACGCACATCTTGGTGGCTATCAATGGAATTGAGTAGGTGATTCAATCGTTGCGAGTGGTGTCCTTGGAAGTCCCTGGCGAGTACACTGTCATGCTTGAAATGGCTGTCGATGCGATCCTGCGGTCGCACATTGTGTTGGAACTTCAGCGCCACGTTCGTCGCAAATTGGCCCAACGTCGTGCTCAAGACCTTGCGGTACTCCAATGGCTTCGCGTGCAAGTGAAGAACCGATACCAATACGTCCACGCTCCGTCAGGTAATCATGCCGAAGGCTTTCGCCTTGGACTGTTCCTACTTGGAAACCACGAAATCCCCCCAGACGAAACAAATGCATGAGCGAAGGATTTGCTTCGTCTGGGGCGTGGGCAGTTAAATACCTGGAGGTTGGCTTGGACATGGAAAGTGTAAAACGTGTTTAGGATTGTGGCGACACTCGTCCAAGCCAGCGATGCTTCGAGATGCCAACCCCGTCAATGTCATGCGCGAATGGTACTACGTCGGCAACTACACCCAAACCAAAGTGCCGTATGCGTACTACATCTTGCCACGACGAAGTACTATCTCGCGCAAATCAAAAGTCCACGCCGCCATTCATATCCAAGTACGAGATACAACTACCCCCTGTCCCAGAGTTTTACATTAACTAAGAGTCTTAATTAAACTAAATCGTGGTGGTGGTTATGTAGACGTGGTACCGTAACCGCGGCCACAATCGGCACCTCTTTGATTGCGTTCGAACCATGATCACATTGCATCAATTTCACGTCCAGTGGCAAGTGCAAAGTCAGACTACCCCCTTCATCCACATCCCTCGCCTTGTCTTGTACAAAGCCATGTGGCGACACCTCTTTCATGTATGTGCTCAATATATCGTTTTAAGGCACGGAATATCACCTTTTATGTATGTGCTCAATAAATGTATCATTCTGACTATAATATGATACTGGCCACTCCATCGTCATGTAGGAGAACCTGGACGGTGCGGCCCCACTCTACGAAGATGCAGTGCGCTTGTTGGTTGGGAATATTCCCATTCCACCGTCCGATGTTGCCCTAGTCGTGTGTTGCAGTGCTGTGTTTTGGCTATCTGCGAGTTCGAACGACCGACGCCAACTGGCTCTATCATATTTAAGCCGGTATCGAACGAAATTGTTGGAATCTGACGTGGAGTTCGTACATCAACGCTTTTACCATTGGGCTATTGTGAACCACCCGTTGTCCGATGTGGCTACCCACGCCTACGCGGTCTTCCTGCATCTCGTCCGAGGACATGTCACTCAGGCGGACACTCTGTACAATGCATCAATAGATCGGAATTGCCCTCGAGAGCTAGTGGAAGCGGTACCTTACATACACTGTGGTGAGGACATTTCATTACCTGACCAAAAACGAGATAGAATCGACGGCTGGCTCATGTGAACGGTGATCTGATATACGAAGTGTCAAACTTGGACGATTTTGCACTCGCGTTGCGACCACAAGATCGCCGTTCGAGAACAAACCCTGTCGTGATTCTTCAAGTACAACTCTAAAGCACCTCGTTTTTCTCGATTTGGAACGCTGTGACGTGGTTGTAGCGCCACTTCCGCCGCACTAGGCGGCAATACCTGCGCATGCCGAGTCTATTCGCCACGATGCGGGCCATCTCGGTGAATGCGTTGGCTATTGAAAAGTTCCAAACCCTAAGCCCCATCTCGTCGCCAACCACCATGGAATCGGTCGAGAATTACATTTTACACATGCACCTCGTTCAGGTACTTCTCGTCAATCGTCCAATCCCATCAAGATGACATTCTGCATCGAATAGCATACCCCCCATGTTGTGGCAAGTCTATACGCGTCCTACTACTTGACGTCCCCAGCCGTTCGCTGTGGCTACGCCCTGTGGCTCCTTTCCGAGTCTAGTCCTGGCAGCACGACCAAAGCCGTGCATCTTCTTGCAGACATGACTGTCGAAATGAAAACAAAGGGCGTTTTGCGTGCCTTGGAAGTGACATTTCTTCGCTTTGTTGTGATGTGTAACCCCCCCGACGTTCAGGGGCTCCTCAACTACGCCCTTTACGCCCAATTTGTCTTGCAACAGTATGACGTGGCTGAGCGACTATTTGCTGCCGCTGTGGCGTTCCCACAAGACGACCATTTCCCCCTTGCGTTGAAAGTACGATAGATACCCTACTTCTCGTCATGTTTTTGGTAGTGGAGACCTGATATATCATTGTGTTTCTGATATATCATTTTGATATGTTTTAGTTGTCGTTTCGGTTTCGACAACACCGGCTCCCTTGCAACGTCTCGAGTGGTTTGGGCCCCACGCGTGCCGTGTATTATGATAAAACGACCCAAACTGTCGTGACGTTGGGGTGTTGGAGCCGCCTTTGTTTCTACGTCCGGCAAATCTACCCCGTGTATTTCTGGTACATAAATACACTCCCAGTATACTTACTTGCCAACCGAAACGGGGATGGCGTAGGTGTCACGCGCTGACCTTTCAACGAGTGTGGGAAGACCGTATCATGTTAGGCCTCCTCAATGTATCCCATGACGTGAGGGAATATGTCGCTCAACTTCGACAATCTCAAGCCATCTCCAAGTTGCAGGTACTGCAGAACCAAATACGAAGATTGCCATATTTACCAAGTTATTTCACCTTTTATGACAAACAGGCATCGAGCCGGCAGTGGCTCGACCGGCGGCACTTTCTCCGTTTACGCGAGTTTCCGATGCATGGCGGCTCCATGGAAGCGGCATTGACATTGCACTTTGTAGAGGTATACTAATCATGTTGACTCTTATGTGCTGCCGTTTCTGGTGTCCAGCAAACGGCACCTTTGTCAATCATAGTTACATGTATATTGCTTTCATGTGCTTAGTTGACTTTTCGCTTTGGATAGTAAATCCATAGAAGCGTCAGTTCTTACTTGTCCGGTTTTACGCAGGGGAACTGGGTTAAAGCTGAATCGGCGTACATTCAACTGTTGTACGTCGAGCCTTGGAATGCAGTGGCGACGGGGGGGCTGGTCATGGTGCAGCGTCTGTTGCAGACCCTGCAACCACGTGATGCCACGTCATCGCACAACCATCGGGGAAAATGGACGCAGGCGTACAAGCGGTTCCATTGTTCGATCAATTCCAATCGTCGTGCCGACGGCGTCCGCGTGCTGCTCCAGTGGAGTCGACTCGCGTTGACCACCCAGCCATTTCCGTCCCTTCCATATCTTCCATCGCAAACGCATGCATCAACGCCGTGGTGGCGATGGCTGAACTATGCGTTGTGTCTTCACTATATCGCACAACGTTATGACGTGGCAGAATCCGTCTATCAAAAGTACAGTTGCAACGGTCCTTCCACGAGCGATTACGATGTATTTGCGATGGTATTACATGTATTAGCTGTACTTTGGTCGTTGGAGAATGACATGTTGGTGTAGATGCACCGCGACTTTTTACGTCAACGGGGTCGCAACGAGCTTCACATGGGTGATTTCCCACCTCGTGAAGGACGCCGAGATGCCGTTCCGGTGCCGCCGCATCCTTCGTGGACTCTAATCGACCCTTCATGGCAGCGTATTCGAGCCCACCGACATGTGTATTGGTACGAATGAAACTCAAACTTGATCAATATAGGACTAACATGTGTGTATCCAGGCGGCACCAGACAACTGGCATGTGCCGGTGGAGTGTCAAGCTCAGTATTTGCCCTGACGCGGCGCATCTCGCCGCTCGGACGATTCAAAAGTGGGCCAAACGACATTGGAATCCTTTCGCCATGCTGTCAGCGTGGACTAGCGGTCGCTGCGTAGCTGTCAGCATGAAAACTGGCCTTGACTTGTGGTCAGAAGACTCAACGACCGAAGTTACAAGTCGTTGTGATCGTGTACTTCGTCAAGTACTGTATCGCATGTTAGTCCTAGTAAGTAGGTTGTTTGACCCCCTTTGACATGAATTCCCTTCTCGTCTGCGACGTGGTGATGGCAGGAGCTAGCCAGGGACACGAACTTCTATCGTGCTGACGTGTGTACGTAGGAAGTAGACATGTTGGAGATTGAGATCCACGACAGTTGGGCAAACGATCCGGCGTTGTGCCCGTTGGGGCTGTTGGTGTGCTGCTTTGAGAACACCCCTGCCGAACGCGGACACTCCATCTTTGGATCCCAATGGAACACTAGGCTCCATGCCGTCTCGAAACCAACGTGGGAGACCAAAGTCCTGCCGTGCTTTCAGTTTGCACTTGCGAGGAGCCCACTGTCCCCCCGCGTCTGGCTGCTTGTCGCGCTGATTGCGCACTATATTCAACCCACGAACGCCGTGCTTGCTCATCGCTTATACCACCACAGTCTCGCCCTCGCTGCATCCGACAAACGGGTGGCAGATGTAGTACACTACGTACGTCGATTGACTTGGAAGTACTTTATGTGTTTTTTCATATGGTGGTGGCTGGTTGTAGCATTGGCGAGAGCTCGAGCGACAATTTCCCCATGTTTGCTCTCGTCGAACGGTGTACCATAAGGATACTGTCACCGTGGCTACTGTCCATCCGTTTCTACGACTGCGAGTGTGGCACGGACAGTATCTTTGGTAGGTCCTCCCTCTAATCTCTCTAGTCATACAATCCCACCATGAACGCACCCCATTGACAATGTTGATTACTTTGTCCTCCAAGGTGGAACACACTCACCGAACGCATCCTCGTCCAGCCGACGCGGTTGCTGTTTCAAGTGCCCATCGCATTGTGCAACCGGGATGACGTCGTGTGTCGGATTCAGGTACTATTACTAACCCATCTAGTACAGTCTGCATGTAGGGCTGGGTCTTTCGTGACCATTCATTATGTTTGTTTTAGCGGTTTCTCCGCCAACACGGCCGACCTTGTTTGCATCGAGTCGTGTACCAGAGCGGCGTGTTTCGACGTGTGCGTTGGTTGTACGAAGAGGCCCGACCGCCGTCTCCACTCGACCTATCCGACTCGTTGTCACCCAACATCCAATCGTCCGAGGCGTGGCTGCGACGTGGTTTGTACCGTTGGTGCAAATCGGTACGACATCACATGTTATATTCAGTGCAAAGTGCCCTTTTGACATGTTTGGGTCGTGTAGAACGACTTGCAGGAGGGGTTGAAAGTGTGGATGGAAGGATGCGAACACTGTCCACTCGACAGCCCACTAGTGCAAGTCACAACTTTGGCCACCATGGTCAGCCATAGAAACCTTCACCACCCAACTGCCCTGCAACAGTTGCTGGTGACGAAACCCCACCCGTGCTTCAGCAACGGAGGGATAGTCTGGGACTGCCTTTACTGGACACTCTTGACCACTCAATCTCAAGAAACGTTGACACAAGTGTATCTGATTCTCGCATTGGGTGCGTTGCACGTGTCCAAGCAAGTTGCTGACGCACACTGGTGGTGTCTTCAAGCGTTTGGGGCCGCTGGTTCCACCAATAATCCGTGCTACCGTGAGGTGATGATACTATGAAGATATTATATACAAGTCGACGGAATGCACTGACTGACTGGTCGAGTGGCAGATGCTCGAGAACTTCTTTACCTACTACCACGACGAGATCCAATTGTTGGGGCCATCGATGGCCATGCGACAAGGTGCTACGTTGACCGCTCCATCCTTGTCGTCATCTGTCGTGGCGGAGTGGTTGCAGTACTCCATGACGTCGTGGCAGCATCATCCAAAGGGATTCTACGTGCACACTCGGTCTGGTAAAGCGTACTGGGCCAAGCCCGTCGCTCTATCGATCACTCCTCGATCGCATCAATACATCCACGCCGCTCATGTATTACAAGTACGACCTCCTTTTCCATCCACGAGTAGTCTTCGCCTTGTTCTCAAAGGTGGTTTTTAGGCGTTTTGGCGGTTCTATGGAAGCTTGTGGCGACAGCTGCGACGACGGTACTTGCCGCAGCTGACATCCGCTGTCAACTTCCACAACAAAATCAAAGCCCAAGACACAACGCCCATAGAGCGGGCCTTGATGGTGCACGCCTTGCATGGCGATGTCGCCACTGCCTCGGCGATGTACATGACCATCCTATCCAACCAACCCAGAGATTCAGTTGCGATGCGGGGCTTGGCCTTGTGCTACTTGGCTTCCGACGCTCCTTTAGATCAAGTAAGTATGCTACGTTACAAGTTGGCATCATTTTGCATACTGATATACAACATCCATAAACATAGATTTCACGGCGCGCCGACGTGTTGTTGCAACGAGCTGCCCTTGTCGATGCTACCTCCACGGGGACCAAGAGTCTGGATCAAGGGATGATAGCCAGCTATTACTTCGTGTTTGGGCTCTTGGGTGCCCCAGACAACCCGTGTATGGTGCTCAATGTGGCGTTGTGGCATGAATATGTTGTTCGAAACGATGCTGTGGCCCGCAAATGTTATCACTGGGCCACGCACAGATCGATGCATAGCCTAGCACTGGTATGAGCGATACTCCTTTGCCACTCTGCCAGGATCACTATTTCTAACGCAAAATATGCTGACATGTGTCTGACTTTGCACTGTTCGTAGCCGCGGATTCGACATCAGCTGCAGTGCTTACCAACTGGACTCCACCCCCAAGGGCCTTTGCGCCGCCCCAAGCACACCATGGCCATTCGGCAGCATCCCCTCTTTCCAGAATGGATGCAATGTCTCGATCTGTCAGTTGATGCCCCTGTGCTTTCGTTGTACTGGTGGGTATAGTAGTACTCTCCTAAAAGAATCTAGATGTACTATATTTTACCAAGTGCAAGGTGAGTGTGGTGACGCAATACTTCTTGTGCGTTTTGTATCGTAGGTTCAACTCCAAGACCACACGCACGGCGTGGAGTGTACCCCAGCACGCATACGTCGTCGTCAAGTACAGTGAACGCCAGCGCCATAGCATTGCCATTCTACAAGTAACGTACCGCAATCCATCCATTCGTATTTATGGAATCATAGAGGTTTTATCGGCGCCATGTCACATGTACGACCCCCGTAGCGTTTGGAGTCAAGTCGCTCGTACGAGCGCTCAAGTACCATCATTCTGTCCGAGTCAAGTACGAGGCCGACCCAACGCGATCCGCGGCGGTGGCCAACTACGCCCTCCATGTCCACACGTTTGAGGTATGTACATACATCCACGAATCGGCATGTTGATAACTACGTACTGTGGGCTGTATAGAACGACCCGAAGCGAGCCAAGCTGTTGTACAAGGAAGCGTTGACTGTGAGCAAGCACCATGTCGTGTCGTGCTGCTACGCGCTGTTCCTCTTGGCGGTGTGTCAGCCCCCTCGATTGCACTCAACCCGCGAAGCCGCCACACGAATTGCAGAGGCAAAGCGAGCCAGCCCCACGTGGCAAGCCGACTTTGCCGTCGCCCACCACTGCTTCTTTCGATACGCGCTGGTGGCGCACCCTAGCGAATCGTGGGCCTGGCTCAATTATGCGTTGCTGATGGAATGCATATACGAAGACGCCGAGGTGGCCGACCACATGTACCGACGGGGGCTCGCTCTCGAGGAAGAGATCAAAGCAAAACGACAAACTAGGAATCGTCGGGCTAGTAGCAGTAGTAGTAATAGCAGTAGCTCTGTCGTTTTTCTTGCCACTGGGTTTCTTGACGAGGTGGGTCAGTTGTGCTTTTCGTGTGCGAGGATACTGTTTGCTACTTACTTTATGTGTCGTGTCGACTGTGTAGAACTACACGGCGTTTCGACTCAAGTGTGCAAAAGGCGGGAGCTTAGGCCTCCAAGGGCCGCTCCAACGCGTATACAAGGCGTCGACATGTGTCCACTCGTGGGGACATTGGAAATACATGCAAATGCCATCAAGTGAAGTACAAGCTGCTGTGGAATCAGAAGTTGGCTTGATGGCAACTAGCGATAACGTCACGAGTCGAATGTTCTGGTAGTTACGACGGATGCGCCTAATTTGGATGGCTGATATTGGTTGTAGGTACAACATGATAACGTGTCAAACGTTCTGGGACCGTCCCGACTCACTGTGTCCATCCATTGACGCTGTGACGCCTGCATTTGTTCGAACCCATGCTCAATGGAGCAGTCGATGCCATAACGTCATTGTTCGATTACAGGTATAGTTTGAATGCTATCCACCGTCAGTCGTATGTGTGACATTTTAGGACCTGATATATATCATATTGAACTTTCCGTTGTTTTGTGATGGTAGAGATGGGTTCGAACGTGTATATGCCGGCGTGTGGGTCTGGTGCTCGTCACTTTCGACGCCCCTCGGGCATGGAATCGATTGATTTTGTCGACCGACAAGTTTGACGTTGCGTTAACTACCCATGCAATCCACGTACGTCAGTCGTCAACTAGATATCGACCATCATCACATATATATGTTCCTAATACAAGCAACAAGCAACCACCGTTGATCATCTGTCATCATCGTGCATGATATGTTGCATAGTGCGATGCGAACAAAGCGGTCGCCATGTACCGGGCGGTGTTGGATGCGACGCCCAAACATCCACATGCGTCGTGGTGTTTAGGGCTCGCTCTCCTTTCGCTAGGCAGACACGACGAAGCCTTGCCACTGCTACATCCCAAGATGCCACCCAATCGGGGTCTCCTCTCCGCTGCGTCCGCGACCTTTCGCTCCCTCTCGCCACTTTCAATAGCAGCAGCGTCGGATCGCGGACGACAGTTCCACCGAAGGGGCACGACAACGAGTGGCAGCAGCAGCCCCACGATCCCCGCCGTCCGTCGAGTGAGGGAGGATGGTGACCCCTCCCGTCCTCCTTCAGCGACACGGCCGTCCCCCATCCACACTCCCTCCAAGCTGTCCAAAGCCTCTGCCCAAATTGCCCTTGTGTTTCAATTCCAAGCCGTGCGACAGCCCACGGACCCGACGTCGCTGCTGCAATTTGCCCTTGTGCTTCAGCATAACCCCCATCGCCCGGACGCTTTTTTGGCGGTCGCGCGGTTCTTCATGCAGCGCGCGGTGCGCTGCGCTCAAGCCGACGACTCGTTTCCGTCCACCCACCTATCTACAATGGTACTAAAGTGATATATCCAAAGGGACACTGGGGTCGAGTTTGCTGTTGAGAATGTTCAAGTGATATTTCTAGTAGTCATCTACATCATGTCAACAACCGCAACGACCTTCGGTGTCCCTTTACACTATTCGTTTGACTGTGAGAACACTCCACTGATAACTTCTGTTGTCGTAGACGAGTGTGCAACACGCTCTGTGGCGTCAACTGTGGGAAACCGAAGACAATGGCGGCAGGTGCTGCGGGCCAGGACAAGCAGCGTATCGATCGTCCACGCTGGTAGCCGTTCATGGCGATGGATGGCAGCGGCGAGAATGGACGGACGGTGATGTGCCCCATCCATGTCGACGCTTTTGGTATGTCACGATATGATGCAACGACAGAAATATCAAACTCGACGACTAGGGTGCACGTTCCGACGTGTCGGACGCAGTGGTCTGACCCCAGCGATACTCTTGTAAACAACGACATTCCAACGTACTGACGTTGGGGCTAAGACGTCAAGGCCATTGGATGATGATTCATAGTTAAGCTAGTACGCGGCTGAGTGATTTTAACTTTACAGCGTAATATCAATATCAATTGGATGATGATTCAGCTTGACGAACGAACGACTTAACAAAAAGTCCAATTTATAAGGTGCTCGGTCCATTTTAAAGTGCACTGAATCAGCCAATCAATTCCTCGAAAGGCAGTTTTTCACCTAACCGCCCACAATCGAGTATACAAATATTAAGCTTAAAATGGAGACCACCTTAAAATCGACCGCTTGTTTCGTGAATGAGTACGAATAATAACAAGAAGCGTATCGACTCTACAACTCCCAAAATGGCGTTGATTTTAGCTCTTGTTGAATTATAATCAGATACCAACAAGTCGATTTTTACATGCCTTGCGTGGAAAAAAGTATTTTTATTTTAACTGTAAATTGCACTTTTTTACGTTACTTGTATCGGCGACCAGGTCCAAGGCATGGAGACTAGACCGCGCCTTGGCGGAACATGGCTTGGGCGACTTTGAGGAAGCCCGTGATGTTGGTGGCCGCATGGTAGTCGCCGCGCGCCAAGTTGAACTCGACGGCCGTGGTCGAGATAGCCGAAAACACATCTTGCATGCACTCTACAATTCCATGAGTGTATGTATTATATAGACAGCAACACACACAATATCTCAAGCCCCAACATAGATATGGTGCCGCGAACCTTGGACAATGCGGTCAATGTCAGCGGGACGCAATGCACTCAAGCCGGACGTTCGAGTGATCAGCGCGAGCTACGTCCAAGCATCAGGAACAACAACATGAGATCGTTGAGGGGTACCGCGGCGCCGTTGGTTGCTTTACACGGTCCGTAGATGGCGTTGCTTTGCTGAATGTACTTGATCGCCTAACGTTACATAACGTTTAAGGGTAGTCAGTTCATGAGAACTTTTGAGATTCGGAAAGGAACGCGCGTTTTACTTCTTGGCTGAGGGGCAAGTGCGCGCCTTCAAAGAGGCCCTTGCAGCCGTTCTTGATGAGTTTCTTGGCTTTTTCCTCTACATGAACATGCAACCGGCCCAACATTACAACGCCCCCCCTTGTCACACATTGCAGTGAAAGGTCACCACTCCCCCCTTCACTCTATCGCATAGACAACGACGAAGACGACCGTACCATCGAGGTCGTGTTGCATGGCGCAAGGAAATGCATAGTCGCAGGGAACGTCCCAGAGACTCCCGTCTTCCGTGGGGCAGTACGTGGCACTTGTGGATGTCATGATGTACCCCCCTAGATGCGCCTTGTGCTCCGCCTTGATTTGCTTGAGACGGTGCAATTGCTCGCGTGTAAACCCTACCCCGACCCTTTCTCGTCACCAAATCCTATTCATACTACACTCGAGCACATACCGGCGGGCTCGATGACGTGGCCCCAGACGTCGCTAAACCCGATGGGAATCGCGCCCAAGTCCAGGAGCTTGTCGGCCGCGTTCAGCGCCACCGTGCCCGACCCAGAGATCAAGCACCGCTTCCCCACCAGACTCTGGCCGTTTGCTTCGACCATGAGCTTGGCCATATGCGCTAGGCCGTGACCAGGCACTTGCGGAAAGTACGCGCTGCCCCCCAGCACCCCGTCCACGCCCTACAACGTCTCTGTCCGTTGCACATCAATAGTCCCGTCGTGATGACGTACCAGGGGATGCAGCTGCCGGAGACGCTTGAACTGACCAAACATGAACCCGAGCTCGCGCGGACCGACGTTGACGCCGGCGGTGGGGATGTCGGTGGTTGGTCCAATGTAATTCGCCAACTCGGTCGTGAACGATTGGCAGAACCGCATGATCTCCGCCTCAGACTTGTCGAGCGGGTTGAAGTCGGCGCCGCCGGCCGCACCGCCCAACGGACCGTACACGGCATTCCGAAACACGTTTTCAAACGCTAGGAACTTGACCGTGCCGTGACGTGTCTCGGGGTGGAAGCGAAGGCCGCCGACGTATGGACCTAGTGTCGAAGGTGACAACGTACTGATTTCACAACGATGGTGCATTGCGTACCGCAACAGCTGGAGAATTGCACGCGGAAGCCTCGGTTCACGCGGCGACTGCCCGAATCGTCGACCCATGGGACACGGAACTAGATGGACGCATGAAGAGAACGCATATGAGGTGGGGAGGATGGAGCATCTCACTTGAATCACACGCTCCGGTTCCATGAGTTGCTTCATCACCCAAGCATACTTGGGGTACCGGTCAAACACTGGCACAACCGACTCCGTGAAACTTTTGACGGCGGTCAGAAATCTACGGTAAGCAGCATGAACACGTGCGTCAGATCTAGCAAGATTCCTCCAAACGTATGTGTGCTTTGACGTACTCGGTTTGGTACGGGTCACGACGGTGGGCTTCCTCGTACCTACATATTCATGCATGAGAAGAATAAAGACCCTGCCCCCCCTTCGTATGCGGACGACGCACAGCATATCAGCGGCTTCGGTTCCGGTGCGGAACTTCTTGTCCCCTTCGCGACGGAACAGGGGTTTGTTGCGCCAAGCTTTCTTGCCGTGCGTCGTTCCATGCACATCCGCCATGAGATTCGTCGGTCGCGAGCTATCCGAGAAGAGCCGCACCGCCGCTCGACGCCACGTTGCTTGCATGATATCAAGTTGCCAAGTGCCCATCATGTGCAAAAAAAGAGAACTTTCCCTGATGGGATTGTGCAATCCAAGATACTTTTATACGGCGATTCCATTGGTAGAATCAGATCATTTATGGATCTTTATAGCCAATGGGATCACGTGATGCGCAATCACGTCGAGTCAACGTTCCACTCAACGACTGCTCAAAACAACATGCAACCCTTCCTCGACCTCGTGGGGCACCTTGAGGGCCGCGACAAGCTCACCAAGCTATGCCAGTACTCGAGCCGCGGGCTCGCCTTCGTCATCCTCACCGCTGATCCGAAGAGCGTGCTGGGCCAGCGACTCTCAGCGCTATACAAGGCGACGCAGGCGGCGCGCAAGTGCTTTCGGATTGGCAAGTCGATCATGTACTTTCCAAAGATTGATGCCACGCTGAACAACAAGGTACGCTGTTGCGACTATCAGCATGCACGGATCCTATCGAACGAAGAACCGCTGCAACGTATGTATGTGTTGTGTAGGTGTTGTCGACAAGGAGTCAGGTGCTATCCATCGTCCAAGACGTTGGGATGGTACGACATTTGTTTCAGTCTTGTTCGTTATCGTCATCTCGGGAGTAGGGCAGCTTCTTTTTGTTCGACAACATGCAATTCTTTGCCAATGCCAAGATATTCCCATTCGACGCCGTGCAAGCCGGAAAGCAGGGCGGGTATCTGTGGTACGATATCAACCTATGATAGTCACCGCCAACTACACGAGTCGTGTACAGGTTCTGTGCCAACATCGCTGGATTCATCCTGGCCTACGAAGCACTTCAAAAGGTGCCCTACGTATCCTCATGGCTGTCCTTCTCATGTCAGTCGATGTACAGGAAGCGGACAAGGAAGTAGCGTTGATCCAAGCGAATATTGTACACATACGCGCCTGACATCGACCATGATCAATCCCATATCACTCGCTCACAACATTCGTAGACGGGGGACATTCAACCACAAATCGATGCCTTGCGTGAGGTGCGATCGAAGAAGGCGCTCGCCCTACTCAAAGTACTATTCTCTTACCTCACCGTACCGACACACTCTTGTCATGACGTCGACTGATCAGGTGACATGCGACTTGGTTGTGTCGGCCAACACAGCGGGCGTTCGTATCCCGGAGCGTCTCTTGGGCAAGAAGCTCAACGACGGCATCATTGGCGTCCTCGGCTGCATTTCTGCGTCCGTGTTCCTGCATTCCCTCTGGCAAGCTCAGTCGCTTCAACGAGGACCGAAGAACAAACAAGTCCTAAAGTCCTAAATAGAGTGACCTGTCATACTTAATATTCGTTCTCCACCGTCCGTTGGAAGAATTTGAATCTTTCAGCGATAGCCAATCGCATGGCTGATTTGTTTTCTTTTTCGCCAATCGCCGCGCCCTATTCAAAGATCTGAAACCCCCATATACAAAGTGTTTCATTTTCTACTGTTTATTTTAAATAAGTGCCACGTATCTATCGTCTATCGACAAACGGGAAGTGATAATGTGCTGGCTCAATAAAACGACGCCGACCCAAACTGCGCCAAGTCGGTGCGAAACAGCGTGCTGTCTTCAGGCCGGCCGCCGCCCAGACGTTCCACTTCCCGCTTGAGTTTTTCCCGCTCCTGTTTCCGCATCGCCGCCACCGACCGCTCCAAGTCGCGTTGCCGGGCTTCCCGCGCCTTCCGCTCCGTCGTTTCCTCCATCAGCTTTAACTCTTCCAGGCGCCGGTCCCGTTCCTTGTCCTTGGCCTGTACGTCTTCCGTCCCCGCCACCGACGGCAGCAGCACCGGGGCAGCAACGTCCTTCATCTGTTCCTTTTGCAGCTTTTGTTGCTCCATAGTCCGCGCGTACAACCACAACGACGTCGACGCATTCTCGTCCGATTGAATCACAGTGGGTGGGGAAGACGACGCGCTGTTGTCGCCGACGCTGGGCATGTCCGTCGACTCCAAACGCCCAGCCAACTTGGTCCACGCGCCACGATTCTCCACCTTGAGGGGCTCCGAGGTCGACAACGGCACCAGCGCGGCGGCGGCGGCGCCTTGGTCTTCGACGACTGGAAGGACAGAAAGCGGGGTTTCGTAAATAACAACCTAAGACACAAATCATGAATGTCTTACCCATGGACAAGTCGGAGGAAAGGGAGGTGGGACCACTTACAAGAGACAACGGCGACTAAAACAACGAACATCAGGATGCGCATCGAGCGGTTCCATCTAGAAATGGTAACTAGACACCTTTTGCAAAGGTTGCTCCGTGTCCGAGTCGCTGCTTTCCGAATCTACACACGCCAAAAGTAAAAACACACCTTGTAAGGATCAGCCAATCGTACCGGAACTGCCGCTGTCCGACGAACTGCTGTCAGACGACTTGTCGCCGTCAATCTTGGTGCGCAGGTCCTCCACCGTCTGCGGAATCATGCGACTGATGTTGGCGACGGACGTGCCGCTTTCAATCGCCGCCAACTTCCGCTGGAGCTCTTCCTGGCGAAACTTGATGGCTTCTGTCGACTCTTTCGCCATCTGCAGTCGGTCTGACTCTTTTGCCGCCGCCTTCTTCGGGGGTCGCTTTCGCTTCGCCACATTGTGTTCCTGTACACAACCATACTGTCAATGGCGACCAACCACCACCTTGTCACGTACTCGAAGGTAGCCTTCCATCATACGCAGACTTCGCGTGTCAAACAAGTTCAGGTCCAGCTCCACTTCGTCGTCGCCGTTCGCAATCGTGTGAAATGGGACAATTTCAGCAATCAGTTGAAGCAGTCTCGAGATCTTCTCCTCCGGGAGAGTCTTGAGTTCGCTCGTGAGCTTGTGCTTTTCATTCGCCGTCATGGGCTTCAGGAGCTGCTCCTCCGTCAAGTCTTGCATTCGGAATGGCCTACAACGACATGCATGAGCATTCCCTCATACAACCCTTCTCCATCATCATACCGTGCTGGCCGCGGCTTGCTACCCCCAGGAGTGCCACCTGGTGGCGTGCCCTTGTACATTCCGTGGACCAGCACCTTCATCTTCTCGATCTCTTCCTTCAGCACCAAAATCTCTTCGTCTTTGGGCCGTTTCGACTTGGACTTCTTCTTTTGGCTGGTCGTAGAGTACGAGTCCTGCGATCCTTCGCCATCAGAGTTATTGCCCCGGCCCTTGCCCAGCTTCATGGCCGCCTCCGTCTTGAACACGGCCTTCATCTTCTTCTCAAACTCTTCCAGCAACTTCTGGGCAAACACGTGGACTTGCGTGTGCGCGGCGTTGTAGCGCATGCAGTTGTTGAAAACCAGCCGCACTTGTTCGGCAAATGCATGGGGATCGGGGTACACGCCATTCTCGAGGTTGCCCCGCACCGTGCCAAGGTCCATCGGTTCCTTGATCACCTTGAAGTAGTCGGGGATGGCCAACGCCACCGGATCAACTGGCACCAAAAACGGGACCGACTTCGGGTTCGTGATCAAGTTCTTCAATATGTTATGGCACTTGCGCATCGCCGGTACTCGCTCCAGTTCCGCCAGACCTTCTTCCCGCAAATGCGCCGGCAGACTTCGCTTCCGTTCGGACCGATGGCGCGCCGCGTTCGACATGCGTTCGTATGAGATCGTTGGCGCTGAGGTCGTCGTCGGCGCCGCGCCCAACGCTTTCGACACGTATGCAAAGTCTACGGCCACCGACGGCGCCAACGACGACGTGATCGACTGGGGGATAGGATATGCCGGCTCCACTTTGACCTTTTGCTTCTTCGACGGGGTCTTCTCAACATGCGCTGTCTGTGCTTCCACCTTCACGACCGGTTCTGCTTTCGGTCGAGTTCGTTTGGCGACAGGGGTCTTATCCTTGGGTTTGTAGGCTTTGTATAGCCGCAGCTCTTGCGACGTTTCGTCCAACAAACCTTGCAGCGTAAACACGCCAAACCGATTCTCTCCCGTGCCTCGCACCAAGTACACGTTGTCCATGTCGCACTTCTGGAACGTCAATGAGACATCCTTTTCTGGAATCGTCGCAGGTTTGCCCTTCATCGTCAAGATCTGGAAGAACCCGTCAAACTTGCGTTCGATGGGACACGACCCCTTCGTCGTTGACTTGTCGGATGCAAGCGGAGACGCGCGGTTCTCGTCTTCGTCAGTCGCGTTTTCAGCATGTAGCCCGTTGTTGTTGTGCGTGGAACCTGACTGGTTGGGGAATAACTGTTGCATCGGTAACGGCTTGCTCTTCATTTCGAACAGCGACGTAATGCCAGTTGCGTACTCGGCCTCCGTCATCGCCCAACGACCTGTCCACAGGGCCACGCCGTTTTCGTCGACGCAGTAACTTCCGAGCAGAAGTGGGCATTGCATCGTTACATCCGTAGGGACGAGCCGTCGCGAGATCGACTGTGTGGCACTCAGTTCCAGTGGGATTCCTCCTAAGACTGCTTTCACGCCAGTCGACAGAGAGGTGGGCGCAGTCAACGTAGATGCCGGTTGACTTGTTGGGTCGCTGTGGGTTGTCCCTTTGTTCGCTGGGGACTGGGATTGGGAACGTGACTGGGACGGCGACGGCGTCGGTCGTTGTTCTGTGTCAACGTCGAGGGGAGGGTTCGCTACGCCATCGTCGTCATGGACGACAACGACCGCGGTGCCGCCGATTCCAGGTTCTACTGCGACGACGCTCTCCATGTATTGTTCCTTTTTCGGGCCTAATACATGGAACAACCAAATAGGAAAATGAACGAAACTCTAAATCTCCGATCAACTGCAAAAAGTCGCTCAGTGAACCTCTACTTTATAATACTCACACAAGAAAAACGTCCACATACAAATATCAAGTGAAATAACCCTACCCCGCTCCAAACCCCTACCCGCTGCCGGCGAAAGAACAACGAATGGAAAGAAACCCCGTGCGGATGGCGTCGAGAGTCCTGCACGTCGAGCACGACGGTCGCATTCGCACATCAACCGTCAACCACCACCTATGCATTCTCCGTCGCTGTCGCTTTCGAACGCACCTTTCCTCGCCGCGCTACATGGTCCCGATCACGAGGTCCAACCAGACGGTCCTGTGTAGCACATCCTTCCATTCGATGCCCTGAAAACCCAAAGCCGAGATTGGTATGGCCAACGTTGGTGAGCGTCACCTGTGAAAGTAAATGTTTAGTTTATGGGATGGGCGGGAAATTTGGCCAATCAAATGTCGCCGAACCCAACTTGATGGATTGCGATTGGCTTGGGATGGCTGGTTGACTTGGAGGGAACGGCACAATCTATTTTTATTCAATCATTTTATATCGGCTTCAAGTTAGTATGACTGTGACTATTTTTTATTGACATTCCATCGAAGTGACGTGGCCGTACGTTCGCTTCAACTTCAACCGCCCGTTACTTTTTTTTCTCCTTTTTTTTGGCTTTTTTTTCCTCTGACGGGTTTTTGTCCTTCTTTTTTTCGGCCTTGACGTCGTCTTTTTTCTTGTCCTTTTTCGGCTTGGTGTCTTTTGCCTTGTCCTTCTTGCCTTCTTTTTTGTCCTTTTTGTCCTTCTTTTCGGTCTTTTTTTCGTGCTTGTCTTTTTTCTTCGAGATTTTTTTGTCATTCTTGTCTTTTTTCGGCTTGTCTTTTTTGTCGAGATCTTTTGCAGGAGCGATCTTTTGACCCTTCGACGTTTCGCCTTTGTCTTTCTTGACCTTGGACTTGCCGCTGCCTTTCTTCTTGGCCTTCTTGCCGTCCTTGGCGTCATCGTAGGTTTCCCGCCAGTCCGCATCTTTATTGCCTTTCTTCTTGCCGCGCATCTTGCGACGCATGCGCTTCATTGCATATCTCTCCATGGCGGCCTGCTTCCGCCGCCGTCGCCACTCCAGGAACACGCCAAGGCACATCACGAAGAACAGCACGAGCATGGCAATGATCAAGTTCCACGGCGGTCGTGGGACATATACCCACACATATTCGTTTCGTCCGTCGTCGAAAGTGCTTTCCACGTTGCCAGCGGGGTCAATCGCCCTCAATCGGAATCGATGCAACCCGCCGTCGAGCCAGTCGACAAAGTCCACTTGATGCAGGCAATTTGTCCAGTTGCGCACCACGAGCTGCTCCACCATGTCGATCACGTGATACTGGAAGATCGTGCCAGCCTTGGCGCTCTCGAACGTGAACGTCGTCGTGTGCGAGTACGACTCGGGGACAGACGTGAGCTTGGCCTTAGGAATCGTCGGGTCTATCTCAATCATCAGGTACACAGTTCCCTCATTCCTCGTTGAGACGAAGCAACAAGGTCATACCTCGATACCATGCGCTGTTGTCGAACACGCGATTGTCCACCTTACCCCCGAACACGTACACGAGATGGTTGTGCTGGATTGCAGCAAATGATGACCGGGCCTTGGGGGTCCATTTGCACGCCGAGTTTTGCACGTTCGGAAAAGGATCTTTCGTATCCACCTGCATTAGCCGATGGTCATGACTAAGCTGACATGGACGTGAAGTGTCCATTGACCACGTACCTGTGGAATGCCGCCGACTTCAGGCCACACGTACTTGAGCGTCACCCAGTCGAGCGTCGCGGTACCTCGATGCGCACATCCATCCCATGCCGACGATGCTACGGCGCTCGCACTGGCTGCATCCAGCGCCGCCACCACCTCGGCATTCTTTCCCTTGAGGACCTTGATGTTTTCGAACTCTTTGCCGTCGTAGTCCACCGGTGCAATCCTACATCACGTGATAACATAGATATCCTTGCTTGACCCTTCCACGTCGTACGTGCACTGAGCCACGACTAACTTGGCAACGGCAATGTAATCGCACACAGGAACGTCTTGCGTTGTCCGGAGGTTGATTACGATATCTAGGGGCACATTGGTCAAGTCGGTAATCGTGTGAATTCCCGCAGCGTGTAACTTGGGGACATGCAGGACGTTCATTCCTTGCATGCGTTCAATCTACATATTCGTTTTGAGATTGCCTTTGATGGACATGCAGGTTTACCGGACTTGTGGGAGTCACGTATTGCCGCACAAGCGACAGGACTGGATCAAAGTCGGGGACCCACACCATAGGTAAGGCGGCGCCATCGATGGCCGCCTGCATGGTCCACACATCCCCGAGGAATGTGTCGTCGTTTTCCCCGTACAAGACAATCATGTACGCAGACGTGTTGGTGGCCGGGTCAGCTTCCACACCCAGCGCGGCGTGCTTGCCTCGTGGACTCCATGGGGCCGCCGAGTCCGCTAAAGTCCACGTAATACCGTTTGCGCTGGTCCAAATATCATTCAGGAGCTGCTGGCTGTCCTCGTCGGCGCCTGGAACGGTCGACGGACTGGTGCGCCCGCCGACGAGCCACAGCTGCCCCTGCCATGTCGTCATAGCGTGCTCTCCCCTCGGAGGCCACGCCGCCGCCGCCGTGAGCTGCGTCCACGTGTGTCCGTCGTTGGACGTCCACACATCGCGCATGAACTTGCGGTAGAGCCCGCCGCATGCAAACTCTTGGCCGCTCGGGCGCTGGTTGTGCTCGGGGCCACACAAGTTGCGCTGCACGGCCGTGTACCCGCCGGCAAGAAACAAGCTCTTTTGAAACACCACGACGGTGTGGAGCTCGCGGGCTGACCACATGTTGCACATGCACGTGCCCGTGAGCGTGGTCTTGTCAAACACACACGTCGTGTCGCCGTGGCAGTCGTTTTGGGTTGTGCATTGCGCGGGCTTCGATCCCGAGTGGTACGTCTCCAATGCGTTGGGGAGGTCGCAGCCGGGCGTGACCAGCGCCCACGACACCCCCGCGTCTTGGCTCTTCCACACGTCGTTCTTCAACACTGCGTACTCCATCCACCTGTCGCCGCGTGGGGCCCCGTCGAGGCCGCCGATCGTGTCCTCGTGGGGCATCGGCACTAGCTCCCGCGCGCGTCCCCCGAACACGTACAACGCCAAGTTGAACGTCACCGCGGCAAAATGACGGCGAGGAGAAAACATAGCGTCGGCAATGTACTGCCCGGGGGGAGCCGTTGGGTCGTCGCAGCCGGTGGGGGGGTACGGTGTCCATGCCGCTGTTAAGCACGCGATCCAGTCCGTGTACAGCACGCCCGGGGGCGGCACCTTGCCGGCGTTTGTTTGACTCCACTTGAGCTTCGCCACGATCTGCGGGTCTGGGTCGCCCCACTGGTTGTGTGCGAGGAGGTTCACCGATGTATTCCAGACTAACATATGGCGGGAAAACGACATATGAGTGATGATAGATGAAGGAGGGATAGGAGGGTTGTACCGATGCCTGTGGTGGCCCACACGTCGTTTCGAAAAGATCCACCTCCAGGGTACGCCCGAAAGTCGGCGTCCTGCATCGTCGCAAGCTGCATGCGATCGTCGCCCCCAAGGATGTACATACGACTGAGTTTGCCTTTCGCTTGATCTTCGGGAGGATACATTTGAGAGATGGACGCATGGCCCCAGCGCCGAGACCACGGAGTCGGCTGCTCCACTACTGCGTTGGTTTCTTTTGCGCCACTAATCTGCGCCCAGTTGGCTAAGCCGTAAACACACAATGATGATGAGGAAGGAGAGTGTGGATGTAGCGGGGTTCGTACAGGCTAATGCAATGGATGAAGTGCAGACTGCCCACAGTAGTCGCCATAGCATGTTGGGCTGTGTCGTGGGTAAATCAAAAACCCTCAAAACGTCGGTTACATGTGACAGTTACCGAAAGGCAGAATCACACTAATTACTGGTACAACGGGTATTCTGGGAATTGTCAACTGCCACCAGAATGCAATTCGCCATGGCTGACGATGGCACGCACCACGTTGTGGACGCGCCACTCCCGGCGGCGCCTAGCATCTTGAACGACCGTCCGATCGGTGTTCGGAGCGCATATGGTCGTCGAGGAGGTCGAGGAGGTCGAGGAGGCCGCGGAGGCCGTGGAGGAGGCGGGCGAAGCAGTAGCACTGGCGGCCATCGACCGCCATCGTCGCGTGCGCCAGAGTCTGTCGACATCTTTTCTCCGATTCCAAACTGCGACCGCGTGTACACAGCTTATGACGTGGCATCGGTCGATGGTGGAGCTGCAGCTGCCACGACCAGTCCGTTTCGAGTGGTGTCCTTCAATGTGTTGGCCGGTAGGTTGCCACCTTCCATCTGTAAGCCGAAGCAGCATGGTGAGATTGACGATGATCTAGATTACTTGGCCACAAGTCGGGACGGCAACCTTGGTCATAGCCATCCAAGTCAAGCGTTCAAGTTCCAGTACGTTGTCGCAAAGCCATACATGAGGGTGAACCGACGCCCTCAATCAGCTCATTTGATGTAGATGGGCTTTCCGATGCACGCGCCTGTTGCGTGAGATTCTGACGTGGAACGCCGCGGTCATTTGTTTGCAAGAAGTGGACCACTTTGAGGACTTTTTCGAGCCCGAACTGCGCAAAGTATGAAACACTCGGAAGCCATGATCTGTCACATCTTTCATGGCCGTCACCACGACATCAAAAATCATATTGCGATTCTCATGCTGTCCTTGCATTAGTATGGCTACGTGGGCAAACACAAGCAGCGGTATGGAGCGAATACACGCAACTCTTTCGTATATATTGACGTAGAACCGCCGCCGTGTAGAACCGGCGCCGAAACCCACGACGGGTGCAGCATCTTTGTGAAGGAGGACCTGTTTCAAATCGAAGCTGAGATCGAGCTCGAGTTCCATCAACCAGGCCATGCCATTCTCGACCGCCACAATGTTGCGTTGGCGCTGTCACTGACGTACAAACCAACCAAGGACACCGTCGTGGTCGCTACCACGCACATCCTCTTCAATCCGCGGGTGACCTTCCCCTATATACAACGAGTTCCATGTTCTCATACAACAGTGTAGCGCGGAGATGTCAAGTTGGCCCAGATGCAACTGCTCTTGAGCACCCTCCACGCCCTAAACATTCCCCATGTGATTCTCTGCGGCGATTTCAACGTCACGCCCAAGAGTGCGTTGTACGCGTTTCTTTCCAAAGGCCGTTTGGACGGTACAACTGTTTACACCGGCGACGCGTCGGGCCAGTTTGCCCATCGGGTAATTCATATATATATATATCACTTTCCAAAGTGATATCTCGTCCCCTGATCAAATGTACTACAGAACTCGTACTTTCACAACGACGTCCATGACGAAGAAGGAGATCAAGGGGTTGACGGTGGTTGTGTGACGCGGCACCAGGGAAATGGCACTGCCGCCTACCGCTTCGACGCCCCCAGTTCCCGCCGTAGCCGCCGGCCTCACCCCCCCCACGAGTGTTTAGGAGTTCACGCTGTCCACGAGGTAGATATATATATGTCCATCCAGTCTAAAGTGTAGACACGAAAATGTCAATCTCTTGTTTGTTATACATGTATAGCTACCGCTAGCCAGTGCGTACGCCCAACACCCGACCGCTGAAACCAGTGGCGAGCCGTTTGCCACGTCATACCACGATCGATTCCTCGTACTGCTCCTACTACTACTACTAGTAGTAGTACTACTCGAACCCCCCTCCAATAGTGGATTGTCTGGATAGGGCACGGTGGACTATATTTGGTACGCCAACGTCGTGTGTGTGGGGGTCGTCGAGTTGCCGCCCGTGTCGTTTTTTCGCAACATTCGTTCGCTACCAACGAGGTACTACTTGTGGATACCCCCCCCACCCCCGTCGTTGATTGATTCTATATATGCGTTCGTAGAGATCTGGGCAGCGACCACGTGTCCCTTGTCGCAGACTTTGCATTTGGCGCGTGATAAAGAGAGGGAGGAACCGAAAGCGTAACCGTCCTCACGAGTCGACCTTTTTAGCAACGCTTCATCGGAAGAAGGATATAATGCGTGTAACCGTTTGTAATCCCAACACAATATCATCCGTCGTCGAGATTCGTGGTGGCGTGTTTTTGCTCGTGTTTGTCTGGGCTTGATGTCCCGCCGAAGCAGTGACGGCGGTAATATAATACTATCACTAGTTAGTGAATGCATCCATATATCCACGGGGCCACTTGCGATTTCGCACCGACAATGCCGAGGACGTTGCTGCATGTGTGTGTGTGTGTGCCGCTGTAGGTTGTTTGCCTGCGTTCGAAGACGACAGCAGCGACAACAACAATGCGTTTCTCGACCATGTCGACGACACGGTAGTAGAAGGAGTAGATAGATAGCTTGCCATCATCTCACTAAATGCAATCTCATGTTATTGTGTCAGGACTGTCGTGTGGTGGCTGGTGAGTTGGTCCTGGACGACCCGACAGAGTCCCCTCCCCCGCTGTATTCGACCAAAGAGTAGGCAGACCAAACCGACGATTTTCCACAATGGTGTCAGTCAACCCAGTCATTTATACTACCGTAGAGCTTCGGTGGGCAGCATTTACGACTTTTTGGACCAAGTGGAGCTCAAATCGGTCGCCCAACTCGAAAGGGCGTCGCTTAGCCATACCCCGTCGCATGCTCATCCGTTGCCTCCACTTGTCCGCACGGACATGTGGGAAGGGGGCTCGCGGGGGTCGTCTCCTCGTCAGGGCTCTCTGTCGTCTAGATCTGTTCGAAATGGCAACAGTAGTATCAACAGCAGCAACGACAACCAATTCTATGCCAACGACATTCGCGAAAAGATCGCGACGCTCAGCATTGAATTGCACGTACGAAAACAACAACGTCGGTCCAGACAAAGCAACGAAATCAGTCGACTCGTTTGGTAGGACAAGACGCAAACGATCGAGTTGCTCCACGCGGCTCGAAAGAAAGACAAGGCCAAGGCCACGGAAAACGCCAGTCTCGCCGCGGCCGAATTTCAGGTAACGTTGTGGCCCATGGATATCTCTGGTACAATATGGATGAATGAACCATACCATAGGCCAAGCTACAAGAGCTGCAAGATCGACATGAAAAAGAGCTGGAAAAACAACTCGACTTTGCCCAGACACTTGTTGCCGACAAGGTATGGATGGCTAGATACAAACATATATGTGCTGAGATGGAGTACGTACAGGGAGAATTGGTGCAAAGGTGTGACAACGTGGCCGCCGAGCTGAAAAAGGCAGTGGACCGACTGCAGCAGCAAGACGAAGGGTTCCAACGACAGCTTAAAGACGCCAAGGAGCGATGGAGCGTCCAAGAAAAGGTCCGGCGTGATCAATGGGTAGGGGTCAACATAACCATACACTGGTAAAAATCATGTGGATGGTACTTGCCAATCTAGATGGTAAAAAAGACGGACGAAATCAAAAAAAGTACGATCAAAGCGTTGGAGCCCGACGTTCAAGCCATCATGACCAAGTGCAAAGAGAACTTGGACAAGGCAAAAGAGGCGGCGGCGGTAGATCAAAACGCACGACCGATGTCATCGTTATTACTGTATATATATATATATTAGGACGACAAGCGCAAGTGGATGGCCGCGTATGAGAAAGAAAAGGAAGAGCTGTTGCGACGGCAGCGCGAAGAGTACGAGCGCAAGCTGGTCGAAGCCCGGGAGAAAGAGCGCTGCAAACTCATGTACAGACTCGACGCCGCCGACGCCGAGCTGCAGCAGCAACTCAACCAGCAACGGCGACGTTTGCAAGACGAGAGCGAGAAATTGCGCTCCGATATGATGACAGACATGCGCGTTCTCAAGCAACAGCATGCTCGGGACTTGGACGAGATGCGGGCCGTGGAGCGTCAGCGCATCGACCACGAAATGGCGGCGTTGCAAAAAGATAAAGATGACGTACGTACTTGTAAAATCGTTAGAAAACCAGTCATTTAGGAACGAAATTGGGGTAGATGGCGCGGCGATTTGAAGCAGATGCGGCGGCATATCGCGATAAAGTTCAAAGTGAGATGGAGGGTAAACACCTAGCGGCGGTGGCGGCGGTGCGGTCCGAGATGGACAAGGACAAGGCGGCATGGGAGGTCGAGATGATCAAACGGCGAGACGATAAGATCGACATGGTCATCGACAAGTTGCAGCAAGAGACTGAGAAGAAGGTCGCGGCGGCAGAGGCCAAGATGGCGGCTCAGTACGACGCCGACATGCGGGTACGATACTCGTCATTTCGTCGTTGGGGTGATGGTAAGAGGTGGCAGGAAGTGGACAAGAAGCGGCGGGCGGCCGCCGAGGTCGAAGCAGCATGGATGGACAAGAACCGGGAGCTGTATGACAAGTGCGCCAAGCTTGACGAAGCGAGGGACATGGCGGTGGCAGCGCAAAACGCGCAGGCGTCGGCGCTACGAGCAATGGAGGACAAGTTGGCCCGATGTGTGCAAGCATTGAACGAGGTACTGTAGTTAGTTGGTCGCATGAGTACATGGACGCAGGTTGACTATGCGTAAAGGAGCGAGATATGCACGACAAAGCACGCTTCGATGGCTCAAACCATGCCGATGCGTTGCGACGGGAGTATGCGATGGAGCGGGAAACGTTGCGCGGCGCGGTCGAGGCGCTGCAGAGCAAGTTGGACACGGTACCGCGTACGACGTGACGTGTATCGTGACGATGGATGTAGATGGAGAAGAGCCACGTGGCGTATGTGGCCGAGATGCGTGGCAATCAGGTACTACCTGAGATACAGTGTATGAGATAAGGAGTCTTTGGGATACGACGCGGTTGTTGTATGGGCAGGACGATGTGTTGGAGAAACTCCATGCACGCGTGCGAGCGACTGTGGCCAAGAAGGATGACATGATCGAGACTTTGCGGGCAGAACTCCATTTGGCACAAGTCCGAATCGCCAAATGCGAAGACATTATCCAAGACCAGCGAGCCCAGCTCATCTCGTAGATGGAAGTTGTATTAATAGTAAAACTGCTTCGAGTAGTTTTGCTAGAAAGCACCTTGTCGCATTTTGAAGCATTCAATGTGTACACAGATGTGACGCCGACGATCAACATGTTGGTGGCAGATGTGGTGGCAATATGCAAGTCCGCTGTGACGATAGAACACTGGTCGAAGCGACCGGACGATGCACGAGAGTCGGTGTGCGACCCTCGAAAAGCACAAGAGAAGCTCGGGTTTGAGGCGCAGTTTGCATATGAAGTAGGCATTGCAGCGGCATGGCAATGGTTAAAGTCGATTAACACTGTGGTATAGAAGGAATGGGTTGTTGATATTAGCTGGTTTAACTGAAGCCACCTTGGTCCTTCGTGTTGCCCGTGAGTTTGCGGAAGATGTGCGCTAACTCGTCAAACTCAATGGACAAGTCGTCCAGGCAGTTACTCAGCGCATGGATCGGGGTGGAGTTGTTGTTGGTCTGAATACGGACCTTGACGTCGTTCACGAGGGGATGCGGGTGCTGGTAACCTGCAAACGTCACGTTCTTGTCGCGCAGCAGCTGCATGCGAATGAGGTTCGCCACCGTGTGGTCTTCCCGCAAGATGGTGAACTGGCCAGCGTTACTGATGCGCGTATCCTTCTCGTACACGACCTTTGCAGCTCCTTCGGGGACAAGATATGCATCGCTGCGGGGTGGGGCATTCATGATAGCAAATGCAGAATGGTGGGGACGGTGACCTGTGAGAGTCAATACCATACTCCAAGAGATAAAGTATTAAAGTTTCAAAGCCTTAGATTGAACTACCAATCATATGACCAAATATAATATCATTTCACCACTGGGAGTTGGGTTTGTAGCTAATAATGTCCTGGATATCAAGGATTAAACAAGACCGTACTTGAACAGGATCATTTCTATAGTGCAGTCATCTTTACTTTGTTTTCCAAAGTAGACGATACCAATAACTTTGAGGATCGAGAGTGACCCCCTTCGTTGACTCGGGATGTCGGCGCACGTGCTGTGGACGCAAGTCCGGGTCGTGGCTGTTGATGAACGTCCACTGTTGCATTCCAAGACAGTGTGAGCGGAGGCGGGTGTTATGAGAAGTTATTGGTATTCGTTTTTCATTCTATTAATTTTTCTACCTTATATTAATCCTTCCCTACGCCGCTCACACCAATAATATGCTCATGACCTCATAGACAACATTGCAAGTACTATACTAGTTAGCATGAATCTGACCGCTGATGCCTTGCTGCCATGAAATTGGAATCACACTAAGTGATCAACGATTTAGATTCGTGGGGTGAACATACCCTGGGTCGAAACGAGGAAGTGCTACCGTTTTCGATGTACGTGTGTTCATCTTTTCATTTTGAGAAACAAAGACATTAGAAACGTATAGCGATACGAAGCCATGGACCGAAGACATGTTCCTGCAAGCACGCCGCTGCCGAGGTAACGTTAAGGTCGAATTAAACAATCAAAGTACATTCGCGTTGCAATCTGCACCACACATCGTCATAACGTTTGAGCTTGTACGCACCTGTCCAATAATTGCCCTGAGAGTATACTTTTAGCCTCACGTTACGCTAATCGTGAACTTGGCTACAGTACCGGGGGGGGGGGGGTTGGCATCGTTTACACCACAAGCACATTGCACCTTCATCCACTTTAATTTAAAGGCGCTAATGTCTACTGTACACCTTCAACGCAGCACTGCTGACTAATCGGAAGCATTCAGGGCCAAAGTGCACAGCTTTCGTTGCCCCACTATACAACGTGACACCATTACCCCTCGGAGTCGATCATGGGTCGCACCTGTGTCCACCAAGATGAGAGCCACCATTAACGCCTTTAGGCATAACTTCAAGTACAGTTCGTGAGGCTCTTGGTGACGTTGCGACTTCAAGACGCTTTGTGATACCTTGCAAATGCCAAGAGCTTGGAATGGCACAACCGAAGACTACGACAAGCCATTGCGCGAGCTGGTCAAACTCGAGCTTGAAACAGTGAATCCAAGGCGGCAAATAGATCATCGAAGTCAAGGACACCATGTCCCTAGGGTCGTTCGTGATTTCGACGCCGTTCTTTGTAGCGTACTTGGTCTACTTTTTGGCACCAAGGCAGGGCTATTCCAAAGTGCAAGATGCGCTAGCCTTAGGTTTCACCTAGTTGCTTACTGAAGAGCTGGCTGTGAAGATGTCTCTGGCAGTGTTGTGGAGCGAAGAGATGGCATCGACACTAACGTTAAGGTCGCTTACACCCGGACTGCGAAGCTACCATTAGAATCTACGATTCCTATATTGCCCAAATATCAAACTACCAACGGCAGCACCAAGCAGCAGACCCAAAGGCGAAAAATGGTGCCAGGCTCGAGAATCGACAAATGCATGAAAGTGGGCGTGGGTACCACCGACATGAGTGGATTGTCGGCCTTGATGTTGTTGTTGGGAACGTTCATGTTCCTGGTCCAGGTGTCGACGCTGTCCTTTTCACTTGGTATGGGCACCAACTTGCTCAACCTGCTCGCCGTCTTGATGGACTCGAGGGGCCGTTTTTTCGTTTGGTTCTTGTGCCGTTGATGCTTTGCGCCTTGATCTCTTCATATACCGAGAATAGAATTGCATATGATTATTGGTCGCGTCATGGTGTCGTGTCGGCGTGCCATACTACGTTCTCTTGGCTGGCTGAGGCGACGCTATCTCGTTGACTTTCGATGAGCGACAGGCGGTTCTTCTTGGCCTTGATCAATGCCTCACCAGGAAACGTGTCCATGGCTTCGGTTTGGAGCATAACCTCAAGGACATGTTCTGTGTGGTGTCGTGCGACAAAGTCAGTCTACCCCGCGCCGAGTTGGTGCTTTTGGAAGCGGGGCAGGAGGTCCGTCACCATGAACGTGACGACGGAGTCCAGGAGCACGTCGTAGTAGTTCCAGTGAGCGACAGGGATTTCGGGTTGACGGCGTACTTGTCATTGGCCTGGATTGCCTTGGAGTACCGCGTTCGTATGTTGTCAGGGACGATCGTTTCAAGCGAGAACGGGGCGAACGGGGCAAAATGCTGTTGGTAGATTTCGTCCACTCCGACGCAACCTGGGGCTTGAGTTCGGAAGTCCACGAGTGTTTTCCACGCCATAATACACTCGTAGGCAAACTCCGACTTAGGAAACGTCGAAAATGCAGTGTACCCGTTGGGCGTGCGCAAGTACGGGTCGAGAATGGCCATGGTGCCTCGAAATGTCCCCGTGTGGGACCCAAGCCCCCATGCCGTGCGCGTCGTTTGAATGAGGGGGGGCACGACATGGATAACGACGAAGGCATGAGACATGGCGATCGCGAGAAGAAGGTCGAGCGAGTAGCCCAACTCGACCCACGAGTCGGGGGAGAAGATGAGCAGCGGCAAATCCACCACCGCCATTTATCACACCATGTTGACAACATCAAACGAACGAAACATGGGTGTCGTACGCAGCATCAAGAGGCGGTTGCTCGTTTGAAATGACTTCCGGAGGCCATAGTTGTCCACGTCTTGGCTCAACCTGAACGACATAAGCACCGACAGCCCTATGGAAAGGACAAATTGCACCGTGTGCAGCGTCCAAATGCGGTGAACGACCGGGACCGAGCACACGATTTTGATGAAGGCGCTCGAATCCTCCAAGAACAAAATGATAAACAGGGGTGATCCCCACACCAAGTACAGTCCGACGCGATGTTTGGAAAAGGCCCCGCTTCGGACAAACCGTCGACGCCACAGAGCCTTGGTCGACGGTGGCACACCTCGTGCCTTTGTTTATGACTACCATCATCTCCGTCATTTGGAACGTCAGCACGACCTATGGTGCACAAGATGTATCGTTGGTCGTAATGGGACGATCTCACACCACGCACATGCAACTGAGTGATGAGATAACCCAATAATGCCCACTCCGTAGGCAACCTACGGTACATATTAGAGGACTAGGTATGGCGGGAGCGGACTACCCTATCAACACACACCGCATGGTGCACAGCACGTCGTTTCTGAAGAGAAGACATACGCATCGACCAAGTCCGTTCAAGAACGCAGCGAAGGCAGTGACAGCCATCTCGACAGGGTTGAGGAACCACACGACAGCAGCCACCTCGGAGTTAAAGTATATATAACAAATAATACGAAGCTTCTATTTTTCTTTCACGAGAACCCCAAATATCAGAGCTCTTCCAGCCACAGGTTCCCCTACGACTAATTATTTTATAATTATATAAAAAAATTATATAATGTAGGTTCTAGACAAAATGTTATATTAAGTTTAATATTAAAATATTGACAAGGATTGGTAAGGTTTTGCGCGTATTGTCGAATTAAACCACATGCTCCACCGCTTGTGTTCTCCTATTTTTGAATATTCAGTATTTACTTTAAAAATGATTACTATTGTAGGTGCTTTAGAAAAAATATAGTTAATTATATAGAATTTCATTTTTGGTTACCTGATGTTTATGAAGGCGCTCCAAATAATATTAAGTATGACTGGGGCGGTCACCTCCCAAAGAGTAACGGAGGGACCGAAAAATTCTATAATACCTTTATCTACTTCACAGCCAAAGCAACCTTTGATTAGTGTACAATATATTGGCAATACCTGTGGTGATATATTTGTACAATATAATCAATTTTCGGCATTATCATCCTGAAAATCAATTACTACGTAGTATGTAATAATTGCAATCTGCGAAGTGGAACAATAAATAATTGATTTAAATAGATTGCAATATAATACATTACCGAGTACTACTGTAAATTACAGTAGTACGCGGTGATTGCAAGCGGGGCGTAAACGCTCACGGTGCAGACGGCCTGAACAACAGACCGCATCGCGTCAGGCTCATCCGGTGTAACATCGAGGATGGTAACTGGCAAGTGCAGGTGGTCAATTGGTTATTATTAGACGTATGCGTAGGGGCTGCCTCAGTGCTCTAAAATTGGTACCCGCGCTATGCGCTCTCCATTTCGATACCCACTTTTAATATCAGAAGTGTTGTATATCTTTACTATGGCCACGTTTGATAGTGTGCTCGAGCGATTTGTCGTTTTCGCATATTGTGTCGCCGGTCACAGACGACGCCATGTTGCTCTCCCTTCGACTTTCAATGGCTCCGAGGCGCCCCGAGGACCGCAGCAAGTCCCCCTTGATGGTGGGCATGGAGCGATTGGACTGCAAGAATGGGGCGTGTTCGTGGTCGAGCATCTTGTCGAGAGCCATCTGTGTGTTGTACTTGGAGACAAAGTCCCCCCACGTCGCCCCCAGGGCGTGCTGCTGGAACCGCGGCAGCGTTTCCACGAGAATTTTGTCCATCACAGAGTCCAAAAGCACGTCAAAGTAGTTGGCATCCCGGACCATTTCTTCGGGCACGATGCTGTACTTGCTGTTGGCTTCAAACGCTAGCCCATACCGCTTGAGTATCGACGCTGGGATATCTTTTTCGAGCGACAGGGGGGCCGTGGGGGCGATGTGCTGCTCGTAAATTTCAAACGCCGAGAGGTGCTCGGGCGAATCGACGCGGTAGTCCACGAGGGTTTTCCATGCCAAGACGCACTCGAGTCGAAATTCAGACTTGGCAAAAGTCGAAAACGCCTGAAAGCCTTCGGGGGTGTGCAAGTACGCGTCGAGGATGCCCACGGTTCCCTTGAACGCCGCGCCTTCGAAGTCGTGATGGGACATCACATACGCTTCCCGCAGCGGCAGCACAATGTGGATCCATATGAATGTATGCGAGATGAGAATGTCCATGAACAGATCAGCCCGGTAGTTGAACACAATGTCCGCATCGAAAAAGAACGTCAGAAGGGGAAAATAAATGCAGAACCCTACGCATGCCACGTCAACGACAGCATCATTTGGGGGGGGGTCGTACAAATAAACAAGATGCGGCCGCTGGCTTGGAACGACTGGCGCAGACCAAAGTTGTCGACCACTTTGCTCATGTTAAACGACAGCATCAACGACGCGACGACCACGACGAGAAATTCCGACGCAAACAACGTCGTGACTTGGTGGCTCAAATCGTTGGGACAGTTTTCCCCGTTGTACAAGCTGTAGTCGTGGCTGTAGAGGATGATCACGAGGGGGACATTCCAAGCTACGTGGAGGCAAATGCGGTACGTCGACAACAGACCCCGGCGCAGCAGCGAGTGCAGATATCCGAGTTTGTGGTGGTTCACTTTTCGTCTCTCTGCGTGTGCCAGCATCATCTCGGTCAAGTTGAATGTCAAGACTACCTAGTCACGCGATACACCTCACGACACGGAGTACAAGTCAGGTCGTACGTACCCTTAGTTCGGCCAGGAGGTACCCCACCAACCCCAGTTGCAGCGGCACTCTACAGTGATGGTGTGAGATAAATCCATCTCGCATTAGGTTGGACGATTACCCAAACGAAAGCAACCGGAGTGTGCATGAAAATTTGTCGACAAAGAGAGAGCCCATGCACCGCGCAAAGCAGTACGCAAACGCGGCCGTGGCTGTGAATGTCATTTCAACGGGGTTCCGATACCGAATGGCGGGTTTGTGTCGGTTGCAATAGTAGACGAGGATAGCAAAGGGGAGGTAAAAACTCAGCGCAAAGACGGCCACGATGATTGTGCGCACAATCCCATCCGGGGGCAGCAAGAGCCGCTCGCTCGTGTCGACAACGGTGGTGGTAACGTTAGGTGTCCGTGGTATGGTGTGGTCATAGTTCATCGCGCAGGCAATGCCTATCGATGCAATGGGGCCTTTATCAAATGAACCAACCGCGGCTATATTTAGATGCATTTTGGACCATCCTTATTGGTTACCAATAGGTAACATAACAGTATACAGCTTCCTCCTTCAACATGGGACTGACAGAATCCTTTCATTGAAATAAGAGTATTGCAGAGTCGCTCGCTACCTTCAAGTCAACGGCAACCACTAGTTCTCGTATACTGCTTAGTAATATGTTATCGGTGATCCATCCCGGCCCCCCTTATATGTGACAGCGTCGCCATCCGACTGTCGTGGTCGCCGACTTTTTCACTGGTGACGGAGGTGTGCAAGCTTTCAATGACCAGCAATCGTCCAGTGCTCGGCATGATGGCTTCAAATTTGATTGTGGGTATGGGTTTCTCTTCTGGTCGGTCATGGCCATCCTCTCCATTCAGGACTTCGTCGAGGGCATTTTGGGAGTTTTGCAAGACCAAAAGGTTAAACCACCCGCCCCCCAGCGCATGCCGTTGAAACCGAGGCAGCGTTTCGACTAGAATCTTGCATACTATCGCGTCCAAGAGAACGTCAAAGAACATGACACCTCGTCAACAATGGTTGGGGCGGACCCTGTACTTGCTGTTGCTTTCAAACGCTATGGCGTATCGCTTCAAGATCGTCCCTTTCATCACATTGTCCAGCGGATAGGGCGAATTGGGGGCAATGAACTGGTTGTAAATGTCCATGGCGGAGGGGTGGCCGGGGGCTTCGGTGCGGTAATCCATGATGGCGCGCCACCCAAACACAAATTCGACCATAAACTCGGACTTGGCAAACATCGAGAACGCGTCAAAGCCATCCGTTGTTTGCAGATACGCGTTCAGCACCCCCGCCGTCCCTCGGAGTGTCTTCAATTCGAAGTCCCGCCGCATAGACTGGAGCACCATTAGAAGCGACTGGAGAATGTGGATCGAAATGAACGCGTGGACAATGGCCACGTTGATGAAACTATCCAAGCAATACTCGATAACTACGTCGCTGTTGAACGAGAAGTTCAACACGGGAAAGTGCACCAAGAGTACTAAACATGTACTTCATGAGTCGGTGGGAACGATGCAGAGAGGCGTACAACAGGAGAAGACGCGACCGCTGACTTAAAACGACCAGCGAAGGCGAAAGTTGTCGACCACTTTGCTCAGCTTGAAAGACAGGGCCACGGAGGCCGAAATTATGAGCGCAAACGAGACGAGCGACCAGTTTATGACCCACGACAAGCATTTGTAGCCGTCGTAGGGAGTAAGGACTTGGGAGGCCAAGCGGGCCAAAAGGGGGACATCAGTCGACCAAACGAAAGAAATCGACTTCGATGATACGCCTGTATCCATCGCATGATTTTGCAGTTCACGACACGCTTGGAGGCGTGCGCCACCATCATTTCTGTCACTTGAAACATCAGCACCACCTATGAACATGCAAGTTAATTCTCCCTCATTCAAGGTGTTTGTACGTGAAGTTCGGCCAAGACATAGCCCAGCAGCGTGACTTGCATCGGCACCCTAGACACATCAATATGAATCGTAGGCTCGTCGGACATTCTCTATATACTGACGCAAACGACACGAGTACGTGCAGCGAGACATCGCTGCGCAAAAGGGGCCTATACAATGAGGGGCTCCATTCAGAAATGCCGCGAACGCTGTGAAAACCATCGCCCCGGGGTTGCGAAAGCGGATCACGGGGTTGTGTCGGTGGACGTAGTAGAGCAGGATGACGAATGGCGCGTAGTACGACAGCGCTAGGGTCAGCACAAGGAGAGTTCGAATGAAACCTTGAGGGGCGGAGAATTCAATGCTGTCTGACGAAAGCATTGGATTCCGGTATGTCACTCATGCGATGAACAATGCTCCTTGGGCTTTGTGCTGGATGTACTAAAAATATAAAATTAGTATCGGGACGATGTCGAGGACAACTCGGTACTATCACAACCTTTGGGACAATCAGAGGATTCCATCTCTTCTATTCTATACCATCTCCCTCCGTGCGCCTGTGTATTCTAGCGTGCGTTCAAAAGCAGCAGAGATGCGACATCGCGTTCATGTTTTAAGTAAGTACCACACGATCTTTTCGAGCTACATTGGTTTCTAGTCGGTCGGTTGGAGTGGGTACGTCGTTGTCATGACTGCGTGGTTCTTTCGTCGGAGGTAATATCACTGTCACAACGAAATTAGATGCACACACAACAGATATGGCGCAACAATTCCGCTGTTAACACACAACATGTACTCCTTTCGTCGTCGCCGTCCTTGAACGACAGGCCTTCCGTTTGAATCATGTATAATCGCCCCGTGGAGCGGCTGATGGCGGCATGTTTGATGGTTGGGCATCTTGGACCACTGATCTCGTCCGATGGTGTCGTCTAGCACTTGATCCAGCGAGTCTTGTGTGTGGTACTTGACAAGAAAGTTATACCACCCTGCGCCGACCGGATCCCGCTGGAACCGGGGCAACGTCTCCACGAGAATTCTGTCCACGATCGAGTCCAGCAGAATGTCAAAGTACCGGATGCCCCGTCGCCCTTCGTCGGAATGGACGCTAACAGACTTGTCATGACAACACATGGACATTGTACCTGCAGCAAAAGGAAGTCATGGGTTTTCACGGCTCGTGTGCTCAATACCATGTGCACTATTGCTCTCCTACAACGATGGTATGCCAATGCGTTCTTGTCTGCCCAACAGAGACTTGGAATATCACAGTTCCACCCATATGGTACTTGGTGTTGCTTTCAAAGGCCATCGCGTATCGCTTCCAGATCCCGCAAGGCAAAGGCCAAAGCCCTCCTTTGAGTGCAAATACGCACTGAGCACACGCGCTATGCCCTGGTGCATCGCCGGGTTGAGGATGGTTGTGGATGAAGGTGATTGAACAAACTCGACGACGATCGGCCGGACAATGTGGACCCATACAATCGTGTGGTCGATGGCGAGGTTGATGATCAAGTCGACGCGGTACGTGTACACAACATCGCTTTGAAACCAAAAGATCAAAATGGTAACGTACGCCAAAAACACTAGTTGCGACACACATGAGGTGTGGAATCAGAACGAGGTTTGTACATGCGACATACGCGCGGCCGCACGTTTGATACGGCCGGCGCAAGCCAAAGTTCGACAGCACCACCGACGCACTTATCATACACGCAAACGACGTGAGGAACCAACGCATGACTGCGTCAAGCAGGTTAGACGGGCAGTGCGCCCCGCTGTACACGCTGTAATCGTTGCGAAACACTATCACAAGCATGAGAATGTTCCACGTCCGTCACGTAAAGCAAGATGCGCTAGGTTAAGTGAAATGTCAGCACGACCTACGCGAAGGGGTGGCGTTGGTAGTCCTCGCAATCGGTTTGGCTGTTTTGGCCATGTCGTTCAGCCAACACATATCTCACCAGCACCAGCTGCAGCGGAATGCTAGCATCGTCGTTGGTGAAGGTCGTTGGATGTTAAGCTATACCTAATGAGAGCAACCGGAGCGTGCACGAGATGTCGTCGACGAAGAGCGGCCCCAGACACCGCCCCAGGCCGTTGAGGAATGCAGACAGAGCCACGAACGCCAGTTCGTTCGGGTTGCGGTACTTGATGCTAGGGCTGTGTCGGTTGATGTAGTACATGGCGATCACAAGTGGCGTGTAGAAACTGATAAACGTGACCAAGCTCAGCACCATTTTTATCGTTCCAGTGGGGGCGTTCAGGGGGAGTTGGGGCATGGCTGTCGGAGGGTTGTTGGCACTGGCTGGCATGGTGGACTTGGCACTAAAGCCTCGGAAGTGTCTATAAATACATACTAACAGGAACAAAGATGTCGATGTTTGTCTTGAGCTTTGCTTGTCCCCTCAACTACCACTGAATCTACTGCACTCCATCGTCCATAGTGCATATTCTGAGGCATATATATATACAGCATAATTGTATGATGGCCATCTTGACCCACACATTGCCTTTTGAACATCCGCTTATATTTGTATTAGTTTTACGGCCATTGTTTCATATTCGATTTATTGGACCACGTGCTTTGGCTACTTTTGGTGCGGGTTGAAGAACTTTTTGAGCGGCTGCCAGCACTTGTAGTAGTCCTTTTCGTTCTGGGGGCAGTTGAGCGCATAGTCGGTCAGCTTCATCATGTACGACGACTCAAACATGAACGCGAGGCCGCCGTCAAAGTAGTGCGGCTTGAGGTCGGCGTTCGATGCGTTCTCAAACGTGGCGGCGTCGGGGCCGTGCGCGCTGTCACAGCTGTGCAGGGACGCACCGCCAGGCACGAACCCATCCTTTTTGGCGTCGTACACGCCGTATACCATGCCCATGAACTCGGTCATGCAGTTGCGGTGGTAGTATGGAGGGCGGAACGTCTTCTCTTGCACCATCCAGCGCGGCGGGAAGATGACAAAGTCCGCGACGGCGCAGCCCGCTTCGTCCGTCTGGCACGTGAGCACCGTGTAGATGGACGGGTCCGGGTGGTCGTAGTTGACCGAGTTCATCGTGCAAAATAAGTCCAAGTTGTACTTGTACGGGACGTAGTTGCCGTGCCACGCCACCACGTCGAACGGCGAGTGGTTCATGTGTGCCGAGAACAACTTGCCGCCAAACTTGCCGATCACGGTGAAGTCCACGTCGCGGTCTTCGTACCACGCGACGGGGTGCTCAAAGTCACGAGGGTTGGCGAGGCCGTTCGCGCCGATGGGACCCAAGTCGGGGAGGATGAAGTGCCGGTTGTACACTTCCAACACATACCCGCGGGACGGCTCATCCAGGTCGACGGAGAAGCGGATGCCGCGCTGGATCACGACGATTTCATGCGGCTTGACGTGCAATTTGCCAAACTCGGTCGTGATCTTCAACGCACCCACTTGCGGCACGATGAGGAAGTCGCCGTCCGAGTTGTAGAATGCCGTGTCCTTCATGGACGTGTTCGCGGCGTACATGTGGATGGCCAGGCCCGCCTTCATCGTGGGCTCTCCTGCTCCACCCATGGTGTGCAGGCCTTGGATGAAGTTGACTTTTTCAGACGTCTTGGGAAACGCCATGGGTTGCCAGCGCAGTTGTTGCGGTGTGATGTGTTCGTTGGTGAAGTCGTTCACGATGTGCTTCGCGGGGATTTCCTTGTATTGCTCGTGAACGACAGGGGGGAGGATGCGGTACAGCCAGCTGCGTTGGTTCGACTTGCGCGGCAGCGTGAACGCCGTGCCCGATAATTGTTCGGCGTACAGCCCGTAGTTGCATTTTTGCGGGTTGTTCATGCCCGTGGGGAGCGCGCCTTTGAGGGTTTCCGACGCAAAATGGTTGCCGAAGCCAGGAAGGTATTCCAAGTCCAGCCATGACCCATCTGCTTGTTCGGCGCGAGTGCGCTTGATGGGGCTGGAAGCTTTACCGGGCATGTTGAGTGATCGGTTGCAGGCGAGTTGCAGAGTGAATGAACCCCAACAAAACTCAATGGGCATAGATACGATTTGGTACATTCGTACTTAAGTATGTACGGAGTCATTATGCATATCCATATGTTCTTTTTCATATATATATATGATGACAACATTGCGTTGTAGTTATATATGGATTTATTCATGCATACAAATCGGTAATTTACGTACTGGCATTTAATAGGGTACAATCATTACCATAGTAAATCGACAACGTATGTGTCGTACTTTATCGAATTACTTCGATTCCACACAACTACGAGTGGTCGAAGTTTACAAACCTCCCATGGATTTGTAAGGGCGCTTGAAGTTGCAAAACGAGGTGACGTCTCATTTCAGTTTGCACCAAGGACAATCAATGAATCCACAGGCGCAACCTTCATTTTCGACCACTCACCAATAAAAACATGGTTCAAAGTTATCAAAGGTCTTCACGGGATGTCAAAGTACGCTTTGCATTTGGCCCACATGGCTTGTTGGATTGGGGAGTTGAATGTTGGCGGCTCTGCAGCGTTCAGGTCGTACGGAAACGTCTCGCAGTACCATTGAAGGTAGTTGGAATCGATCGGTGGCAACTCCATCATGCGAGTTTCGTCGACATGACGTGGCACGAGGTCAACTGTGTCAGCTTGGTAGACCAAGTTTGAAGGAGGCGCATACAGCCGAGAGGACGCAGGTCCAACGAGCAGTACTGCTGTGATCCACGTCAACGGCAGCTGTATCATGGACTACTGTTGCTGGATAAAGTCGAAATGCTATGCCCCGCCTTGCGCTTACCCATAATCTTCGACGTTGGCGTGAAGAACAATGGTTGTCGATAATGATTGGATTGTTTTATCCGTTTTTTCACTCGATTTGCCGCGACCTTTCGCGTGTTTTTGCGGATAACGCCGAGGATTATCCGGAATCCAAGAATACTTGCATGTCATTTCCGAAGCATGCGCGCCATTGTTGCGATTGTAGAGGTGGCTGTGCTACTATGGGCCACCACAGCCCAGCACGTTGGCAACTTGAACCGCAGCGTCACAGAGGAATGCCAAGCACTTAAGGTACAAGGCAACGTTAGAAGTGTATAGAGAGCAACCGTTCTGGCTTTAATGGTTGCATGAGTAGGTTCAACTCGACAAGCTCTGGATCGACCAAACGCAAATGACTCAAGGCATCGTGGGTGGCGCGGTGACCGAGACAGACTGCAAGCAACTGCATGACATCAACGTCATGGACTATCGCACGGACGCAGAACAGGCGGCGCTGTGTTCGAACGCATGCTACAACAACACGGCGTACACGTATGCCAGCATGCTCAACCTCGACTGCTTTGACGGGCAAGACGAGTACGAAGTCGCCAACCAGCGGCTGTTTGCCGCCAGTTTTCAATTTGGATGCCAGCAAGATGCGTCTGAAAAATACTGCGGTGCGAGTTCCGGCTTAGTTAACCTAACGCCGTTCAGTCCCGTTGCTAGGTCTGACCATACAAAACGCTGGCTCCAATTACGACCTGTGCAGTGATATTGTCAACAAGATCGGGTGCTGCTTTGAAAGCTACAAGCGGTACATGTCGTTTGGCACGTCTCGATCTGTGGACGAAATGAACGCAATGGCGTCCACGTGCGCAGCAAAAGTGTCGAATATTGGGGTGCCGTGCACCTGCCACCCAGGAAACGGGTTTGCGAGCTCTGTCAAAGGCATTGTCGTATGCAGTCATGGTAACCATCGTCACTCTGTCGGGGGGATGATCGCATGGGGTTGTTTATGTGTAGCGTCCAAGCTTGGGCTGGAGGTTACCCTGATGCTCGTGGTTGTGATGTTCATGACATTCATGAGAGTCTAATGATGTTTAATTTACGACTGCTGTTTCATGTGCGCGACAAAGTCGTCAATCAAGACTGGCCACGCGCCGTTCTCGTCGTAGTTGCTCAGATCGGTCGCCACGTGGTGGGAAAACTCGAGCAGTTGCATCCACACGTCGCGCGAAATCGCATTCTTTTGATGTGCCTACAGTACAATCCTTGAGGAGTGTCATTCAGTGCGAAGACGCGACACCTTGACATAGTCGATCCATGACGGCAGCAAGTCGAAATGACTGGGAAGAAGCAACTCCCATAGTTCCAACGCCGTGTCCACGGGCATGCTTCGTTGGTCGGGCTCTTTGGCAAAGTTGTATGTATGCTACATAAAGGCGGAAGACATGACGTGACCAGTGGAGTATATGACGTTGGCCATGACGTGAGCAGTCGAGTATGAAGTTGTAGAACACGTACGGCGTAGATCTTGGCAAAAACGACGGGGTCACTGGTCAAGTGTTTGCGAAGAAGGGGCACTTTTGCTTTGGCGTCGGCGACAGAATGGCACTGCAACGCCTTCAGGCCATGCACAAACTCGGCTTTGGTGAACTCGCTCATGGTCGCGGCATTCATGTGATAGGCGAGAGCAAGCATCACAGGATCTTGGGGGTCAATGCCCAAGTGTTCGCATAGGAGAAAGATGCCGTCGTCCGAAGTCACGTCTTCGTTCTCGGAGTCTGCGTACGGAAGGAAAAGCCGCGACAGCTCCACACTCCATCCATCTTCGTTGGAAGCTGATGGCGTATCCGTCGCCCCATAGTCCATGGTCGTCTTTTGTTTCTTCTGTCCATTGTCTCCGTTGGACTCGTGCGAGCGCTTCGACGTCGTTGACGACGTTGACTCGAAAAACTCGACAAGTCGCTGCACAAGATCGGCTTTCTTGCCTTGGATGCGGAGGCCTACGCATGCACGTGCGTGGGTGTATGTTCATTACGTCCGTGGATGCATACCTAGCGCCTTGCATTTTTCCTGCAGCTCCTTCACCTTGAGATGGGTCAAGTCTGCGCGATCCGACATCGTCGTTTTGGATGTTTGGCACTGCGGTGTTTTTGATTCCGATTGGGCGCGAGGTGAGTAATCAATTTGATTGGATAAAATTATAACCACAATCCGGTCACCCATTGGACAATATGTATTTGAGCTTCGGCAATAGTAAGGCCCTTGGAACCACCATACTGCATGGCCAAGCTTACTACAAGCACCCGTTTCTGCAATCGACCACTTCTTGAGGGTGTCTGCGCTTCCCACGCCACAAATGGTGTGATTTCCTACCTATGGTGTAAGCGAAGATTAAACGATGGAATTATCGTGGAGGGTACAAACATGATTGGCCTATTTAGCGTCATTATAGCCAATACAAAGACGCCATTACTTGGCCAGAAGTTTTCGTTTGAATTTGTCCGTACTTACTATGCCTCTGAACGAAGTCGGGACCCCGTCGCCCGCGGTGGCCGCCGACGATGGACCTTCTCTGGACATCATCTCGGTGTCGCAGACACTTCTAGACAACTTGGACCTTCCAGCAAATCGGGTCTGCATGGTATGCTTTGATGGCGCGGAATACGCGACGAATCCCCTCCTTTGCTGCAGCGTCCCGACGTGCCGCATGCGGGTGCACTTGGCATGCTACGGGTCTGGCACGGATTCAATGCCGCTCATGCCGTACAAGAAGCGGTCCAAGTGGGTCTGCGACGTCTGCACACTCGAGAAGAAGCATGCCACGGAGCTGACCCCGAACTCGGCACGCGTCTGCGTTGTGTGCAAGATGTCTGGCGGTGTTGTGAAACCCACCAAGGCCGACAACACCGTGTGTCACTTGGTGTGCGTGCGATGGCTGCCCGAACTGAAGCAGGTGCCGTCAGAGGTGCAGGCCACGTCATCGGTCGTGGACGCCGACCTGCTCTTCGGTACGCGCAAGTCGCTCAAGTGCCACATCTGCCACAAGCGAAACGGATGCTTGCAATGCATGAGCAAACGATGTACGAAGGCGTTCCATGCCGTTTGTGCGTTGCGTGCGCTCGAGTCCAAGGTGTACACGGGTGTCACCGAGGCGAACCACCTCGCGTGCATCTGCGACTCGCACTTTGCCGACGTCCGTGCCACATACCGCTCGATCAAAGATGTGTTTTGGGACCAGCCGTATCTTGGTACGGAAGTCGACCTCGAAGAAGACGACGAACCCACCGCCGCGGCTCCCCACGCCGCCCTTTCGCCCTCCGACCTTGCGCTTCCCCCACTGCTAAACCCCATGATTCCATTTTCGCAACCACCGACGTCAAACAAAGTCGGCCGACCGCGAAAGCATCCGGTGCCCCAGCAAGATCCGTCCGTTCCAAAACCCACGTTGCCGCCTCCCCCAGGCAGTGCTTCAAACACCGCGCATCCTTCAGTGAACCCTCGCCCGTTCATGGCATCGCCATCGAGCGTCGGCCGCCCACGTCCGCCACAACAACACGCCGCGCCGTCCCAACCATCGCTGCCACAACTGGCCGACGTGGCCGTGTGTACATGGTGCATGCAGCCCATGCTAAGTTCAATCCTCCACGTGCATCAAGCGTCCTTATGTCCACTGAAACCAGCAAGTTCTCGGAAACCAAAGGACCCGAACCTGCCCAAGCGACCCCGTGGTCGACCTCCCGGATCGAACAGCAAGGCCAACAAGGACACCCAGCGTCCTCCCCAGCCCAAAACGTCGAGCGCCGCGACGACTAAGAAATCACCCTCCCCCAAACCACTCCAGCCACCGACGGTTGGCGGCGGCGTGGCGGTCGGTCCGTCGCCTCGACCGATGCTCATGCTTCCCCAACACCACCCCCGCCCCATGGCCCCAACGTTTTCGCAGTCAGCCCCTCCGCCTCCAGCCTCCCCCATCAAGGACATATTGATGGAAAACGCCCTCGGAGTCCTCCGCCACAACGCCGTGGACTCGCTCTTCTCGTCGTGGCCGGGCATGCCAGGCGGGGGGCTCCTGCAGTCGCGGGACTTTTGGGCCCAAGTGTTTCAATCGTTTTTCACGAAACCGTCGCTGCTGCCGGCCAAGTGGACGCCCCTCACGCAGTGGCTAGCGGGCGTCAACTCGCAGGCGTTCCTGACCCCGCTCAAGCCCCCGCCCAAGTGCTCGGACGCGACCACGTTTGCCCACGTCACAAACGAATGGCTGGCAGCGACCCACGTCCGCCACACATGCGACGCGATGCTCCAGTCGAACGGCCTGCGCTGCGTGCAGCCGTTGAAACCCTTCACGCACATCAAGTCGATGACACGGACGACCGAGTCCAGTGGCATCTTGGAGGTGGTGCTGGCCAGCCACGACCACCGCCCCGTGCAGCATTGTCGGTTCGCTGTCGTGTGCTCGGCCAACGCCCCGACCACGGCTCATGGCGAGGACGACGACACCACCACACCGGGGGCTTCCAATGTCGTGTGGAGCCGGTTTCGGCCCAACAAAACTTTGGTGACGTTGCCGACAGATAGTAGTACTAGTAGTATGCCCACCGAACCGGTGTGGGTGTCGCTCTTGTCGATTGACGAAGTGACCGACGTGAATGCGAGCCACGTGTACACATCCGATACGTCGTCGGTTCAAGTCACGGAAGCTCCGATTCAGGATGACATGGCGTTGGAAGCGCTGCTGTGTTATGACGTGCTCCAAGAAACTTTGAAAGGGAACCGCATGCGGTGGCGGACGTTGTGGCGCAAGGCGGCCGCGGCGACGGCGTCTGAAGCGGCGACGGCGGCAACGGCCAAACAGGTGGAAAGTCTGTACGAAGAGTACAACTGGTGGAAGTCGGTGTGCACGAGCGTGATCAAAGGCACGACGGACATGCCATTCTTGGACGACGTGGACGGCAACGTGACGACGGAGCTGCAGTCGTTCGAAGACGGCACGTGTGTGATTTGTATGGACGGCACGTCGGAGGAGTCGAACCCGATCATCTTTTGCGACAAGTGTGACGTGGCAGTTCACCAGCGCTGCTACGGCGTGGCCACGATCCCGAAAAGCGACTTTTTCTGCAGCAAGTGCAGCGTCAAGGGGGTCGTGGCGCCCCAGTGCGCGCTCTGCCCGCACCCCCACGGCGCCCTGAAACAAACGGTCGAAGGCCACTGGGTGCACGTGTTTTGCGGCCTGTGGTGCCCCACCACGTTTGTCGTCAAGGTGCCCCGCATGCTCTTCCAACTGTCTCAGGACGACTCCAAGGTCCGGTATGCCACGTCGTCATTCCAAGACAACTCTACCACCATCTCCACCACCACCGCCCTCGCCAACGTTGAGGGCATCCCCCCCGCATTACAACGCGGCGGACTCTGTCGTGTGTGCCGCATCGCCACGGGCTGTACCGTTCAGTGCCGCCACTGCCCAGGTACAGACAGTTCTGTGTTGGTTGTCTAACATAACGTACGCCCTCTGATATGATGTACTTGGTGTCGTAGCGTCGTTTCATCCGTTGTGCGCGTGGTTTGATGGGTGCTACATGCACGCTGAGGTGGCGTCCTGTGGCTTTGTGTGCGCCGGGGGGGGCCAAGGCCTGCGGTTCACACTGACATGCAAAGAGCACACACCCCCGGATCTGCCCTGTCAAGATCGGGAGCTCCAGCGGCGTCAGCGGGCTCAACTGTACACGCCAACAACGCGAGCTCGATGTGCAGTGTGCTTTGTCACGATGAATTCGATGCACCCCCACCATCGGTTCGACGATTCGCTCCCGACCACCCATTTCTTCCTGCGATGCACGGACTGCCACGTCCAATGTCATGCGCATTGCGTGCATCCAGTGGCCAAGGTTGATCCCCACGCCCAAGTCGTGACGTGGCAGTGTGAAAAGTGCCGGCTCTTGCCCCCCGGCTCAATCACGTCGTTGGCGGTCAAACCGGCCGCCGTGACGTGTCTGCTCTGCGACCAACCCCAGGGGTACATGCTCCCGGCCAAAGTGCATGCATCAGAAGCCGCCGCCCCGTCGCCCACTGCGGCCGCCGCCGCCGGATTAACCGCGCTCTCGGCACCTCCACCCCCCGTGGTGGCTGCTCCTACTTCTCCAAGCCTCCACGTGCACTTGTACTGCGCCAAGGCATTCCATCAGCCCATTCAAAAGTCCGGTAAAGGTGGAAGAGTGGTGACCGTGTCGACGCCATCGAGTGGAACAGCGTCGCAGAAATGCACCCTCTGTCACTTGAAAACTCCCGCGGTATCTCCATCGTATATATGTTTGTCCTTTTACCCAAAATGTGGACTTTTGTGCTGATTCGCTAATTCTATTCATCGATCGATTCGTTGTACTGCCTTTTGCGTGGAAAGATCGTCCAGTGTCACACTAATTTTCAGTCACAATACACACTAATTCGATGTTGACGTGGTCGAAGAGTGGATAATTTGATTCGCCACTTGATTCGTGTACTGGTTTTTGATTGGTCGATATATCGATTGTCTGCCGATTTGGTTCTTCTGCTCATTCGATTGAGATCACCCAAAACACTCCAACAGCTTCGACTTGGCCATATTGATATCGTATTCTGTATGCTGACTGCATATCCATCATGTGGGATAGGGGCGCCTGGTGACGTGCTGGAAAAAGCAGTGCAGTGTGTCGTTCCACCCGTACTGCGCTGCGACAGCGTTGTACTTCAGCTGGAAACCCACGCCCAAAGCCAAGATGGCGTACGCTTGCAGCGAGCACCCGCCAGACTTTGCCGCGTTCGACGCTGAGAACCAAGTGTGGATCACGCGGGACACTCTACTTGCGCTGCAGGAGATTCGATGCTCCCTGGAACGCGTGAGGATGTTTATTGACTTGAGCAAACAGCGCGAAAAGATCAAGAAGCGGCTGTTTGTCCAGTCCGATTGCAACGCATATGAGAAAGGTACGTCGGGTTATAGTGAAGTATATATGTGACACCGTTGGTTGGTGTAGCGGTGCCGTTGCTCCACGTCACAGCGCCCACCACGACCATGAAGGAGTTTTACCACACCATCACGAACGACCAGTTGGTGGACATTCCAAAGAAGCGGAAGATAATAGTGATTGACAAGCAAGTGCCCCACGCACCTACGAAGAAAGCGCGCAAGGACAAGACAACCCCCCCGGAGGATACGAAGCGGCGTCAAAAGCGCCGCTGGGACAGTCCACAGAGGCGCCGCCACAGCCGCCGCCTCGACCCCGACGACGACGACGAAGAAGCACAGCAAGACGTCCGTGCGGCGTTGCTGGCGTCCATATGGTCCCACGCTATCGTTGCCACTGACCACGACACCATGGACGACGTCATGGCCAAGCTGTATCCCCACCATTGTCTGGCGGAACACGCCTTGTAGTAGTACTAGTAGTAGTGGCGCCCTTGGTATGAATCATCATCACACCCGCCCCCCCCCCACAAAAATGACATGGCACATGATGAACACGAGCATCGATTGTATCAAGACATAGAACTGGCCACCTTGACCGATGATAACGAACATCGAGAACATCATCCACATCGTTTATAGTGATCAAATATCCTCAATGTATGTACATACATATGGAAATGGCATATGAGGTACTATGTAGCCAATGCCTAGGAGTTGTCCAAGTCGAGCTAGTGTTCGTTGTCATGGGGGTTCTGGGGTGCCGAGGTTGATGTTGGGAAGAGGGGAGGGAAGGTCATGCCAGGGGGAAACTGCAGCCAGTTCGTGGCGGGGTAGTCGGTTTCGTGGGTCTCCACCGCGTGGATTGTGTACGCGTGCCGGGACGTGAGCGACGTGTTGGCATGGGAGTAGTGTACGAACGCATTGTGCAGCAGCACCAAGTCGCCCTTCTTGGTCAAGATGGGCCTACCTTGCGACGTGTCGAAGTCGGCTTGGCCAGACGTGGTCAGGAGCGGCGCGTCCTTGCCGGCAGTAAGGTTCTGGCCGTCGTACGGGGTCGTGCGCAGGAATCGCTGCTGGACAGGTGTCGTCTTGTGGGACCCTGCGACCCCGTACAAGCATCCTAACAGTACAGCGTCGCAGGATAACATCACGACAGCAGGATCAAGATTGGACATACCGTTCATCGTGGTGCAGTCTTCCAACGCCCACCAGAACCCTACGACGCTTTGGGGCTCCGTGTACAAGTACGTGCCATCTTGATGCGGCAGCACTTCGCCTCCAATCGATGGTTGCTTGAAGATGTACATAGATTGCGGCAACACCGGCTTGATATACCCGAGAGACTTCAAAATGCCTGCGCACGCCCCCATGAGATGGACACGTTAGCGCCACATAGGCGAACGTACCGATGACGTGGGGAGAGAAGCTGACGGAGCGAAAGGCGGGATCGAGGGAATGGAGGTTGTGGCCAATCTTGTTGATCGCTTGGTTCATGGGCACTGCGAGGTTGCCGTCGTCGTCGAACGCTTTCTCTTCGAAGAAATATCGAATTTGATGGCCCGATTCCAAAAAGTACGAGTCACTGAAGCGCGTTTGATGCGTCGAGCTGAAGATGGACTTTTGGTACGCGTTTGGGTCGAATTGCGCCAAGTGGTGGATGGCCCGGAAGCGCAACGCATCGCAGACGTCGTCGGACAGCGCGCCGCGGATGTGGAGGTACCCGTTGGTGTCGTAGAACTCCTTTTGCTCGGCCGTCAGGCCGATGTAACTGGCGTCGTCCGTGTAGTTGCGCAACGAGCGCAAAGTGGACGTCGGCTTGAAGAGGGTGGCTTGGGTGCGACGAAGCATGGTCGGCGGGTGTGTATGTATGACTGAAAGAAACACTCTTTATTCAACGGATTCACACTATTTCCAGTCCGTCTACAACCTGATAGAGTGGTGCAAAGAGGAGATTTGGTAATTGGTACTGACTGTGAGTACTTCGAAGTACTTATTTGGCAGCAGATTGAGACTCCTTCATGGAGCTTGCAACGACAGTCGTTGCGCTGTGACCTGACCCAACACATGCCGCCTTCTTGCGTATCGTGAGCGCTACATCAATGAAGATTTACCTCCTCATACTTGTAGGAATAATATCTTAGTGGTACTCTTCAGATCTGTAACCGCAGGGCCACCACATGCAAAAAAAATAACTGCCACTTACCATAGACGTCTTGGGCCCCATCACACCAAAAAAAACTTCGACGGTCGCCACACATGGAGAGGCCGAGCGATCGACTCGCCAAGTCGCTGACTCAAACCATCGTTCCCCTAGCGGGAGAGGATCCCCCACCGAGGCGGATTCAAACGTTCATTCGAGTGCGACCGCCTTGCTCTACCGACACGAGCAATTCCTTTCCAGTACGTCGATCTATGTACCGATGTCCATATATACCGTGCCAACTTGCGCTCTCTAGGTCTTGACATTAACGCCTACGACACTGCGATGTACTCCTTCCACCCCCGCGTTGTCCAACCAAATCGATTGCTCATTCGACCTCATCTTTCCGCCCCAGGCAACCCAGGAGGCCGTGTTTGAGTCCGTTCAGGCTCTGCTTCAAGCTGTGCGACAAGGTCACAACGCCACCATCGTCACGTACGGCCAAACGGGCACGGGGAAGACCCACACGATGCTGGGCTCGATGCAGGAATCGCCATCGCCCGCGACATCTCGACCTGGTGACGACGGGCGTTGGGTGATGTTGGACTCGTGGGGCCTCATGCCTCGTACGCTGAATCACTTGCTGGAGTCATGCAACTTCACCAACCAGCCGCTGTCGTGCGCATACGTTGAGATCTACAACGACAAGGCGTTTGACTTGATGGCGGATAAAAAACGGCAGCGGCCGCTCGCGTTGCGCGAAAGGCTGGACGGTGCCACAGACTTGCCAGGTCTCACTACGCATGCCATAACCTCCGTCGACGACGCCATGCGATTCCTTCATCGAGGGTACGTCTAATCGACCATGGCTCCATAGTGTTCGTCCAGGAAGTACTGAACTGTGTGTGGTAAACGATCACTATCCAGGCGGCAAGTTCGAGCAGTGCGAGAGACGGATCTGAATGCGACAAGTTCTCGGTCGCATGTGATTTTACAAATCAAAGTCGGCGCGGCGACAAAGTTGAACTTGGTCGACTTGGCGGGCTCTGAAAAGTGGACCAAAAACACGAGGGCGGGCGCCGAAAGCGAAGAAATCAAACACATCAACACAAGCCTGTCCGCCTTGGGCAACTGCGTCGCAGCGTTGACCCAGCCAGGTCGAAAGCACATTCCGTACCGAGACTCGACACTGACTCGCCTGCTCCAAGATTCACTCGGTGGCACCACCAGAACCGTATGATTGAGCCAGCCACGGGTTACAACTGACCTAGTCCTTTGCAAAGGTGATCATTGCCACCGTCCACGCATTCGCCACCGACGAAACGATACGAACCATTCAGTTTGCCGACAGAATGCGAGCTGTGATGCAGTCGACTATGCGACAGAACCATCAGCTTCCCCTCTCCTGTTCCATGCAATGGCACAAAGGTACACACCAACTACTGTACCTGTACCTCTTATTGTGAGCGATTGATTGACATGTAGACCTGGCTGCTACTCGAGCGACCGTGACTGAATTGGCTCAGAAGCTGGAGGACTTGACGTCCGCATACGAAAACCAATCGGCAGCCTCGCGACGAGCCATGGAGTCCATGGCGGACGCTGTGTACCAAAAGTTGCTCCAAGATGAACACCACATCCAAAAACTCCACGAGAAAGTTGAAGATCGTGCGATTAGTACACCAGAGAAATCAACTTCGACGGCCAACGCCATCACCGTTGGATGTGAACACAGTTCATGGAAAGTCGCGAATCCGACGGTGGACACTCTGTGTGACGTGGAATCTACTGCTACACCACATTCAACGTGCATCGAAGTGTGTGTGATGGTGCTGTACGTGATGGGCGTTGGCGTGGTGATCGTGCTCCTGTTTGCAGGTTGTGACCAAGTCATTCACGCCATCCCGGTGGATCGTACAGTACAAGTCGTGGCTCAGTCGTTGTGGCCGGTACTTGGCGTCCTATGGCTGTGTTCGTGGTTGTGGACGTTGAGTGTTTTGTACTGTGGCAAATGGATGGTGGTGGTGACCACCCTGACGAACGTCGCTGCTGTCCTCGCAGTTGGAGTATGGATTACAATTATGTGGAAAGCACCAGCAGCAACAACAACAGCTTCCACGTGGGTTCCGTTGACATGTGCAACGTTGACATTCGTGTGGCTCATGGGACACTACATCTATTCACGAGTGCAGTACGCGTTCACCAATACTTACGTGATAGTTGGCCTTCGAGCGCTGAGGACGCGACCTTGGACAGTCCTGGCTTTGTGGACATCATTGAGCGGAGCCGTGATTGTGGTTGGATATATGTATGCAATTGCTGCGTCGGTAGCAATCGTACAATTTACCGACACGTCACACGGCGTGTTGAAGTGGGGTGTCGTTGGTTGCTTGGGCTTTCAATTCCTGTGGACAGTGCTGATCGTACGAAACACTGCACTCGTCGTCGTGGCATCACTGTTCCGTCCGTGGTGGCACCACAAGGAGAAAATTCCTCTTTGTAAAGTGTCGTGTCATGTGTTGACGCAAGAGCTCCACGTTATATGCCTGGGTAGCCTCGCGTGGCTTTTGATCCTCCCAGTTGCCACCGTTTGGCTTGGACTTCGATTTGTCCGTCGAAGCTTTAGTTGTCACCACTTTGGCAGCAGATGGGACTCGTGGCTGGCGTGCGTCAGCACCTACGCTTGGGTAACAATCGACACCACCCAGTGCAATGTCCCGTTTTTCGAAACAAATCGTCACGCGCACTACATATTCCGATCGAAAGGATGGACCGACATTGCCAACGACCTTCAAATCAACACCACTGTCTCCTGCCATGCCTTTGGATGTGGACTCATTGGCGCTGGCGTTGCTTGGTACCTGACCCACAACCTACGGCAACTGAATCTGCCTGCAACCACCAATGTGTGGACCATGGTTGTGTCGTCGTCCATTCTGATTGGCGTCGCGGTGGGATACACTGGCTTGACAATTGCCCAAGCAGTGGTGGCTACCGTCGTGGTTGAATTTGCCAAAGATCCCAATTACCTGGCGTATCATCACGCCATCGACCACCAACATCTCCATGATGCGTGGAACGCGATGTATCCACATGAATTGGCTGCCCATGAACGCATTTCAAAGGTTTTGCGTATATAAGCTTAGTGCAGTTGTCTAGGCTCGGCCTCCAGTTAAACATGTACTTTGTGAGTGTTTACGCCACTTCTAGTATGGTTTATTGCATTTGTGTATTCAGCAACCCATGGGGTCGCTCCTTGATAGCTTTCCATGATACCGAAGGAGACTCGTATTTCATTTCAAGGTACCTTCCTTTTCCTTACTCTACAGTACAGGTATCGCTACAATGGTTGGCCGCCATCAGCCGGTGGGGATGCTCTTACTGTTACAGCACGCACCCAATAAACGGGTCTTTTCAGCTCTATATCAGCCGGTGGGGATGCTCTTAGCTACACGTCCCCAGATCTAACGTTAATTGTAAATTAACGTTAACAAATCACGAAGCAACACTGCTGCAAAAAGTCCACTTGTCTGACTACACGATAACGTTATGAAAACTCAAAAAGTGCGATACTTCTCGATTTATGCGTGTCATCCTTGCGCAGGGGCCATGCTAATCTTCTCTGTATCGTTCCAATTTTTACGGATGACCCCCGAAGGGGTTCCTGATGTTCACCTAATGTTAGTCGTACCAGTCATGTCAATTGGTCCCGAGTTCGATCCCGGAATTCTCCTTTGTTTTGATCAATGTGCCGGTTCGAATTCATTATCCGGATGATCGCTGCATGGAAGCTCTTGATGTATAAGTACTGTACATGTACTGAAGTATGTAGGCAGAGGTCCGTTCCGCGAGACATGTCGGCCTTGTCAAAAGCTCTTCGAAGTTGATGGATTAGAATATCGGATTCACTACGATGAGCAATGGACCCGGCTAACATAACGGTAGTATTATTGCCCACTCCGAGCCTGGCTACTGCTTGCAACGATAATACTGCTCACCACGAAATACTGTCTTTTGAAATATTGTCGTTTCAATTTGGGTCGGTTTCACAGCGGCGCGTGGCCTTGGATGCATGCGACGTCATGGAGGACCCTACTTGTCCGAGCACAGATCAGCCTTCATCAGGCCTCGTCGTCGGGGACAATCGAAGGATAACGCCGCCGTCATCGGCACATTCCGTGTCACTGTCGTTGGACGAGGACCGTCAACTTGCCAATGAGCGAATCAAAGTGCTTGTTCGTGTCCGTCCGTTGTCTGCATATGAAATCGCGTTGGCCTCGTCAGATGTACGCTACTATTGTGCATATGCTTAGAACCACAACTCAGTGGTTGGCTTGTTAGTTGGTGTCCACAAGCGCCACGTCCCTCCGGGTGCCGTCGTCATCGTCTCAAAGCCACGTCGAGTGTGCTTTCGACCACATCTTCACGGCAGAGTCGACACAGGCGGACGTGTACGCGTCTGTACAGCCCCTGGTGGCGGATGTGCTGGAAGGCTATAACGCGACCATTTTCGCGTACGGGCAGACCGGCACAGGCAAAACGCACACGATACTGGGCATGCACGACAACGAGCTGGCCGCCCCATCGCGGAGCAGCACGCCCGACCTGACACTGTTTGCGCCCTCTTGGGGGATAATTCCCCGCGCCCTGATTCAGTTGGTGGACTCCACTGTGTCCAACCGTGACTGCACCATTTCGTGTGCGTACTTACAGATTTACAACGAGAAGATCTTCGACTTGCTCACAGATAAGAAACGGCAAAAGCCGCTAATGCTAAGGGAAGCGTTGGACGGTACCACTGATATGGTCGTGCAAGGGCTATCAACGTATCCTATCACGTCGTTGCCAGACGTGATGGCATTCCTAAAACGAGGGTACGACTTGTAGTCCTTTTTCAGTTTTGGATATGAGCTTTTGCTGCAGGCGCCTTCACCGAGTCGTGCGAGAAACCGACATGAATACCCAGAGCAGTCGGTCGCATGCGATTCTGCAGGTCACTCTCAAGAGCCAGTCCAAGGACGGGTGCCGTCGCGCCAAGCTGAACCTTGTCGACTTGGCCGGGAGTGAAAAATGGAACAAGCAAGCCGTGAAACCTGGCGTGGAAATCGAAGAGATGAAGAACATCAACACGAGTTTGTCGGCGCTGGGCAATTGTATTGCCGCGCTCACCCAATCTGGTCGCAAGCACATTCCGTATCGAGATTCGTCCTTGACGCGCCTATTGCAAGACTCGTTGGGCGGCAACACTCGCACCGTATGTCGTCGTCGTCTACATTTCTCGCCGCATTAACAAGGGACTATTTGTAGGTGCTGATCGCGACCATTACCCCCCGAGCGTCGGACGAAACGCTGCGAACGATTCAGTTTGCTGATCGCACGCGGGCTGTGATGCAATGTGTCGTTCAAAGTCAAAACACTCCAGTCTCTCCGAGGCAGCTGCACCTAGGTGCACATCATTTTCGCGATTTGGATGAGTTTCAACTGACATATGCCGCCAGGACTTACGGCGGCCCGGGCACACATTGCAAAGTTGAAGCAAAAATTGCACGAATTGGCTGAACAAAAGGAGAAACAAGCCGACGCCGTGGACAAAGTACACAAATACGAGACCCAAATGCGGGAAAAAGAACTCGCCATCGAGCGGTTGCACGTCCAAAATGGATTGTACCAGCAGCAACTGCGAGATGGCGAGCGGCAAATTCAAATGCTGATGAGTCAAGTCCAAGCGTTGTCGACGCCGCCCAAAGCACGCTACGTGGAAGCTCCCCCCACAACGTTGTCAGCTAACCCTACGACGTCCAATCAAATTAGCCACCTGGAATCGACTACCCCCTCGTCATATCATTATAGACCCCCCTTGCAACCAACGGCAACCTTCGATGACAGAGTCAAAAGTAGTGACTTGTACAAGGCAAAGTATGGCGCAATGCTACCGAGCCAAAGCCCCCAAACGCATCCTGACAAGATGCATAACACATCTTTGTCAGGGTACCTGGCACCGATGCCCCCTGCATTTTCCAGACCACCACAACAATCTTCAACTGTGATCCTTCCCACCGTGAATGTGACGCCATCCCCTAACGCCATATGCTCGCAACATCAACTCAAGAACTGCGTACTGTGCGCGCTGCGGCTGAAAATGAGCGTGCCAGTGCCTTCGACTTTGTATTCGCACCCCAAAGCTCGCCCCAGTCCACGCGCTTCGATGCCCGCACTGACAAACCCACCGTCATATCCAGCGACAGCAGCTGCATCTGAAGCAGGCTTCTGCACTACACACCATCTCAATCGATGTGTACTGTGCAATCGCATTCCTGCCAAGCAGCAACCGGCAGTGAACTATCCACCCATGGAAATGTCCCTGAATTCTACCGCCGATGGCAGCAATATCTGTACTCCACATGGACTCAACAACTGCGTGCTATGTGTGCACTTACAACCCCAGCGCTCCTTGTCGTTCCTGAACTCAATCCCCGCAAGTAGTGCCACCATAGCACGAATGCGACCGCCGGTGGATGTCCAACGATGACGAATTCTGCACCTTCCCGCGAACTTGTAATGAAGTCAACTGTTGACTTAACGTTAGTTATCGTCACTAGGCCTTTATATGCCACCCCACGTTGAATGCATGTCATAAACTGGGTCAGCGCACGGCGCACAGGTAGACGCATGTGCTCTTTAAGCCCAAAATGGCGCATGATGTCGTACACGGTGCCACGATGGATGTTCCATTCGTGTTCTGGGGGCGATCCGAGGGTGTCGACAAAATGTACTATCCAAGCGACTCGATGCCAACAGTAGGTTTGTGGCTTGGTCGCTCAATGTCGTGGATTTTATCACGTAGGGTACTTGTTGCAGGGGTTGCTTCCTCGGTTGGGTTGATTGGTGTTGACGGGGCTGGTTGCGGTATGGGGCAAATCAACGTTCATGTCCATGCGTCGGTGTACCAGCAGGCTCTGGTAGCATTAATAAGGAGATTTTTGTTTTGTTTTGTAGCTACGGTATAATATTCATGTAGTTCGCGAAATCTTAACATGCCTGCTACGCCGTTGTGTTGTGCAACCTAACTAGGCGGCTTGGTGTAGCCGCGGCGGTGATCACGAGCTCGTTGCCATCCGCCTAGCGATCACAGGGTGATGATGTTGCACAAGGTGGCGCGACTCCCAGATCTAGGAACAATTTCCAGCAACCAATCAAAACGTTCCAAGTACCATACTGGAGTATCAACGACGAATTGCGAAAGGTCGCGTGGCCTTGAGTTTGTGCGATGGAGGCGGACATGGACACGGGCAACCAGACTCCGCAATTACAATGGCGGAAGATAGAATGTTCGGGGGAAGCTCCCAGCCGCCGCAGCGGTCATACCCTCACGATAGTAGGATCCAATGGCTTCCTCTTTGGCGGGTGCGACTACGCCGAGCCGCCTGGACCGACCAACGACCTGTTCCAGCTTCGAATCCACACCAATGGGTCGTGTGATTGGAGCCGCGTGGCGTTTCGAAAGGGACCATTGCCGCGCTGGAAGCATTCTGCCACACTTGTGGACAACAAGATCTTTCTCTTTGGCGGTTTCCACAACGCCACCACTCGATTTCAAGACGTGTGGATTTTCAATCCTATCACGATGGAATGGAGCCAACCGGTGCCACAGGCGACGCCACGAGCTTCTATGGCTCAAGTCTCTAAGGCATCGCTCGGGTGGCCTGGCTGCCCCGCTCCCCGAGGTGGCCACACTGCCAGCCTCATCAACCGGGAAATCTTCATATTTGGTGGATATGGCGGGCAAGGATATTCCCGTCGAGACTTTGATGACTTGTATGCACTCAACGTGGACACAATGGCCTGGGGTAAAGTGTCGACGAAAGGCAAGGGCCCCGAGCGCCGGTCCGGCCATCAAGCGTGCGCGGTGGACACGACGCTGTTTGTGTTTGGCGGGTGGAATTGCACGACCCAGTTCAACGATTTGCACATTTTCGACACGGAAACGTCCTGCTGGAGTTCCGTGGACGGGTCGCACATGAACCACACGTCACCCCGGTGGAACCATTCCAGTTGTGCCGTGTTGGCCATCCCGAACGCCAAGATCTTCTGCTTTGGCGGCGTGCTCGGCCAAATGAACGAGTACGGCGCCCCGGGGATGTTTGCCAACGACATCAGCGTCCTCGACACCGGTACGTTTGCTTGGACTGTGCCTGAGATCAATGGTACTCCCCCCGCGCCCCGCGCGGACACGACGCTCGCGTACGACGACAAGGGCAGCCGCCTCATGATTTGCGGGGGCTGGGCTAATTTGTGGTTCAACGATGTATTTTCACTCGACGTGAGTTGCGTCGTTGGCCCTCCGTATGCTATTACAGGAGTGCGACCGTCGTTCGGGGCGATCACGGGGGGTCTCTTGCTAATCTTAGAAGGCATTGATTTCACCCCGAAACCGGTGATCGTACGCTTTTCCTGTCGCAAGGGAACAATCGACGTCCCTGGCACATACGTCACGGACCAAACACTCACGGTGACGACGCCCGACTTTTCCATGTTTCCACCTGGGGACGTTCAGATTCGAGTGGCGTTGCAGGGCGACTCGTTCACGACCACGTTCCAGCTTTTCAACTTCTTCGCCGTCACATGCGCGGCCAAGACGCTGGCATTTGGCGCGGGGGTGCTCTCGGGTGGGGCTTCCGCCGAACCCATCACGTTTTTCTTGCAAGCGTGTGACGCCAATGGCCACCATCGCACCCGAGGGGGGGACGAATTCCAGGCGTCGGTGCGGTCACTCGCCGATGACAAGGAGCTGCAGACGTCGATCCAGGACATGGATGACGGCACATACGCCATTACGTACACGGCGCCCATTCGCGGCGAGTACGAAATCACCGTCCAGTTCTGCGGGACGTTTGGGGGCGTGGTGGGGACGGTGTATGGGTTTCCTCTGGTGGTGACGTTTGACGACGCTATGGCGAGAGACATGAACCGCATGACGGGCAAATTGGTAATGGACGGGCTATCGAGTGATCTCGTGGCGTTGACGCAGCTGATTGAAGAGTGCGGCAAGGGACTGGAGCTAGACGTGGGCTTGTCAGGGACGCCTGCCGAGGAAACGGCGGCGTTGATTCAGTTGAAGGAACACTTATTCACGGTGGACAAGAAGGGCGACCAGACGCGGTGGTTGCTGGAAAAGACCAAGTCGTTGCTCGCGTTTCTAGCCACAGCCGTGGACGTGGAAAAGGAACGCAATCAGCTGACACTGTTGGAAACGAGCTGGACCGACCTCGTTCAAAAGGTACCCGTGGTAGCGGCGCGCATCGCCCCGCGACTTGCCGCGCAGAGTTCGCGCACCAAGGGCGACATCACAGTGTACCACGAAAAGCTGTTGGTGTATGCGGCCAAGATGAAGCACAAGGTGGGGACTTTGCAGTCCAATGTGCGAACTGGGATAGCTAATGATGTTGATTTGAATAGGGCTTTTGGGAGTTTGAGACGGGCATGGCCAACGCATTGCACATGTTGGACGAAGCGGCGGTCGATTTTGCCAAGGAGGACTCGGCATTCAAGCGGATGCGCCACGTGGCTGAGATTTTCGAGTGCTTGGCATTGATGGAGCCCAGCGAAAAGATAGTGCAGCACGTCGCGAGAACGCTGGAACGACTGCGCACTGTGTGGACAGTCGTGGGGGACATAAGCCGAAAGCTCCAGATGGCCATGGAATTGCTTTGGGTCGACTTGGACGGCGCTGTGCTGGAAGACGAGGCCAAGGGCATGATGAATCTGGTCAAGTCTGCCGGAAAAGAAAAGGAAATCAAGGACAGCAACGTGTACCAGGGACTCGAAGCATTGGCGCACGACTTTTTGGTCAGCTGTCCGCTGTACCAAGCCCTGCGTCACCCGTCCATACAATCTCGGCATTGGGTGGAGCTCATGCAGGTAACGCTGCTCATCTTTGAAACCCGTCGACTTGTTGAATCCATTCAATCGCGCTTTCGAAAAGCATCACCGACTCTTTATCGTATCGTCGTAGTTGGTCCAACAAACGTTTCCAAACCCGATCGACCACGCCGAACTCAAGTTTGCCGACATCATGGAGCTGAAACTCCATCGGTTTCAAAAAGACATTGAAGATCTCACGGAACGTGCTCAGAAAGAGTCTCAGGTCGAGCTAGCACTGCAGGAAGTGGACGCCCGATGGTCCACCATTTCGTTCGACGTTACCGTGTACAAGGACACTCAGGTTCCCATCCTCCGTGTCCGGGACGAAGACATCGAAGTCCTCGAAGCTGACCAAGTAATGCTGCAGAGCATGCTGAGCAGCCGCGTCCAGTACTTCAAGGGGCTTAGCGAGGCGTGGTCCCAGAAGCTCACGTATAACGAACTTATTTATGCCCAAATGTATGCTAATCAAGGAGTGTAGGTGCATTGGGGATGTTACCGTTGCACTAGGGGACATCCAACGCACGTGGTCTTACTTAGAACCCCTCTTTATCGGGTCGGAGGAAGTCAAAAGGGAGCTACCGGATGATGCCGCCCAATTTATTGCGATCGACACCACTGTCAAGGAAATATTGACGTCGTTTGCAGAGGCAAAGGTGATTCTCACTGGTACATTGGCCGCTAAACCATGCGTTTCCCATTGAGTGTATAACGACGGTGTGTACATAGCGTGTACAGCACGCCCGCATCAGTTGCAAGAGCTCGCGACGTTGACGACATCGTTGCAAAAGTGCCAGAACTCGCTCATCGAATTCCTCGACGGCAAGAGGCGGTTGTTTCCACGGTTCTACTTCACGTCGGAAGCCGACTTGTTGGACATTCTGTCGAATGGCGGCACCCCCGATGCCATCACCAAGCACTTGTCCAAGGTGTTCTTGGCCACTCAAACGTTCAAGTTTGACACGCCCTCGACCATCACCCACTTCGTCTCGAACGTGGGCAAGGAAACCATTCGATTCGTGGCGCCCGTAACCTTGTCCGGCAAAGTCGAAGGCTATTTGACGGACGCCTTGAACGGGATGAAGCTCACGCTCAAAGAAAACATCAAAAGCACCATTCGGCGATACCCGCAATTGTCTCGTACAGACTGGCTCATGTCACGAACCAACGACGGCGCATTGCTAGACGCTGCCCAGGTAAAAAGGGATCGAGTTTGACTTTTATTGCACAATTTCTACTTACTTGTGTGGGGGCGTTGTTTGAATTGCGTAGGTGGTGCTGTTGGTGTCGGGAATGGAGTACGTGAAAAGTGTCGAGGCGGCGCTGGTGGGCGTCGGCAGCGGCCACGTCAGTGCGTTATCGGAATTACTTGAGAAAGTGACGATTCAACTCAACGACTTGATCAAGCTGACCCGTGGGTCGTTGCACGATGAAGAGCGGCAGAGAGTGATGTGCATGATCACGATGGATGCCCATAGTCGCGATGTGATCCAGTCTCTTATTAGCCAACACGTTACGTCCTTGGCGTCGTTTGTGTGGCAGGCTCAGCTCAAGCCTCGGTAGAGAATTTTTCCTCAATATTTCCTTCTTCGTGGAACCAAACTCATATGGCTCATGTTGGGTGGTATAGGTTGTTGGTCACAGACCATACATCGTTGGATATTTGCGACGCCTCGTTTGAGTACGGGTTGGAATACCTTGGAAATGGCGCGAGGCTGGTCATCACCCCACTCACGGATCGCATGTACGTGACCGCCACCCAAGCGTTAAATTTGCACTTGGGGTGTGCGCCGTCTGGTCCTGCGGGCACGGGCAAGACAGAAACGACCAAAGACTTAGCTAGTTCGTTGGGAAAACCTTGTTATGTGTTTAATTGCTCGCCGGAAATGGACTTCAAAAGCCTGGGCAATATTTTCAAAGGTTTGCATGTTAAAAATGTATGAAAAAGGCAAGAAAATTGGTTACAGCAGCGTTTTGTGGGGTGTAGGGTTGGCGTCGAGTGGTGCGTGGGGTTGCTTTGACGAGTTCAATCGGCTGATTCCAGAAGTTCTCAGTGTGTGCTGCTTGCAATTCAAAGCTGTCTGTGATGGCATCAAGGGCGACTTGGCTTCGATCGTGCTCGAAGGTTGACTCTTTCTATTCCGAAGACCGACTATTTTCATTGTTCGAGACGGTTTTGTGTCTTGTAGGGGACACGGTGGTGTTGGATCCGACGTGCGGCACGTTTATTACGATGAATCCTGGGTATTTAGGCCGTTCGGAACTTCCCGAGGGACTGAAAGCGTTGTTCCGACCTATCACAGTCATGTTGCCCGACTTGTGTCTCATTTGTGAAAACATGCTCATGGCGCAAGGGTTCACGGAAGCGAAATCGCTGGCGTCCAAGTTTTACCACCTCTACCATCTCTGCAAAGAGCTACTGTCCCAGCAGGAACACTACGACTGGGGCCTTCGAGCAATCAAGTCGATTCTACTCATCACCGGGTCGTTAAAGCGAAACGAACCGACGCTGTCCGAGTCCCAGCTTCTCTTGCGCGCGCTTCGGGATTTCAACGTCCCCAAGCTGGTCATGCAAGACCAGCCGATATTCCACGGCCTGTTGCACGACTTATTTCCCGAGCAGCCGCCACCTCGGTACGACTGAGTCCGCTTAAACGTTTGTGCACATTACATCATACTCATGGTTGTTACGTCGCAGCAAAGTGAACGTCAATTTGGAAAAGCATATTCAATCCGCGTGCGAAACGCTGGGATTGTGGCCCGAAGAGAGCTTCCGCCTCAAGGTAGTGCAATTGGAAGAGCTACTGGTGCTTCGTCACTGCGTGTTTGTGATGGGACCGGCGGGATCGGGCAAGTCCGAGTGCATTCTCGCCCTGCAGACGGCGAATGGGTTACAAGGCACAAAGGTCAAACTCGTGGATATCAACCCCAAGGTGGTGTCCACGGACGAGTTGTACGGGTCTATGCACGTGAGCACCCGCGAATGGAAGGACGGATTGCTGTCAAAGGTCATGCGAGACTTGGCCAACGACGATTCGGAGCAGGCCAAGTGGCTCGTCCTCGATGGGTACATATGTACCTACACTACAGCAACTACTCTATAAATAGTAGTACCATATGACTGATATATGTTGTTTTGCCGTGTTATTACAATTGTAGCGACTTGGATGCAAACTGGATTGAAAGCATGAACAGTGTCATGGACGACAACAAGACGCTGACGTTGGCATCGAATGAACGGATTCCGCTCAAAAAGTACATGCGATTGATCTTTGAAATTCGAGATCTCGCGTATGCCACCCCCGCGACCGTCAGTCGCGCGGGCATCCTCTACTTGTCGGCGGACGAAGGTACGATTTCATTATCGTTTACATGCATATTGGTGGTGGGAACCAAGATTATGTTGCCGTTTTGGCCAACGAATATATATCATTTTCGGGACTCACAACATACATTTATCATGGTCGGGAATCAGAATCTACCCCCTGCATTAGAATATAGGAGTATCGTTTTTCGGACATCTACATATATATCATTTTTCGACACTGATCATGTTTGTACGTTATAGGAACACAACACGAATCGTTTTTGGCGAGTTGGCTGAGCGACACGTCCCCGGATGTCGAAGTGCGCGCGCGGTTGGGCGAATCGGTCATGCGCTACGTGGGGCCGTGTCTGGCGTACGTCAAGAAGCTCAAAACCATCGTGCCAGTCCAGGACATATCGCTCGTACAGGGGTTTCTTCACTTTTTGGATGCCACGCTCAATACGGCGGTGGTGGACGACCCCAAGAAGATTGAGATTGTGTGCGGGTTTGCGTCGATTTGGGCGTTTGGTGCGGCGCTATGCGTGTCCGACGACGGCACCGACTACCGCAAACTGTTTTCCGAGTGGTGGCGCGCCGAGTTTAAAGGCATCAAAGTGCCCATCCGAGACACCGTCTTTGACTATTACTTGAACCCAACCACGCTGCAATTTGACTCGTGGCGCCTCAGTCCGTTCTTCACAGCGGTCAAGTTTGACGGCAAGGACGCGATGCACGCCGTGACTGTGCCGACCACGGAAACTGTGAGCATGCTGCTTTGGACGAGCAAAATGATCAGTGAAGCGCATGGTGTGATGTTATGTGGACATGCCGGAACTGGAAAAACACAAACGATCAAAGGTTGGCAACCAGTAATAGTGGACGCTTGTATACTGTTCTCGTAGTACCTTTACAAGCAAGCATGAACGGGTTGATATGGTGGGGTTAGAATCATATTGGTTGCGATAGGTTTTTTGAATTCGGCGTTGCAGCAAAACCTGGTCAACGCGCAAGGCAAGAATTACATGTCGAGTACCATCAACTTCAACTATTACACGAATGCTGCTGTGCTGCAAAGCGCTTGTGAGTCCAAGCTCGTGAAACGCATGGTACATAGGGCAATGTTCTGTACGACGATCAACCCTAACGTGATGGGGTTGTAGGGGTCCACGTTTGGCCCGGTGGTAAATGGCGCGCAGTGGATTTACTTTCTCGACGACTTGAATTTGCCCATGGTCGACCCATACCACACGCAAAGCGCCCTCGCGCTGCTGCGGCAACTCATGGACTACAACCACTGGTACGACCGCATCAAGTTTACGGTCAAGCAGGTGGTGGACTGCCAATTTGTGAGCTGCATGAACCCCACGGGGGGTTCATTTTACATCAACCCCCGCCTCCAGCGGCACTTTGTTACGTTTGCAGTGGCGCTGCCGAGTGCGACAAGGTACTGACTTTGCCCTCAATCTGAATGTATAGGCCTGACAGGTCATCATAATCGTAGCCTGCTGTCGATATACCAGACTTTTCTGGATGGTCACTTGAACGACTTCAACGACGACATTCGAAAGGTCGCCGTTAACATTCTCAAAGGTACACCCCGACTTTGCCCTTTGTCGTCGAAGTGATATATTGATATTGGGCGATGCTGGCAGGAGCGTTGAATTTGCACGCACAAGTGTCGACGGCATTTCGAAAGACGGCAGCGAATTTTCATTACGAGTTTAACATTCGGCATCTGTCAAATGTCGTCCAAGGCATTCTCATGTCCAAACCAGCCTATGTCGAGGTAGTATTGTTGTTGCCGTTGGTCGTATTCGTGATTGACCAATTCGAGTAGGAAAGCAGCAAGTTTGTTCTCTTGTGGCTCCACGAGTCGGCGAGGGTGTACGGGGACCGCCTTGTATCCCACTCAGATTTGAACAAGTACAATGCTCTCGCCCAACACAACGCCAAGAAATTGTTTCCAAGTGTGCCCGTACAAAAGTACTTTGCACAGGACAACGCTGATTCGCTTGTGTTTTGCCCACAGCCGATGTCGGCCGCTGCGCTCGACTTGGACTACGACCAGGTGAGTCAAATGATACTTGAAAAAACCCAATAACAGTGTACTATATCGCTACAATTGACATGAACATGGTGTTTTGTATAGGTGACGTCGCTCCCCGACATGAAAGTCCGACTGGAAGAGGCGCTGGCAGACTACAATATGTTGAATGCGAAAATGGACTTAGTGCTTTTCAAAGACGCCATTGAACACGTGGCCAGGATCATGCGCATTATTTCGATCGCTTCGGGGCACGCGATGCTCGTGGGGGTGGGCGGCAGCGGACGCAAGTCCCTCGCCCGGCTCAGCGCCCATCTCGTGCACTATGCGGTCGTGGACATCACCATCACGCAATATTACTCGTACGAGTTGCTCATCATTGGACATGTAAAACTATCAGAATGATGATGATAATGGTGGTGGGATAGATTGACCGACTTTAAGACGGACCTGCAGGCCATCTTTGGTCGCGCGGGGGTCAAAGGCGAGAAGCTCGTGTTTCTCCTATCGGATTCAGACATCAAGAACGAACGGATGCTCGTGTACATTAACGACCTGTTGAGTTCTGGGGCGATCGCCGACCTGTACACGGCGGAAGAGCAAGACGCGATCGTGGCCCAAGTGGTCATGAAGTTCAAAGGCGTACGATATGATATGATTTATGTCCTCGTCGTCACTCGTCATATTCTAGGAGAAGGATGCGTGCTGGGCGTACTTTTTGCATCAGCTCAAGGAAAACGTGCACTGCGTGCTGTGCTTTTCTCCGGCGGGGTCGACCTTTCGAGGTTGGGCGAGAAAGTTCCCGGCGCTGGTCAACTGCACCATCATTGATTGGTTCCAGCCGTGGCCGGTGGATGCACTGCAGAGCGTCGCTGTCAAGTGCCTCAGCACCACCACCCTCCACGGTGACACGTTGGCGGCAGTCGAGCAGTTTATGCCGCATTCGTTCGACGCTGTGAATGTCATGGCTGAAAAGTTCAAGCTCGAAGAAGGCCGCATTGTCTACACGACGCCCAAAACGTACCTGGAATTCCTCGCGCTCTACACGACGCTTCTCGTGACCAAACAGCACGACATGGCCAAGGTCATCAATCCAAAGTTACTTACGCGTTTTCATGCATTCATTTTGTTTTCGTATTATCGTAGGCCATTTTCAGGCTGCAGTCGGGACTAGACAAGCTAGAAAGTACGTCGCATATTGTGGCCAACATTGAAGAAGACTTGTCGAAAACGCTTGAGGAGGCGATGAAGAAGAAGGCAATTGCAGAAGAGATGGCTGACGTCGTTGCCGCCGACAAGCTGATTGTGGAGCAAGAGACGGAAAAAGCCAATGTCGAAGCTCAAAAGTGCGCCGTGATTCATGCAGACATGGCGGTCAAGAAGGCCGACACGGAAAGCGACTTGGCCGCTGCCCAGCCAATGGTACATACAGTATCACATGCAATATACATCCATAAGGAACCCCCATACCAACTCCATTCATCTAGGTGGACGCAGCCATGGCAGCATTGGACACGCTGAATCGCAAAGACTTGGGCAACTGCAAAACCATGTCCAAACCGCCCGCGGGCGTCGGCGACATTTTCGCAAGCGTTTTGGTGCTGTTTGCCGGTATCAACCCCGATGTGCCAGTGCAAAAGAACGGAAAAATCAAGGAAAAGGACCGCGCGTGGGAGAACTGCAAGAAAATTCTGCTCGCCAACGTCAACGGTCTCATCGACGAGCTCAAAAACTTCAAAAATCTCGTCGACACGAACGCCGTGCCCGAAGCCAACTGGAAAGAAATTCGGCCGCTGCTAGAATTGCCTCATTTCAACGTCGAGATCATTGAAAAGCGAAATTCGGCGGCGGCGGGGCTGTGTGCGTGGGTGATCAACATCGTGTTGTACTACGATGTGTTGGTGACCATCGAGCCCAAGCGCAAGGCGCTACAGGAAATCACAGACAAGTACACCGTCGCCAACGAAAAGCTCGCGGCAGTGCAGACAAAGGTACGATATCTGCCATGGCTAGCCAGAACTGCTCGAGCTGGTGGCATGATTAGGTCCAAGGACTGCAAGAACGTTTAACTAAATTAACAGCCGCCTACGAACAAACCAACGAAGACGTCAACGTGGCCATCGCGACGGTCGAGCGCGGAAAAATTCGCATGAATTTGGCCAAGCGGTTGACAGCGGCGCTGGGCAGTGAAAACGTCCGGTGGCAGCAAAACGTCGACGTGTTGAAGAAAGAAGCGGAAACCATCGTAAGAACAAATATGTTGGCAGACTACATTATAGACAAAGGACTAAAACACCGTTTTGCTTTTGGTTGGCTAGGTCGGAGATGTGCTCGTAGCAGCGGCGTTCGTGTCGTATGCAGGGCCGTTTACAAAACCGTACCGCGAACTTTTAGTGAATAGCCACTGGCGTCCGTTCTTGCTTGGGCTCAAGAAACCACTGGCGCTGCACGTAGACGCGACCCCCGTGTCCATGTTGACCCCCGCCACGGACGAAGCGGCTTGGGTCGGGTACGTCTTGCACATTGAGGAGGCTGACGGAGAGGTTCACTCATTTGAACACTTAGGTTTGGCCTTCCAAGCGACCGCGTGTCGATTGAAAATGGCACGATTGTGCAACATTGCAAACGATGGCCGTTGATGATCGACCCTCAATTGCAGGCCATCCATTGGCTGCGGGCAAAGGAAGCGCTTGTGGTGGTCCGACAGTACCAACCCAACCTGGTGTTGACACTCGAGGCAGCCATCGAAAACGGGCAGTCTCTGTTGCTGGAAAACATCGAAGACAAGATCGACCCCCTCCTTTGGCCGGTCATAAGCCGTTGCACGATGCACAAAGGTCTGGCTATAGTTTGACTTGAAATGCTCGAGACAAATATGAACGAATTCATCTCGTAGGACGTAAAGTTTGTTTAAAGTTGGGTGACAAGGTCATCGAATGGGCCCCCAGCTTTCGACTGTACTTGCATACGACCATGGCCAATCCACATTACGCCCCTGAAATCCAAGCAGAAACCACGTTGGTCAACTTTTCCGTGACCCCACATGGGTTGGAAGATCAATTGTTGTCGCTTGTGATTCGAAAGGTTCGTGAATCGACTGAATCGCATCTATCTGACAATTGGGTGGACAGGAATGGCCCAAGAAAGCAAAAGCAAGGACGGCGCTGATCCAGCAACAAAATCGGTTCAAGATCACGATGCAGGAATTGGAAGATAAAATTCTCAACAGCCTCGCCGACGCCGAAGGCGACGTCACGGAAAACGTGACGTTGATTGGCGATTTGGAAACCACCAAAGCCACCGCTGACGCGCTGTTTATCCAAGCCAAGAATGCCGCCGACATTGAACTTGTACCGTTTCACCTCCTTTTGCTCACGTAATAATGATATCCTTCTCTGGTGCAGGCCATCAACCAACTCAGCGCAAGGTACCAAGGCGTGGCGCGACGAGGGGCGCTGCTCTTCTTTGTGCTCAACAACTTGCACAAACTGCACGCGTACCATGTGTTCTCCCTCAATGCGTTCGTCGTTATGTTTCAACGGGGCATGGACAGTTCCAAGGGTCACGACGACGATAAAAAGCCCACTTCGGCCCTCTCGCGCTTTAAAGCTGTGGCAAAACGGGTGATTGTCAGCCAGCGGTTTCATTGGAACGTGGACGTGCTGCTCATGGACCGCATTCTGGAAGAAGCACATTTCGACATGAAAGCCATTCTGGACAGGTAACCAAACCAGCCTACGATTGTAACCTTGTACCTCTTCGTTTTGGCAACGTATATGCTGAAACGTCATTGTCGTTTGTAGTGCGCAAGAAGAAGTCCCTGACGAATCCGTGATTGCGCCGCGGTGTCTGAACTTGCAATCGAGCATCACCGAAGTCGTGTTTGACTACGTTCGTCGGGGGTTGTTTGAAAAAGACAAACTCGTCGTGGCCACTCAGTTGTGTCTGGCGATTCTGAAAGAACAAAACAAAATCTCGTCCACAGAAATATCGTTTGTACGAACCAGCTGTCCATGACATAGCATGTCCTTGGTTGACTAACAGGTGTTGATATTCTAGTTGACCACGAGTCCTGCCGCGGACGAGACGACGACGTGCACGACGGCGATTGGCATTCTGAATGAGTGGCTGCCAGAACTTGCTTGGTCCAAGCTGCGGAAACTAGAAGAACTCGTGCCGTTGCTCACGAACGAGTTCAAACTCGACGGCGACGAATGGAAAGACTGGTATCAATCCGATACACCGGAAAGCGACCCGATGCCTGGAAAAGCCCGCACTCCGTTGGTACAGTTGCTGTTGATCCGATCGCTTCGGCCAGACAGGTTGCTTGTGGCTCTGAGCACGTTTATTGAGTCGCACATGGGATCGTTTTTTATCCACCAGCCGCCGTTCGACTTGGAGAGCATTTATCAAGAGGCTTCGGCGTCGACACCTCTTTTCTTTATCTTATTTCCGGGCGTGGACCCGACCGCAGACATTGAACAGCTCGGGAAACGGTTTCAAATGACGGCGGACAGGGGTAATTTTGCGCTCATCTCGATGGGCCAAGGCCAAGAAGGACCAGCGGAGCGCACCCTCGAGAAGTTTGCAGCCGAGGGGTCGTGGATTGTGCTCCAGAACATCCATTTGATGCCTCGATGGCTGCCCCAACTCACCCGAATTTTGGACCAGTGCAGCCACACGGCGGATACCAACTTTCGGTGCTTCTTGTCGGCGGAAGCTCCGGGCTTGTCTACGGTCACCAATATCCCCGAGACGCTGCTCCAAGTGTGCATCAAGGTGGCGAATGAAGCGCCCGCCGATTTGAAAAGCAATCTCAGTCGCGCGTGGGCGTCTTTTTCGTTGAAAACCATCGAAACCAGCTTGAAACCGAGCGAATACCAAGGGTGTTTGTTTGCCCTGTGCTTTTACCATGCCGTGATTTTGGGGCGAAAGCGGTTTGGATGTCAAGGCTGGAGTCGTCCGTATAGTTTCAACCAAGGCGACCTCACCCTTTGTGCCGATGTGCTGCGACGGTAACGTTAAGTTGAAAATTGATATTTTTGTCCGAGTTGTCTGCCTAGAAAATGATATTTATCTGAGTCTGTTGAAAACGTGACATTTATCAGAGTCTAACATCGGAAACCTGCCTGATCTGCATCTGAGTCTGTTGGAAATGATATGTATCTGAACCTGTGTCGATACGTAGGTACATGGACAAAACCCTGGACGACAAGCTTCCGTGGGACGACTTGCGGTACATTTTTGGGGAAATTATGTATGGTGGGCACATCACCGACTTTTGGGACCGCTTGACGAATAAAACGTACTTGGAAGTGTTGTTCAAGGAGGACGTGCTCAAGTCCAAGGATCTGATGCCAGGGCTAGCTGCACCTGATCCGTATTTGTTTACGTATTCCAAGTATGCCGCGTTCATCGACACGAGTTTGCCCGTGGAAACCCCCTCGATCTTTGGGTTGCACCCCAACACGGAGATTCAGACCATGACAAACGCGTGCAGCGATTTGTTTCTGAATTTGCAACGGGTGGGCAGTGCTATGCTCGGGATTGCCACGTCGTCGAATCAACACAATCCTGCGATTTCCAACAAAGCAGCCATTGTCCAAAGCCTCACGAGTCAACTGCCCAGCGACTTTGCCCTTTCCTCCCTACAAGAGCAAGCCCAGCCCATGTTGGAGCAAGGCCATTCCACGGCGCCGTATGTGGTCGTAGCCTTGCAAGAATGTACCCGCATGAACACGTTGCTTCAAGTCATGCGGCAGTCATTGAACGACTTGATCAAAGGGATGAATGGCCAGCTCAACATGACCGATGCCATGGAAGAGCTCTTGGAAGCCATGTCGTTGCAGCAAGTACCTGGTCGCAACCCACTCCATAGTTGCTCGTGGGAACGGTATGAACAACATAAACCAAACAACAATGTGACGTAGAAATGGGGGTTCTAGGTACGCTTGGGCGTCCCGCAAGTCGCTGCAAGTGTGGTTTGCCGATTTGTTGGAGCGCGTGGCGTTCCTCACAGCATGGGTCACAGACTGGACCCTTCCCACGTCCATGTGGCTGTCTGGCTTGTTCAATCCTGCCGCATTCCTCACTGCCGTCAAGCAAGTCACGGCGCGGAATCTGGACTTTCCGCTCGACAACATGACCATTGAAACGCATATTCTGAACACGACCGCGGTGACTAGTGCCGCCACAAAGGGCTTCTTTGTCCACGGGTTGTATCTTGAAGGGGCGCGATGGTTTCTCAGCGAAGACGCCGACGAGCTGCAAGCCCACTCGTACACGATCGACGACCTGGACCACCCGTGTGCTGGCTATCTGAGTGACGCCGTGCCCAAGGAGGTGACGAGTCTCATGCCCGTCGTCTATATCCGCGCGGTGTCGATCAAAGAAGACTGGGAGGCGACTGCCACCGGATACTTTCGCCACGACACGTCCGTGTACGAATGCCCCGTGTACATGACGTCGCAACGAGGTCCGACGTTTGTGTTTTTGGCTACGTTGAGCACCAAGGTGGCCAAGGCCAAATGGATCATGGCAGGGGTGGCGCTTCTGCTGCAAAAGGAAGGATAACAACTAAAACGAATCAAGCAATGAACTACTACGTACTACTGAATAACTTGAATAATTGGGTCTATTAAACTTGCCGCGCATAAAGGGGGCGAAACGGCGCCGATGCTAGTGGTTGTCGGGGGGGAGGGGGGCTCATGGAATGAAAAACCAATGCGCTCAAGACTGGACAAACGCAGCGTACTTGCTCACAACGTTGGACACGTTCTCCGAACGAACAGCGTCACAGTACTCGTCGACCAACTGCACGGGCATGCTGATCGTGGCGAAATACGCACGCAATGCATGGATCAAGTCCTCCCGCAAGGCCGAGCCGTAGATGGCCACTTGCAGCTTGGCCACATCGCGCAGCACGATGAGGCTCTGGGCATCTCGGGCGTTAAATTCTTTGGTGTGCACGACTTGAAACAACAGCGGCAGCACGTCTTGAAGCAGAAAGAGGCGCACGTGGTCGCGGTGGTCGGCCAGAAGGTTGGCGTTTTCTTTGAACACGTGCTCGACCAAGTTCTGGCAAAAGGTCGAAACTGCCCGAATGATGTGCAGCTCCATGCTGAACCCGTCCAGGATCAGCTGAAACACCTGGGGCAGCGATGCGGCATTCGTGGGGGAGCCCAATACCCCCGTGAGGCGGTGCTGGACGACGTTCATCAGGAACGAGTACAGGTACTTTTGGGCGGTGGCTTTTTCCGTGGCATTGGTCTGGTCGGATAAGATCAACTGCACCATGCGCTGCAAGAACGGAAGCGCGTTCCGGTCGAGGACGTTGTAGAAGTCTGGCACGGTTTTGTACTGGATGATGAGCTGGTTCATCAGCTGGACGACTTCGACCACGTCGTTCGCTTCGCAGCACTGCATGAGCACGGCCAAGACGTCAGCCCGTGACAAAAACACGGCCGGATCCAGCAGAATCACCAGCCGATGCAGAGTGATGATCACTTTGCTGCGCACAATGTCACTGGTGCGGTACGCCAGCAGCACACTGGCCGCAGCCGACAACGTCGTGGAGAAGATCGCTTGCGTCTGGCGACTCTTGAAGCCCTTGAGGATGTGGGTCATGGCGTTCAGGACGGACGCCAGATGGACGCTGATCTCGGCGGATGGCGGCTGGCGCAGACACTGGTCCAGCTGCGCGAGCTGGGGGGTGAGCACGATTTCCACGTACTGCCACTTGAGCTGGTTGTCGGCGGCAGGCATCGATCCAATCAGAAACCCCGTGAGTTCAAATAAATACAATTGATCCTCGAGGGTGAGGCCGTCGGCTTTCGCGGCGGCGGCCGACGCGTCCGTGCCCGGCACCACCAAGTGGGGTTCAATCGCTTGCAAGAGCTGCGACATGTGGGGATGCACGGCACTTCCGAGCGACTTCAGAAGGCGCAGGACCAAATAACACGACCGGGAGCGCACAGTTGGATGGAGGTGTCCGACGCCGGCCGACCCGAAGATGCGCTGCAGCAGCAACAGCAACAAGTTCGAGTCGATGCGAAGAAGGGTGCTATAGCGCGTCGTGATCTCGTAATACATGCACAGGGTGCGGTAGTGGAACGCGGGCAAGTTGAGATGCGGCGCCAGAAACGCAGTGTGAATCGCCACGACCAACTGCATGAAGGGTCCTTGGGGGTCATCGTACTGCTGGGGGAATTCGACCCCCGTGAGCCCCTCCTTGAAGTGATACACGAGCGCCAAGCACGCTTCCAGGTCGCGGTGGTCCATCGTGCGGAGATTTTGCAGCGCGTCTTGGAGCAACGTGGCAATGTACTGCAAGATCACATCGGGTCGCATCCGTGTCAAATTGACATATATGGAGCGTAGTTGGCGGCGGTAGTCTTCGAATTCGGCGTCGTCCACCTGGTCGGCTTCGTCCGGGTACCGCATTTGCCGGTAAATACCATGGAGCCACGGACTGAGATACTGCGACGGCTGGAACACGTCTTGTGGACGTTCGCTTCGCAAGAGGCCCGTGAGTGCATTCACCACTTCAAGCACTTCCTGCGATACATCGGTACTGTCGTGGGCAAACAAGAACCACGTGATGGGCATGAGCGATGCCAGCATCGCACTTGCTGCTTGGTATCGGTCCTGGTCGTTGGTTTGCCGGAATGAATCGATGCACATGATGAGTTCCAGTCCCACCGTGTTGACCACTTCGCCAATCTCTTCGCACACGTCGTCGTCGTCATGTAGCACGGACTGCCTCAACGCAGTGAGCACCGGCACGAGGTCCAGCGACGTGTACAGCGCCAGCTTCTTGTCGGGCTGCATGCCTTTGGCCACAACTTGGTTAAGACAGTTGGCCGCGCGGCATCGAAGCGCGTCGAAATGCGACAACGTGTGGTACAACAGCGGCACGAACCGCATCACAAGGGCAATGTCGACCCATTGAATGTACTTTTGGAGAGTTTCTAGCCCCGCCAACGACAAGGCCAAGAGATGACCGTCGCTTTGGTCGTATGCCGTCAGGACGTTGTAAATCACGTCAAACGACTGAGCGATGCAGCTGGTCGGGCCATCGCGCATCGCGTCCTTGATCTTCATATTGTGGCTGGCGTATTCGGCCCCGTAGCGGGTCGAGTCGAACTCGACAATCTCTTCGTACGTAGCATTCAAGATGCAAAAGTACATCTCCACCATGAACGGACCACGCGGGAGCAACGCCAACAAGTCGTGGAAGGCCGAGCCCCATGCGTCGGGGTAGTCGCGGCGAATCTATCATCCATGCATGAGACGATATCTTGGAGTTGAAGGTGATGACGGTACAGTACCAGAAGAGCGATCACGACAGCGAGTTTGGTTTTCACAAACGACGGTAAGCTGTCCTGCACCTGCAACCACGCCAACAGCTTGGTGCGGATATGAAGGGACATGTTGTACGTTAGCTGGGTATGCAACGCAGAGCCTTCCGTCAGGTACTCTTGCAACGCCTGCAGCGAGTAGAACTTGACCTCGTCGTGCGACGATACCTCAAACAGTTGCAGGAACAACTGGTAGCTCCTTTGCTTGGCGACGAGGCAGTACAGCTCCGCCTCCTCCTTGATCTTCTGCGACTCGGCATCGTTCAGACTAGCGCCTGCGTACTGGAAGGCGTACAACACAGCTCGCTCCAAGTCGGTCACATTCACCTGCTGCTGCGCCGCCATTAAGTCAACGGTGCTGGTCGATGATGTGCTGTCAATTCCCTGGTGGTGACCACGATGTCTTGAATGGCCCAATCACATTCGTGGAGGGAAGTTCTCGATATCTGGTTGGTAAAACTGCTTCTTTGAATACCCTCTGAGACGCAATACTGCGCAATCTATAATGTTTGATCTTCCTTCTTGCAGAAAGCGATGTAGATTTCTACCAAGTCAATGACGCTGAAGCAATAGGGTCGCTCCTTGTATTCATTCGTTACTTGTCGCCTAACGTTACAATAAGGTAGGTCAAAGTTTTGCGCACTGAGAAGTCACCGCCTTGGAACATTTGATGATTGAAATAATATCCTTATTGTACGAGTATTTTAGCCAATCGTTGAATAGTAAAACTATTTACAGTGGATATTTGATTGTGACATGGTGATTGGTTAAAAGGATGAGTATTTTCATTGTTCAAGCAACATGCTTGGAGTCGATGCGATCGCGGACAGCGGTCTGCGGCAATGCAAGTCGTGGACCGATGTACAGCAGGTTCTCCAGCGCATGCACGAGAATGTTCTTTATGCTCCGAGATCTTCTGGCATTTTCATCGAAGTGTGGGCAGCCACAGCGAAGAACGCCGTGTTGTGGGCGTTCAACCAGGCTCCACCTGCACTAACAGTCATCCAAGCACAAGCGATGTTGCATGGAGTCTTGCGTGACATGCATCAGCACCTCCTAGGTGGTGAATACCTCCGCAAAGGACAGCCAGAACCACATCACGCAACTACGTATTACGTGGGTGTCCTTGAGAAGCTCGTCCAAGTCGCGCCGACGTCGTCCGTGGAAGCATTTGGCATTGTCCTCGCCTACTGCTACGTCCATGGGTCGTTGCTAGACGAGGCAACTTCCGTCACAAATGTGTTGTCATCGATGGCCTCGGTGCAACGCGACAGGTACAACTCAACTCCATCAAATGTCCCATCTAAGTGAGTTGCATTACCTAGACTTAAAGTGGTCAAAGGTTGGATAGCTCTCCGACAGAACGACCTTGGCTCGGCCGTGTCACTGCTTCAAGCCAACGGCGGTAAGAATGTTGCCACATGCGTCCACCTCCCTTTATCCGTCATTCCGTCCCTCGTTCACGTAGCGATATCCACCACCACGCCATTGCAAGGATTTTGGCTTGCATATTCGTGGGTACATCAACGAACGCGCCACAATATACCCCTACACACCCCGTCGTATCCGTCCACGGCCGTCTCGTCCGACGAGATCTGGACCCTTCTCGAGACCGCCATGGCAGGCGACATTCGACCCATCGTGTGCCTCAACATGCAGGCGTGGCTTCTGACCCAACACCGCATTGTTGTCGGCGCTGCGGAGGACGTTACAGCTGGCGACTGCTTGGCGAAGGCCATTGCGCTGGACTATGACCAGGGAGAGAAAAGCACCAACCTGTCGCTGTTCAACTACGCGATGCTGCTTGGACGACTGGGCAAGTGGACTGATATGCAGCAAGTGCTCCAGTACTGCCTCGACGACATACACGTCGGTCCTTCCACAACCCAAACAACAAGCCCCGCGCCTCAAGAAAGCGCCTGGTCAATATCCGTGCGTCCCGTAGCATCTCCGTTAACATTGGCCACTGTGCAAGCCTACATGGCCCGCACCTGCATTCAATCTCGTACGTGTGTATATATTATTATCTCATAGTAGAAGTACTCTAGTACGTGTTTGATGTGTGTAGAGGATTACAGCACGGCTCGCGTGATGTTTCAGCGACTGGAATTGGCGGCCACGGACAGGGTTTCTATTGGTCCTTTTCAGGTTCAACTGCATATAATATCATGATATAAACCACAACTAACCCCAACCCATGCATTTTTCTAGCTGTCGAGTTTAGTTCGAGACCACGTGTACGTGCTATTGGAGGTAGGTACGTTGCCATTTTCGTCCAACGCCATCCTTGCCTTGTGTGTAGGTAAACGCACACCGAGAGGCGTTGGGGGTGTGCGATGCCGCTCTCCAACGCTACCAGGGGGACCCAGTGCTGCTACTGTACAAAGCCGACGCCCTCTTTTGTCTGGAGCAAGTTCAAGAATGTGACTGGACACTGCAGCAGCTCGATACGGCGCTGTCGGGTGAAGACGATGACGAAGCCCCGAACGACTTGTATGCGCAGGTGCTGAACAACCAGGCGCTAGTCCTGGCCTGCCACGGCCGTACGGACGACGCCCTGCGAAAACTGTACGACTGTCGACGGCGGTTTCCAACATGTGCGCACGCCTTGCTCAATTTGACAGTGCTGCTGTGGCGCCAGGGTAAACAAGTCGCGGCATGTACAACTTGGCTCGCCGGTCGACAGATCGTCCACAGCAGTCGTACCTCGGCCGACGCAACGACACCGCCCACGTCGCACGTCCCCGCTGGACAGCAAGGTCAGATTTGTCCCCAACAAATCGCGGCTTTGGATCGCATGGTGGACATGTTCTGGGCGGACGACGGCCGAATGCGCGCCATCAAGCAGTCCCTTCAAGTGGTTGAGCATTACACCAGCATCTGTGGCCATGAAAGTAGTTCTGGCAATGCACCACTTAACACCCCTAATTAACAATCCCCACGACAGCTCACATGCGAATTGACGAAATATATGGATGTCAACTTGACATCCACAAGTCATAATGCGTGGACAAGCTATATGATTGTGAAATGCGTGGGTTGTCGACAACGCTAGTATCACAACCCCGTTCGTGGGGTCAGATTGGTGTCACGAGGTGAAAATGATTTGACCATTGCATCAAACGTCTTGACAACTGTTTATGACATTGAACTCACTGTCACACATGTAGTGAGTCATCCGGGTTTTGACGGTTACATGTCGAGGTAATGTAACCGTTTGCGGTCGTTTGCCCGTTTCACATCGTAGAAGGGGTGTTATTGAGCCTCCGACATGGCCACGCCCGGCCCACCTGTGCCCAACCTGTCGCTTCCTACGGTGACATTGCCTTCACCGACAGACGAGAGCATGGACGATAGACCTTCGTCCAAGGAACACCATGTTGACCACGAGAAGCAGCAGCATCAACTCCAACATCACCACCACCACGACAACCACATTGCGGCAGAGCCAAAGGGGTACTGGGCGGAATGGCAGACTCGGGCTGGCACGGTGTCGCTGCTGTTTTCGCTACTCATGCAGCTATCGTACGTGGCGTTCCCAGCGTACAACTTTTCACTGGCGATTTGGGCGACGGTGCATCCGTTCTCGAACCGCCACACCAAGACAAACGTGCTGTTTGTGTCGGTGATGCTGCTGTCCTGCGGCACGGACGTCGTCTGGAGTAGTCTGTGGACGTCCGGCGCCGTGTTCTACGATATGCTGTGTTCGCCAGCTCAAATTGGCATACTGCACTGCGACGGGTTGCAGAGTTACCCCGGGTGTGCCACGAATCGTTTTGTGATGGTGCTGTTTGTGGCCAACATTGCGACGAAACTATGGATCGCCATTTCGATATGGAAGGTAAGGTCTAAGTTAGGTCATGCAAACCAGGGAGTTAGTTGGTATGATATCCTGCGTTATTGTGACGATACGGTAGGCTGTGGCTGTGGCCAAGCCCGAAGTTGTACCCACGGCAGAAGCGATGCACCTTCCACCGCCTCCTGGAACGAATATCTCGGACGCCCCCACCGCTATCCCAGTCGAATAGTGATCATTTTGTGAATTCATATACTAGGTCGTAATTATCGCAGGTTGCTGCTCTACAATCCTGGAATGTGCTAAGCTACCAACATAACGTGGTGTTTTATTTACATGTATCCTATTCGTCACACAAAATCGAGGAGTAGGTTGATTTCCTCTTGGATTTCTTCCGTGTCGTCGTCGTATGAGGCTTCGAGAAGGGTCGATCGCGGGCTCACAATCTCTTGAATGTGCTCTTCAATGACATCGCTAGTGTCCGTTGTGTTTGGTTTCTTGTCGACAGAGTCCGTACTTCTGTCGCCCCGTGTCAAAGTCGAGTCGCACGACGGATCGTTGTTTGTACGCGGGGGCGAGGGAGGC